TATTGCGGAGTACTAGGCTATAGTCCGTAAGGTACTCGATCGCCTACGAGCCTATAAACTGTATTGCAAGCCTTCTAAATGCACCTTTGCTACTAAGGAGGTAGCCTTCCTTAGTTTTATCGTATTAACTAATAGTGTTAAGGCTAATCCTAATCGGATTAAAACAATTACTAAATAGCCTATTCCTACGTCTATTAAGGAGCTTCAATCGTTCCTCGGCTTCGCTAATTTCTACCGCCGGTTTATTAAGGGCTATTTACGGCATATAATGCCCCTAACTAAGCTTACTAAAACTAAGGCTAACCTAACTAGAGAGTTTAAATAGACTAACAGAGTATAAGCCGCTTTTAACGGCCTAAAGCAACGCTTTACTAATGTCCCCTTGTTATACTATTTCGTACTAAGCAAGTAGATCCGAATTAAGACTAACGCTTTATAGTTCGCTATATCGGCTATTATGTTATAGCAATTAGATAATAACTATTACTAGTACCCGATTGCCTTCTTTTTACGAAAGATAATCGATATAGAACGTCGATATAAGACCTACGAGTAAGAGCTCTTAGCAATCGTAGAAGCCTTTAAGTATTAGCGCTACTATCTCGATAGTGCTTAGCATACAATTCAGGTCTATACGGACTATAACAACCTCCGTAGAATTACGAAGGTTACTAGGGTTATAGGTCGATAGGCTAGATAGGCCGTCTACCTCGCTAGGTTCGATTTTAATATATTATATTAGCTAGGCGTAAGTAACCCTACCGATAGCCTATCGAGGCGGCCTAATTACGATAGCGAGACTTAGCAATCTATTAATTTATTGTTTCTAACCCTATAGTATAAGATTGCTATAGCCCGTATTATTAATAAGCAAGCGTAGGATAAGCGGACTTCCGGACCCCGCGGCGGCAATAAATACTATAGCGGAGTTATCGTTCTTCTAGTATGCGTTAGAAAGGACGTAGATCGCTCGAGCTATAATAACTCGATTAAAGACATTGCTATCTATAGTAATAGCCTATATAGCGATAGTACTATAGAAGAGGTTATAGTAGTTCCGGCTGCTAGTGCTATTAGATGCATATAATACGTACCTCGTTTAATAGCGAGGGTGCTGTTAAATAACCTTGTAAATAGGGATAGTTAATCGTTTATAGATAAGCTATTACGTACTTAGTAGAGGGACGCCTTTGCTATCGAGCGCATTAATAAGCTTATAAGTAGGCGGGCGACTCGATCTAGTAAGAGTAATAGTTAGTCGATCGACGATAAGGGTTACTTAAGGTTTAAGGGCAGATACTATATCCCCGCTAAACAATCGATTAGATAAGAGCTTTTAAAGAGGCACTATAATAGTAAGCTCGCTAGTTACTATAGTATAGAGAGGTCGCACGAGTTACTATCGCGTACATACTACTAGCTAAATAGTAAGCGGCATATAAAGGAGTATATACAGACCTATACAGTATACTAGCGAGTTAAAGCACCGAAGCACTTGCCGTTCGGCGAGTTGTCTTCGCTCCCTGTTCTAAAGAAGCTATTTGCTAAGCTAATAATAGACTTTATTATAGGCCTTCCGCCTACTAAGCGTAGAGGCAGCAAGGACGTATATAATGCTATCCTTATTATAGTAGATCGATTTACTAAAGGCGCTCGATATATCCCGGCGCGCAAGGATTAGACTGCTATTAATATAGTAGAGGCGCTATAGACTAATATCTTCTGTATCTATTAGGGAACCCCTAAGGGGATAGTCTCTAATAGGGGCTCGATATTTATATCGCACTACTAGAGCGAAATATGCCTATAGCTAAGACTAAAGCATCGGCTATTAATAGCCTTCTATCCGTAGACTAACGGTTAAACAGAGAGGCAGAATGCTACCCTATAGCAGTACCTACGCAGCTATATTAATAAGAACCCCGAGGATTAGGTTAACCTCCTATAGCCTACAGAATTCGTATATAATAACAGTGTACATTTAGCAACTAAGATATCGCCCTATATAGCTATAATAGGCTAGAACGCTGCTATACTATAAGACCTACTATCGCTCGAGGCCGAGCGCAAGGAAAGGGAAGCGCGTTAAGTACTAGAGACACTAGCGGCAATAGAACGTATCTAGAAGATGCGAGAAATCTATGCTAAGATAGCTAAGAAGCTAATAAGGGCTTAAGAGTACTAAAAGACCTACTACGATAAGCGCTATATACTAATAACCTTTAAACAAGGCGACATAGCTATACTTAGTACGAAGAACCTCCGTATCCGTAAGCATCTATTACCCGATAGTAAGACAAGGCCTAAGCTCGCACTAAGATACATTAGCCTATTCCGCATCCGAGAACCGAAGGGCAATAGCTAGGCCTACTAGTTATAGCTTCTACCTTATTATACTATCTATAACACCTTCTATATCTCCCTCCTTAAACCGTACTACTAGCGCGAAGGCGATAAAGCGCCTACTAAGTTAGAAGAAGTCTTAGCTAATAGCGAAGAACTATAGTCTATAGAACGTATCCTAAACTACCGGACTAGGCAAGGCAAGAAGGAGTACCTCCTAAGATAGCAAGGCTATTTACCTAAATAGGACTCGTAGGAAGCTAAAGACTCTTTTAAAGACATAACTGAGTTGTTAGATAAGTATTAGACTAGCGTAAAGGACAAGAAGAAGGCTAAAAGCTTATAATGTTACTATTAAGGCCTAGGAATAATGCTACCCCTAGGGTGCTATTAGCTAACTAATTAGAGGCAAGCAATTGTTAGCAATAAAGGACAATAAGACTACACTAGGCGCGCTATAACGCGCCGATTAATTAATCGCATACTCTTTTAAGAACTCTACCTCTTTACTAACGCGCCCTATAGGTCCCTCTCTTATTCCCTTATTCTATCGAGGCCTCGAGGCCTAGGCAATCGGCAAGGACGGCGCGGCCGGCGCGGCTATATTAGTAATAGTATTACGGAGTGTATTGCTGTTTAAGAAAGGAAGGATATAGCTATATTAGTAATAGTGTTGCCGAGTTGTTATTAGTTAAAGAAGGAAATTAAAACAAGATAAAGTTAGCGCTAAGACGACTAGCGCCGCTATTATTAACATTACTTGCTATTATTACTATACCTATAAAGACAACCTTACCTACACTACGAGCCTAAGGCACCTTTAATCAAAACTTTAATTAAAACTTTAAGGCTAAGTTAAAACTTTAAGCCGCCTAAAAGATTAAGCGACTAATAGACTAACTAAGGGCAAAACTATAGAGCTAAGCTAGCCGGGGTCGATCTTGCGGATAATAGGTTACTCCTCGATCTATCTAACCCTTTAAGCGAGGCGAACCTCTACTACTATACTTATAATAGCCTTTACCTATAGAAACTAGACGAGCTATGTTTTTTTCTAAAAAGATAAGATAAGATTAACAATTAAAGGCTACTAAACCTAACTAATTAGGGCTAGCGAAACTACGAACAATAATAGCCCTTATAATAATAAGAACAAATCCTCGGAAGCGGACAACCCTCGGAAGCGGACATAGCTAGGTCTTTTAGAGTAGACGCAAAGAACTCGATACGATATTACTTAGAACGGAGGCAGTACTATAATACCTCGTACGTCTACCTATTATAGTAGGGAAGACGCGCTCGTATTATAATTAGTCGAAGGCCTTCAATTCTTGTAGATATATATTACTTTATAGTTTATTAGATATAGAGATAGCGTAGTTAGAGTTATATATTGTGTTGTTTAGAGGTAAGGTTTAATATAGTTATATAATCGGCGATTGCGTATTTAATTTAGCGCGGACTAAGAAGCTTGCTAGACCTACTAAGTTAGCAGCGATAGAGGTTAAGAATAGAATATAGACCGGCTACGAGGGCGCGGCCTTTAGAAGGGAAGCGTGTATTAGGACTAAAGAGGTTACACGTAATTGGCATATAACTAGGCTCGAGTGAAGCTAGGGTCTTAATGCCTTAGGCAGGGCTTAGCGCTTAGCGTTAGGCTAACTAGCCTACCTTCCTCCCTCTCCTCTTAGATCTCTATCGAATACTACCTGTACCTACTACTACCCTATCTACCTGCTAACATACCCTTCTTACATATCTCTATTTAGAAGTTAGTAATTTAGTATTCTATACTTTAAACTATATAATTTATCGGGGGACTAGTAGTAGAAATAACTAGTATAATAGCTAAATCTATAATAGCTAGATAGTATAGCTTAAAGCTATTAATCTCTAAGAATTATACTACTAGACTTACTAGCTAGAGGATAACTACTAGTAATTAGGGGGTTATATATAATATATCTAGGCCTCTACTAAGGTAGTATATCTATTCTTTTAGTATATATTCTATATATAGCCTAAATAATTAAATTTTATTTATATATTTTAAGCTAAGGTTAATAACTTTTACTACTAGTAAATTTACTACTAAAGTCTAAATCGCTATTTTAGTATATAGCTAAAGTCCTATTCTCTCTTACTATAGTAATTAGCTAAGTAGTACTTAGTATTTGCTATAGATATATTTCGTTTTCTAACTAAATATTTAAAGCCTACTAACTAAGAGTCTAAGGGAATTAATAGCGCGCGTCTAGACTAGCAGCAAACTACTACTTAGATACTAGTACTTATACTAAGCCCTACTAAACTATATACTATAGCTAGAACAAACTACTATATAACTTAAAAAAGCATAACTATAATTAAGAATTGTAAGATTAGTAAATTTTCCTTTATAAACTAGGGCATAGATATATATAGAAACTAAAATTATAATATTCTCTAAAACTAGTATCGTATTCCTAGAACCTTATAGATAGCTATATTATATATAATATAAACATACCTAGGCCTATAGTTGTAGAGTCTAAGAGCCTTTAGCTATCGAAGTTTGCTAGCCTCGGTAGTCGAGATATATATACGATTAGTAATCAAAACAAATACATTGCAAGCTGCCAGTCTTGGAACGCGATAGTGGTCCACAACACTTCCTAGTTGCCAAAATGTCGCAAGAGGAGAGTCTCAATCGGAAAGAGAAGAAGGCGCAACGAGATGCTGAGCGTCAAAAGAAGGGCAAGAAGCGAAAGCATGCCGAGACAGAAGAGCCTGAGGCCGTGCCAGCGCAAAATGCAAAAATCGACGAAGACCCAGCTGCGGCAGTGAAGACAGAGAAATCGAACAAGCGCAAATCAACCAGCGAAGAGCAGCATCCGGCCGATGCCGCCGAAGAAGCGACAGCGAAACAGCCAAAGAAGAAGAAGCGGAGAAAAGCCAAGTCTGAACAGGACAAGCCCAGCAAGAATCGCTTCATCGTGTTCGTTGGCAATCTACCGTACAAGACCACCGACTCCTCCCTCGATAAACACTTCGCCAAACTCAAGCCATACACTCTTCGCCACCGAACCGATCCCAAGACCAAGAAAAGTAAAGGCTTCGCATTCCTGGAATTCGAGAACTACGACCGCATGAAAACATGTCTAAAGCTCTACCATCATTCGCTATTCGATCCGGAAGCGATTGAACGTGGCGAGGCACCTATAGAGCCTGGCGCAGAGACAACGGAACCCTTACTCGCACAAGACGAGGCGTTCAGAGGCAGACATCACAAGAAGAAGGAGACAGCACGCAGAATTAATGTTGAGTTGACGGCCGGTGGAGGCGGAAAGACGGATGAGAGAAAGGAGAAGATCAAGGCTAAGAATGCGAAGTTGGATGAGGAGAGGAAGAGGAGGGCGGAAGAGGAGAGGAAGGTCAAGGAGAAACAGGCGAAGGAGGATGCTAAGGCGGGTGTGAAAAAGGAGAAGAAGAATGTCAACGGGGAGAAGAAGACCATTGTGAGAGAGCTCCAGGAGAAGGCTGCGCAGAGTGAGGCCGAAGGTGGGGCGGATGATAGCCATGGCATGCATCCAAGTCGTATGAGGATGCTCAATCGTCGATGAGGGTAATTATTTGGGGATCACGGCTACCGTAAAGCTTTGTTCGTGGGCGAGAAACGCAACCTAGCCTGATCAGTGTTAAGATTCAGAACATATATTTTGGATCAAGGAGGATGATTCCTGTGCCTGATCTCCGCTTACACGACCCTTATATACCCGCTTGACGAGGGCCTTTATATGTGATGTCGCATCGAGTGCAGGAAGCGGAGTCGCGTCCTTGTTGACGACAAATCCTGCCTTCACACGAGGGGACTGTCCGAGTAATTGAAGAGCCATCGGCCATTGTCAACAAGAAGAAGTCATGCTTGCACCCATCGATCTCATCCGTATATTCCTCTCTGATAAGCTCGTACTTGCCAAGTTTTGGCAACACCACAGCCCAAATCAACCAGTATACGCCATCTCCGGCGATAATACCCCAGCCGACCAAGCAGTGGAAGTAGTATGGCAGCGTCTCATAGATGTACAACACCAACTCTGATCTGTCCCTCCGCAGCGTTACTTGAGGATGGTTCCTTCCAGTGATAGCCGCCTCTCAAGCCAAAAAGAACTACTGCAAGGGTATCGTCCATGAGATTCAGCAGAGTCGAAGCGCACAAAAGGGCTACTGATCCAAGTCATGTCATGCAATGAATTCATCTAAGAACTAGCTTTTGCTCTGCACTAGCCTTAACTCGCTCAAAATTCACCCTGTTTCAATGCTCATCAACAGAAACCTAGCACATTTACAGCTGGTTCGCAGCGTTGAAATCCTCGAGGGCCACGGCGACACGCTTGGTCATGGTCTTCTCACCCTCGCGTACCCACACTCTTGGGTCGTAGTACCTGTTAAGAAGCAGGGTCAGTCAAATTATATGCAAGTATTAGGTAGGAGCAAAGCATACTTCTTGTTTGGCTTGTCCTCGCCGTCTGGGTTACCGACTTGCGAGCTGACGTAGTCCTTCTTCTTGATCATGTAGTCACGGATACCCTCGGTGTAGGCGTATTGCAAATCGGTATCGAGGTTGACCTTAACGACACCATAGCTGATAGCGTCGAGGAAGTCCTGCTTGCTGGATCCTGAGCCACCGTGAAAGACAAGGAACACTGGCTTCTCGTCCTTGGTGCCTTCCTTCTCTTGCACGTATTTCTGGTGCTTCTGAAGGAGCTCTGGCCTCAGCTTAACGTTGCCTGGCTTGTACACACCGTGAACGTTGCCGAAACCAGCGGCGATCGAGAAGTATGGCGAGATTGGTGCAAGGGTCTTGTAAATCTCGTAGATATCCTCTGGCTGAGTGTACAGGGAGTTGTTGTCGACATCCTCGTTGTTGACACCATCCTCTTCACCACCAGTGATACCAATTTCCATCTCGAGCCATTGCTTCATTGGTGCAGCGCGCTTCAAGTAGGCAGCAGTGGTCTTGATGTTCTCATCGACGGCTTCCTCGGACAGATCGATCATGTGGGAGGAGAAAAGTGGCTCGCCGTGCCTGGAGCATAAAACCGTTAGCAAAAGTCTGAGTGACCCCAAACGCAGACCCCGAGACTGTGCTACTATCTGTGTTACGCAGGGCGCGGCGCTCATTCTGCCGCGGAGTTGGAGACAGACAAATGAGGGCTTTCACCCTTCACTTCGCTTCACTTACTGCTTGAACCAGGCCTCATCAGCGTCGAGCATGCCGTCGAGCCAAGGAAGGAGCTTCTTTGCGCAGTGGTCGGTGTGGAGGACAACTGGAACACCGTATGATGGTGCGACAGCGCGAATGTAGTGAGCTCCAGCGATTGCACCGGCAATGGAAGCGCTCTGGTCCTTGTTGTCAATGCCCTTTCCGCAGAAGTAGGCGGCACCACCCTGGGACATCTGGAGGATGATTGGTGCCTTGGCGACCTTTGCAGCCTCGAGGGCGGCGACCACGGTGGAGGAGGAGGTGACATTGATAGCTGGAATGGCAAAGTTCTTCTCCTGTGCGTACTTGAAGAGAGCCTTCACATCATCGCCGTAGATGACACCAGACTTGACCTTGAGGATGGATTGGGCCATGATTGCGGCTGTCTGCTTCGAAATTTTTGGGTGAGAATTGAGTTGTGAGAAAAGCACCGTAATGGCTTGGACAGTGTTCTTGGATTGGAATTGTGGAAGGAAGAGACCGGCTACATGAAGGAGAGTGAAGCACACTCAGTTTTCGTCGCTCGCCTTTCATCATACCCCCACTAAGGTCTCAGCGGTCTCAGCCCCGCTGCGCTATGAAACACAACTTCGGTGTTTAATCGTCACTACCGCTCCGAACAATTGGCCGTCTAGGCATGCGATAGCATGTCCGCTGCGTGGTAAAGTAAGCAAAACCGCTTCGTCCTGATAGTAGACTGATGCGCAGCTGCAGCTCAGAAAACTGAGATTTGCAAATTAACTCTTTCACGTCAATCCACATTGATGTCCGCTAGCTAGCAGCCCTTAATACCAGGACGTGGGTACACAAATATCAACGCTCCGGTTGTCTCTGCACGTTTTGCCGTGGCCACACTCCAAGTCATGTAGGCTCTACGACATTGCACGAGCTGCTCCGGTTTTGACCGACACGAGTAACCGAGTCCCGACTGCGAATGCAAGCCGGCTGTTGTCTTCTCACTTTGGTGGCTGCAAATATGATCACAATGCTCCATGAGCGAAAGGAAGCATGTACGTCAATATTGCTTTTGCAGAGTCGCGGGATGATTGCGGCGCATATGGATTGTTGAGGCATTCGGTCCGGGATTTTGTCGCTGCGATGACAGCCACTCCCCGTAAGAGCCCACAAGGAGGCGATCAGGATGTCCGTCTAATCATTACGGAGCAAGTCTCTCTTGCCAAGACTGTTCCTCGTGAGATGTCGAATTGCATGTACCTACCAGCCGCGATGAGGTCAAGTTTTGCTTAGGGTAGCGTCAGAAGCTTGCGGCTCAGGCACTTCGCGCTAGACCTCGCTTGACGCTCCAAATTTGGCTAGACAGAAACTTTGACTGAAGATTGAAGAATCTCATAGCGTGTACGCAACAAATAGTCGAGCATTATCATCGCTATCCACCATGTTGTGCGCAAGTATGTTGTCACGTCCATGCCCAATTCGAATAGATACTAATCGTGTATGCAGTCTCCGGCGAAGCGCCAGAGCATCCTGTCGCAAGCCGAAAGTCCGGTCAGTCACCATGCGATTCACGACCGCGAATGGAGCAGTAGCTTACAGTAGGTATAGGCAATGTCTTTGAGAGACGACTGATCGAAGCTTACATCTCTGAGCATGGCTCCGATCCCGTCAACGGAGAAGAGCTTTCGGCGGATGACTTGATCGATCTCAAGCAAGCGCGCGTTGTGAAGCCCAGACCGCCGACCCTCACCTCAATTCCAGCCCTCCTCTCGACCTTTCAAAACGAATGGGATGCGCTTATCCTGGAATCCTATCAGCTCAAGCAGCAGCTGGCAGAAACTAGACAAGAGCTGAGCACTGCTCTTTACTACAACGATTCTGCGCAAAGGGTTATCGCGCGTCTGCAAAAGGAGAGAGACGAGGCTCGAGATGCGCTTTCGAGAGTGTCTGTCACTGGTGCTGCGAATGGCGTAAATGGTGCAAATGGAGATGCCATGCAGGTAGATAGCCAGGCTCTCTCAGAAGTGGCGCTTGCGACCATCGATGAGACACAGGCACGACTTTCTTCCACTCGGCGCAAGAGGCCTGTACCGGAAGACTGGGCGACCGCCGACGAGATACAATCTTACGACATCAGATCTACTGTGGACACGCAATTCACAGGCGCCAAGTTCCTCGCTTCGGACCAGTCTGGAGACTTTTTCCTCACGGGAGACTCAGATGGCACAATGGGCGTCTATGATCTCTCTCAAGGCACTTTCACTACTCGAACAAGTCTCAGCGCCGGCGCGATCCTTGGTGGTGCTTGGGCTCACGATAAGCAAGCCTTATCTACCTCTTCTGGTGCTGTTGTAGTCGCCCAGGATGGTGCGATTAAGGGCAAGTTTCAGCAGCACGCAGGTGCAGCTACGGCGGTAGCAGGACATCCCAGTGGCAAACTTTTGGTCTCCGTTGGCTATGACAAGAGCTACATCATCTACGACCTTGACTCCATGAAAGTTCTTACACAGGTATACGGTGATATTGGTAAGTAACAATGAGCCGTGATGTTGTGCTGGTCCCGCTAATGCATAAGATAGAACTTACCACCGTTGCGTTTCACCCTGATGGCCACCTTTTGGCAGCTGGAGGATCGGATGGTTCCGTGCGACTTTACGACGTCAAGACTTCACAGCTGGCGCACACATTCCCAGCACCCTCTGCTGCAACACCAGTCATCGCCCTGACGTTCTCAGAAAATGGCACATGGATCGCTTCGGCGAACCAAGGCCAGAACATACTTACAGTTTGGGACTTGAGGAAACTCAATGCGCTTAAGACCATCGACATTGGGTCAGCGGTCACTGGCATTGCTTGGGACTACACAGGTCAATATCTCGCAGCAGGCGGACCTGGTGGGATCGTGGTATCACAGTACTCGAAGAGCAACAAGTCTTGGAATGAGCCGCTGCGCAGAGCCGTGAATGTTGCAGACGTCAAATGGGGCGCCAAGGCAAAAAGTCTGGTAGCGCTGACTGGCGAGGGAGCTGTCAGCGTCATCGGCTCATAATCCACAAAATGCTTCGTGTGATGAGAAGGCGGCGTTCAAGGCGTCAAGCGAGCTGCAAGAAAGCAGCCTCATGCATGAGGATTGAACATGTGTGCGTGGGGACGGAAAGGAATTTTGTAGCATAGTCTCACGAATACCACGGCGATAACTCGCGCTTGAAGCCGAGAGCTTGCCACACACCTTGTACCTGGTTTCATCTCGCATAGTTCCGCGTCCGAGCACGGCGAGCAGCAACAACGCCGGCACTTTGTAGCAGAGGGAAGACGATCTTAGGAATCCTATCAGCAGCAGGGAGCAGCATAGATTGGGAAGAAGAAGCTGTCTGGGCGGAATCTCCTTTTGCTTCACGAAGCCTTTGTTGTGGAGTCGGCAGTGGTCACTGGCCAGGCTTGCTGCTTGACGCCACTTCCTCCTCTTTCCCTTGCCAACGCACGCTCCCTTGGACAATAATTGACTCCCGCTTGGACATCACAGCACGGTCAGCATCACACCACGCGCATGAGCTGCTCGACAGCGTGATAGCAATCTTGACCGCAACGCCGAGTGTCCAACGCCATTCCTGCTGAAACAGCATCTCTCGCTATGGATGGAGGCTCTGGATCCGATGGTTGGCCGCACCTCTACCGACGAGAGAGTGCAAAGGTAAGCTAACACCTCGTTCTCCGCCGCTTCCCTTTCGCGTCGTGATCGTCTGACAATGTGATTGCAGAGGGAATTCACAATGGCAGAACCTAGCACCAGAAATGCTTCACCAGACTCGCTATTTGTATCCGAGCACGACGAACATTACACGCATCCTGAGCACGCATCGCAACGAAGACGTCTATCGCCGCCCAGACTCGCCCTTCCAACGGGACGGCACTATCCTGGCGACGGCTATGATTTGAGAAGACCAGTAATGTCGTCAGCGAGCATGAGCCAGAACACGCGAGATCCTGATAACACGGTTGTGATTGACCTCACGGATGAGGCAGAACCGCCGCAAGCACCACAGCCATCACTTTCACAACCTGCACAGGGAGAGGGTGGTGCAGGCTCGTTCTCGGCACGGGCAACGAGGGGTCCAAGATTTGGGCGGAACATAATTGACGTGGAAAGTGAAGGTGAAGAGGAGGGTCACAGCACACGGTCATCTGCACGGGTACCTCCGAGAAACAACTACGACTCTCTCTTTCCTCGTTTCAGCACCCAACGGCCGCAACCTCACCCACAATTTTCTGTTCTTCGGCGACCTCACAGACCCACACCACCTTCCATCAACATGGACGATGTCGAGGACGTAGAGTTCCTTGAATCGCGGCCTGCATCTCAAGCACGAAACCGACCAATATCACGAGCTCCACGCAGTGTCACTCCGTACCCGAACGGCCAGAATGAGCCTATCGATCTCACCGGCGACGACGACGACGAAGTGATGCATGTGGAATCGCGAGTCCGACCTGGATTGAATCTCGACCGACCTGCTGCGGTGGCAGGAACTAGGACACGAAGCATTATGGACGGATTTCCAGACGCACTCGCCGGTCTATTCGGTAGTGCAGGCGGCACGACAGCTCGGCTGTGGAATCGCTTGAATGAAGTGGCAGGTGGCCAACCAGGTCCTGCCGGATACCACGGACACAGAAACGCACCCCCAAGAGCTCACATTCACTTTGGGCCTGCGCGAGTGGGGATGCAGATGGAATTAAATCTTGGTGGGATGATGGACTACGACACTCCTGCGTTCGACATGGGATACCAAGGCGCTAATCGGCCTCCTGAGCCGAAGTACGAGCCACCGAAAGCTGCAGAGAAAGGCTTCACGCGAAGTCCAGGAGAAGATGAGATTGTTGTTTGCCCAAATTGCGGCGACGAACTCGCGATGGGCGACAGCGAGCAGAAGCAGCAGGTTTGGGTGATCAAGAAGTGCGGCCATGTAAGTGATTGGCCTTGGTAATGAGGGTCTAAGGCCTGTGCTGACTGAACTAGGCATATTGCGGAACCTGCGCGGAGAACAGAACGAAAGTCGCTGCAAGTCGCGCCAAGGGCAAGGGCAAGGGCAAGGCTCTGGATATCGGTACATTCAAGGTATGTGTCATCGATGGCTGCAACGCACCAGCGAGCAAGAACTCCATGGTCCACGTCTTTCTGGGCAGCTAGTCGGGCCCAAGATGAGGCGCTTGACTTGTGCGGAAGTTCTTTTTGCGCTCTGTTCTTGCGAAATACCACACTTCGTAGCTGCATTTTAGCGAGGCGTTTTTGGAGATCAGCCCTGGCTCGGGCTGTGTATGTATGAGCATTTGGAACAACGGTGCAGTTGCGGAATACCTGACATAGGCATTTCGGTCTCAATTGACTGCAACATTCAGAATCGTTGGTGTTCCACCTGTGAGAATGAGCGCTTCACTGCTGCGGCGTTGCCATCAAGCCAATCTTTGCTCGTGAGGCGAGCTGTGAAGCTCTAATTAATTTTCCTATCCATCATTTCTCTCCTTGTTCCCCAGAAATCCTCATTATCATGCACAGCATTCACATGTGGTATGTTCCAAATGTCCCACCTCAACGATCGATTCCTCACATCACCTTCTTCTTACCCTGCCAGTCACCCCTCAAAACCTTCCGTCTCTGCTTCATCATGTGTGTATACAAAATCCACGCTCCAGGCACATAAACAAAAAGTATCCCCCTGAGCACCCACTGCCAAGCCTGGTTATAACGCTTCGCAGGCTCAATCGCCTTCCAAACTAACCAACATTCCGAACTTATACCCATAGGATAGAGGACGAAGAAAGTATTGTATCGTAACCAGATCAAGAAGTTTGGGACTTTGCCGTACAGGAGGTTGAGGGCGAAGTATGAGTAGCGGATGACTTCGGTTATACTCCATGCCACCAGCATACTTGAGTAGGCCGGTGACAGGGAGGTTGTTGCTGGGAAGGGATAGGCGATGAACCAGACGAGGAGGAAGCGGGAGGAGACTTGCATTAGGGTAGTGAGGAGAGGGGCGCGGACGAGGCCTGAAAGAAAATGGTGATACTTAGCTTTTTACTTGGCTTGGTTTTCTGATGATGTTGGATTTTCCTCTTCTCTTACCGATTGCTGCATGTATAACTTCTAATCCTGCTAGTGTTTGCGTCCAGCGGGTGAAGTTTGCTGTTCCGGCGAAAACGCTTTGGTAGCCGTGCAGAGAAGCTATGAGGAGGACGCGACCCAGGACTACGGTCCAGAGCAGGGCGGAGATGGAGTTATAGAGGATTAGGTAGGCTGTTTTGGGGTTGGAGGGGTTGGGACTTTGTGATTGCTTGGCCTTGGGAGGCTTTTGAGAGTGGTTTGGTCCGTCCATGATCGGAAGTGGACTTGGGTGTGGCTATGGCGATTGATGAAGCTTGAGAGTGTTGAAGTTCTGTGTGAACCGGGAGCTGTGGATGAGCTAGGGGGCCCTGGGCGGATGCTGCCGAGAGAAGTGGGGGGTCTGGGAGTCGTTCCTGTTCCTGCATCGCCGCTCCTTTTGGTCACTGACAAGATGACAGGAAAGACGCTGTTCGTTACAATGCAGGAAGATAACTGTAACAGTCAGTGCTCGAGAAATATCTTCATCCACCGAGAGCTCGTCTGACAAGTAACCTGACTTCACTCGCGCTACGACTGGCATTCGTTGCAATATACTATCTTGACGACTGCCCAGAGTACCTGGCAATGTCGTATACATGGAGCCGAACAGGTCAAGAAGCCCTCATCCAAGTTGACGGACAACCGCACAGTGTTCAGCTCCATCGCTTTGATGTCCTGCAATTGGAGAACTCCCATTTCCAGGCTCCCTCATCTAGATTTATGCCATCTGTACAGATCAATTCAATAACACCGAGAAAAGTTTCCAAGTGTCTCTGATGGGCAACATCTTGGGGGAAAGGCCTCGCCGTCTCAAACCAACCCAAAACAATTGGCGTAGTAAGTCACAGTCCCAGCCCAATCCGCAAAAATCTTCGTCGCGCCGACTTTCTGCGCAATAACATCAATCACCGTAAACTCATCCCCATCATTATCGATCAAATTCGCCACACTCGAATAATAATACCCTCCCCCGTCAACTTCCAGCGGACCACTACGTTCAAAACTCCATGTAATAATCTCCAAACCCGCTTCTTTCGCAGCAAGAGCATACGAACTAGGCACGATCTCCCCAGTCTCGTTGTTAGCCGTGATGAGTTGCCAGATACTAGGGGAGATGATTTTGACTCCCTTTGATGCGAGATCAGGGAGAGAAGCGACTGCGACATCGTATCCATCGGTTGTAAGATCGGCTCGTTCGTCGAGGTAAACGGCTTGGACACCGTATTCGGGGGCGTTTTCAATCCAATAAAAAATGTCGTCTGGGAGGAAAGATTGGAGCCAGACTCTACTGGCGTCGATCCCAGCTTCGTTATACGTGTCTACGATTTGTTGTATGAAATCTTCTTGCGTGTAATTTCCTTGAAACGGCATGGGGATTTCCGGTGTTTTAGCTTCGGCCGTGAAGTTCAAGCCATAGCTATCGATTAAAGCGATCTGTTCTTTGAGAGAGTAAGGTTCTGCGCAGGAGTAGGCATACATGTTCGTTCGCCAGTCGGGAGTGGAGCCTATTCGGCCCATGTATTGTGAGGTGTTCACTGCGTTGAAAGTTGTGGCTTCCATTTCTGCGCATAGGGATTTGAATTCGGAGAGTGTGATGTCGGAGGTACAGCATTTGGCCGAGGCTGCTGTGCCTGTTTCTGGATCGTAAGGAACGAAAGGTTCAGAACATTTTGCTGCGAGTTCGGGGTGGGCGAGGATGTCGGTCGTGTAATGGAGGTCGCAGTTCGAATGGCGGCAGACGAGTTCGAGATCCGAGGTGAAGGATACGTCGCATTCGATTATGCCTGAGGATATAATCAATTTCTGCTCTCAAAAATGGTATGAGCTTCTCAATACGGACCAGCGCCCATCCGTATCGCGGCTTTGTATCCTTCTTTCGAGTGCTCTGGGAACATCAAAGGTGCACCACGATGCGAGATCGAGAAGCTGCTCGTCTTGAGAGGATCCTCAGAGCAGGATTCCAGCTTCTCCTTCAAAGGGCCATCGTCCATATTATCGACCAGATAATATCTTAAAAGAAACACAGTCAGTCAGTCGACACATTAACGACGAGCTTGGCCCATATCTAAGACTCACGGTCTTGGTCCAACCTGGACATTTAATGATTTATTGCCTCCATGTCCCCATTGATCTGGCTTCCCATCTCCTCGTCCTGGCTTTTCATGCCATGCTTTTCCTTGATAGTTGTCCCTTGTGCCCCAGTGACTTCCCCACTGATCACGAGGCTTTGGAGCGGCAGCTGCAAGGCCTATGCCCAAGCATACCGCAGCGAGCTGGGTACGCATTTTTGCATTGACGATACTTTCTACCACACGTATTCCAAGCTCTTTCAACGCTCAATGGATGGATAGATACGTTCTGAATGAGAGAGACCGGCCAAGGTTTTGACAGATCAATGGGGGTAGTAGCATACAGAGTGAGGATACGAGCTGTATAAGTTCGAAGGTCGCACAGACTTACAATGTTGCTTCTTCTCAGCCCTGGAAGACATCATCACCGCAGCCGTTCCTGCAGCTCGACTAGCATCCCAGTCTCAGCTCTCTATCAAGTAACGCGAGATTTGAACGGAAATCTTTGCGCGCGGCTCGGATTGGATGAATTGCAGTTTGACGGCTATCATGCACAGATGGAGACCGAAGAGACTGGTCCAAGTGCTTCGACGGTGCGGTCTGTTGCATCTGCGATCGGTCGAATCCCATGTTTCTGGCATTGGTCCCTCTGGGCAACGTCGGCCAAGGTCTAGGCAATTTTTCGGCGTTACACGTGCTGAAGCTTGAGGTGGAGAACACGCGAGCAAGCGAGAGGGTTCTTCGGTTGCAGCTTGGGTGGTCTCATAACGCGCGCCACAATTTCATGGCAAGGTCGATGGTCTTGATGAAGAGGAAGATGATTGTGCTTGGGAGACAAAAGCGTGTGAGGTGCAGTAGTTGTCCGAGGCCAGCGTATTTGCGGGCACGTTACCACCGTGTAGTCTAAATCCTAATCCTCTCGAAGCTGTACTTTCCGACACTTTGACTCTTCTGCTTTGCTGTGAGAACTTTGCCTTTTCGTGCTTCAACTGTCTTGCTGACAGTCGGTGGATCCATTCTGCCGCCGAGCGGCATCAGGGTCGCTTCAGAAGCATTCTCCGGCTGCTCTTCTGGCCCATTACGTTTCCTTTTGTGAGATTGGAGTTGTTGCTGCACACTGGCAGCAGTTCTCTCGATCTCTTTCAAAGTGGTCTCGAGATTCTCTGCAGCAAACATGCCTTCCATTACAGCGCTTGTCTCGTTGATGAGACTGTAGAGAAGGTCATCTGTGACAAAGCGATCACCGCTGAGGCCCACGGTCCATCCACTTAGACCAATAGCGTCTACTGCGCAGCTGATCAATTGAGCAATAGTGCGGATGCCTTGGTTGTCCAGAGATAGCTCTTGCGCGCTTGGGTCAATTCCTATGGCAGAGTCCTCGATGCCATCATACGTGAACGTCCAGCCGCCATTAGCGAGCTCGACCCGCATGATCTGGATCAAGAAGATGATTTCGGTCTGAGACATTTGGGCGCGAAGTGCACCCGAAACATCTTTGTGATCAAATTGCTGCAGGCGGACCAAGCATTTCCGGAAGGCAGTGCTTCGTGTAACACCAGCATCCATGAGGTTATTGGCTCGCTCGATTTCGCGCATAGCTGCTGCTTCTTCGGCTTCCAACTGAACTTCAGATTTTTCTGCGTCGTCGCCATCGACCATGTCAATGTCTCCATTCGTAAGAAGCTGCTGTGGCCTGGCCTCGTCCTTCTCCTCGAAGGAGTCAATCAACACCTTGATAGCCTGGACCACTTCAGGTAGCTCCCAAAATGCGGGTAAAGAGAATAGGTTACACAGCAGGTCAAAGCTAGCATCAGCGTCTCCAATTGCGTAAGCTATGTCGCCGGGCAGCACATGAGGCTGAGAATGAAAGCCAGCAGCAGTCCGAGGTAAGGCATGCTCGATTTCAGGAGCCGTAAGGTAGCCTGCCAACGCAAGCCATGCCAGGATGTTACGAGATGCCAGAATGAGCTCGAGATGCTTCTGCCCTATCTCGAGATGGCTTTCGATTGTGCGCCACGCGAAAATCTTGCCTAAAATATAGACAGCCTTCTTATGGTCGATGTGCTGTGGATCGTAATGCTTGGGGAGCAGAGCCCAAGGCGCAAGATGCACAGGAGAATCACCGTTTGCATGGCCATTAGTCATTCTCTCTTTGTCTTCGCCTTTTTTGTGAAGATGAAGATCTTTGGCGACCAGCTTTTCAAGGCCCTCGATGTCTTCGTGTTCGAGAAAGTGGTCGACCTTGCTCACCCAGGACTCCCATTTTCGACGACGCTTCTCGTTGGTCTCGGTGCTGTCAACCTTCTCTGAGAGATACTTTCCCTTGCCTAGCACATCAAGAAGCAAAGGGCCGGCATTTCTGGAGCGTCTTACATCTTCCAGTCCATGGCCAACTTGCATTGCAAGCAGGTCGTGTCCTCTGAGAGCGGTCACAATGCCCAAGTCTGTGAAGCTTACAATGAAGCGCAACGAAGATTGCGTCTGCACGCCATCTCTATCTCGGGAAAGCTCGAGGGATGACAAGACGGAGCCATACTTGGTGTCGTGCACAGCAAGACGGTGTTGTGAGGCTGTGAGCACTGACGCGCTGGAGAGGCGGGCAAAGGTATCAACGGGTCGCTGGCCAGGACGTCCGTTTTGGAACACCATTTTTGGCAGAGTGCCGGAAAGGTCGAAGACAGTAAGCCGACCTTTGCTGTGTTGGTGTAGAGTTCCGGCAGGTGCATTCAGCTCGAAGCGAGATTCCGCCGGGACAAACGTTCCAGGCAGGTCGTATCTCACAGCCTCCTGAATGGGTGACCTTTGCGACTGTAGGGCGCTCGACCCAACATTTTTCAAAGCATGAATGCGCACCTGCCGTCTGTCCTGCAGGCGCACGACTTGGCAGAGTATGGCAGGTGCCGATTCAGCGATGCCTTCGGTATGCAAGGATTCCAGGAGCGCTTGTATATCTTCTCGCCCGCGGAGGAGCCCTCGACGAACGCTGTCCAGGTCGGTCACCAGTGAATGCTCGACCTCGACCTGATCCTCGCTTTTGTGTTCCCATCGTGTTCCGGAAAGGTCGGCTGATATGCATTCGACGCTCCCACTCTTGTAAGACACCAGAAGAGGAGACGCACTGCCCTTTTCTTCTGAGCTCGGTATGACATCCAAGCTCTGTACATCGCCGTGGCCGAGCTTTCGTTCTCGTTTTATCGGTGCTCGAGGCTGGTTCTCATTGCCGTGCCACTTGCTCGTGTCCTCGACATAGCTGACGATCTTCGCTTTCTGATCGGTGATGCTGCTGCGCTCAGCCCAGTATGTTCGTCTTTGCGACGGCCTGGGCTTTGGTCGCTTGCAGTGGATCGAACACGGAGCAGCAGCCAGGTAGGATTGTGGTGGCAGAGCATATGAGCGGGTCGTACTTTGATTTTGGACCTGCCATACCGTCAATCTTTTGATACTGACCATACCGCATTGCATCGATCGTACGTGGTATATGTTCACGCTCTCGCCATCCACAGCAACCACAATTTCATGCCGTTTTCTCTTCCGCGATCCGTTCAAGCTATGCACCAGTCCGGTGTGCGTCCTGCCATTCTCCGCATCGAATGGCTTGGGCAGTGTGGCTATCACATATGGCTCCTCGATCGATCTAGACATTATGGCATGCCTCGCGCTGCCTCGTATGTACAAATAATTCACCGCTTCTGCCGTTGATGCTTCTCGCTTGCCATCTTCATCTGAAATTCTTCCCGAACTTTGCTTCATCGGGCCGACGATCCTCCGTCCGCCTCGCGTGCCCGTCGCGTCATCTTTCCCACGCACGCGCCGTGCTTCATCTCGAGTATTGCTTGTCAGACAAACAGTATACAGCCACGAGGATCAACAGTACGGCACCTATATGAGCAATGTTAGGAGACATTGAATGGCAGCAGTCTCTGTTTACCCTGCCATGAGCGCAGAAAGTGAGAAGAGCGTGCATCCCTTCTTCAAGCGAGCCAACGGTCTGCTCCTACAATGCCACGCTGACGAATGCACGACGCTGATATGATTCAGGCATCCACAATGAAAGACCGCGCAATGTCGTCGAAATTCCGAATAGCGAGAGTTCTGAGCCATTGATCAGTGAGGGACCAGAAATACCAGAGGCCAAGCCGAAACGAGCCACGAGCAAGCGCAAAGTGAAGAATGAGCAGAGCGAAGGCAAGAAGAAGAAAATACAAAGGACACTGAGCAACATCGCAAATCCAAAGGGTACGGTGGAAGAAAGTGATGTGATAGACATCGTCGCTTCCGAGCATGCTACGCCCAGGAAGCGCAGGCGAACGAGTGAGCATGAGTTGATCAAGGTAGGCGCACAAGATGTGGGAGATGCCATCGTACAAGTGGAGAGTTCGAGTCCTGCTCGGCAGCTTCAACACAGATCGTCACCGCAAGTCATCATCCCAAGATCATCCCCACTGCCAAGGTCGACGGACACAATCGTGGAGCCTTCAGATCATGACGAGAATAATATTCCGTCTGACCCAGCTCTTCCAAGTACCCCTCCCAAGAAACTGCTGCGACTGAATGCCAATGGGAGATTCAGCTCACCACCATCGAAGAATCCAAAAGATAAGCCGGAGCCAGAACTAGAACCGCTGAAGCGTCGCGGGCGACCAAGGAGATCTGCGGCTGCAGACGTGAAGCGAGAACTGCTCGTTAAACTGCACTATGATTCAGACGATTCATCGAGGACCTCACTGGGCGACCGAATCTCGAGGATCCTGGCTGGTGAAGAGACGGTGCCAGTCAATATTGTTGATGATGAGCCTACGTCGCGAAAGAGAGCGAGTCGCAGGCAGGCATGCGGCAAAACGACGACGCCAAAGAAAGCAACTCCCAAGAAGCCACCGCACCCTTTCTTCAATCGCGAGAAGCCAAAGGCACAACCTGTGCTCAAGCTCGAGTCTCCGCGCAAGACTTCTGCGGTAACACCTGGCAAGCTTAGGATGCAGGCCATGTCAGAGCGGCCGAACGATGCACGAGATATCCAACCATTCGGGTCAGCATTGCTCAAAGATCGTCTCATGGTTAAGCATCCCGGTGCGAGGGAAACCCCCTTTCCAGATCGAGAGCAAGCCCATGTGAGAGGATTAGATTCCAACCATGTTGAGCCACCGATGAAGGAGTTCACACTAGACATGCTCTTCTCTCGACGCAAGCGAAAGCAAGCAAGCCTGCCCCTCCCGCCTCAAGAATCGATATTATCTCAGTTCGCATCGCGACTAGAGCCAGAATCGGAACGACTGCAAAGATCAGATGGTTTCTGCGAGCCTAGCGCCCGTCTAAAAGTGCCTGTGCGTCTCGTCATGTCGGGACAAGATATCGCAGAGAGAGTATCACGCGAACTTTCGATGCCGCTGCAGGATGCAAGTATTGATGAGCTCGCGTCCACTTCTTCCCAAAGTCCAGGTCATCCAGCCCTGCGAAGAATGTACGAAAGAATACCATCTATGCTTACTGCACTTGACGAGTCCAAAGGCGAGGCGCATACGTGGACGCAAAAGTACGCCCCTTCTAGCTCTGCTGATGTGTTGCAGCCAGAGAGTGAAATTGTAATTCTGACTGACTGGCTCAATTCGCTCGCTGTGCAGTCAGTGGAAGGAACTGGAACTCACATCAAGGCCTCCATTCTCAAGCCGGAAAAACAACCCAAGCGGAAGAGAAAGAAGAAGCCAGACGACCTAGATGATTTCTTAGTCGACAGCGATGAAGATGCGCATGAGATGAGTGAGATCGCAGATTCCGTAAATGTCACTCCCATGGGGTCACGCAAGTCTTTGAAGAGCATTGTGCAGGTCGCTGGAGATGGCACAAAGCTGAGCAATGCCGTGCTGCTCAGTGGTCCTCATGGCTGCGGTAAAACAGCGGCGGTATACGCAGTCGCTAAAGAGCTGGGGTTTAAGGTGTTTGAAATAAGTTCAAGTGAGCGAAGAAGTGGTAAAGATGTGCTGGACAGAATAGGTGACATGACTGAGAATCATCTTGTCAGGCATCACGGTTCAGAAGCAGGAGAAATATCGGGTCCGGAAGAGCCCAGCCATATGGACGAAGCATTTCAGAAAGACCTTCAAAGTGGCAGGCAGGGCAAGATGAGTGCCTTCTTCAAGGCGACCAACAAGCCAGTGGCAAAGCCAAAACAGCCCGAACCAAAGAAGCTTATGAAGGAGAAGGCGCAGAAAGCTGTTATCGAAGCTTTGAAGAAGCCATCCAAGGATCAGCAACAGTCAGTGATCCTGCTCGAGGAAGTCGACATCCTCTTCAAAGATGACAGAGAATTCTGGTCAACGATCCTTAAGCTCATCAGTACTTCGAAGCGACCGTTTATCATGACCTGCAACGATGAAGATCTGGTGCCGCTACAAGCTATGTCTCTTCACGCTATACTGCGATTCAGGCAGCCTCCCTTGGACCTCGCCACTGACTACATGCTACTCACTGCAGCTGCGGAAGGCCATTTGCTAAAACGGGGCGCGATTGCGAGTCTCTATCAACATCATGACCATGACCTGCGTGCATGTATCATGGAGCTTGACTACTGGTGTCAAATGGGCGTGGGCGATCCTCGAGAAGGGCTGGGCTGGATATTTCAGAGATGGCCACCAGGATCTGACCTAGATGCACATGGGAGGAAGCTGCGTGTCGTTAGCGACGGCACGTACAACCAAGGCATGGGTCTCACACCAGCACATGATCCGACAGCCGAGGACGCTGTGTGGTGGGCTTGGACTGAGTTTGGTGTTGAGCCAGCCACGGCTCTTGGATTGACTGCATATAGCGAAGGTGCGGAAGGCATTGGACGTCCGGACGGCACAGAGGCTTCTCGTGACACCACTGGAGAGCGGAAGGCCCTAAAAGTGCACACGAGGCTGGCAGAAGCTTTGAGCGCAGCAGATGCTTGCACGGGTTATGCGCTTCCGAGTGACAGGCGATTCGACGCGACGTATCCCGAGATGTCAGACAAAGTCCGAGGACACTACATCGAAGGCATGGCGCTGCTGCAGACTGATGAGCTTGTTGACTACTCTGATGTGAGCAAGCATCTGAGGGTTTCTTTGACGACTTCTGTCTACAGATGCTACGACGCATCCGAGCGCCTCAATGCTGAACACATCTTGGCCAGCATACCCAAGAGCAAAGCTACGGTCACTCAGGCGCTCACACGACATTCCTTCGCCTGCTTCGACGCCATATCCTCGCCCGCCGAGATCTCGCTGATGAACCCAGGTCTACAGCAGTCAGCATTTGATGGCCCACTCAGCACCATAACGCAGGACTTGGCACCGTATGTCCGATCAATAGTGCAGTACGATCAGGCTTTGGAGGAGCAACGCGAACGACTTAACCTGATTACTTCAGAAGGTCGGCAGGCCAAACGTGCACGAACGACTCGCGCAGCACGAAGCGCGCTTGAGGGAGGTCAACGATCTACGACGAGACGAGAGAGATGGTTTACAAGAGATCTAGATGTGCAAGCTGTCCTGAACACAGCTGGCAGAGACTGGCCAAAGCTCGAGAATCTAGCACTGGCATCGCTTGGAGAGGCTTCTGCTACAGAAGGCGCAGATGCGCCTGCTTCAAGTGCAGAGTAGTCTTTGTTGGTACACTGCAAGCCATATGATATAGGCATTTGCTGACTCGGTATTGTTACATGCTTTGCGCCTTCATCCTGGGTATCTCGAATCCTCATGTCCCCTAAACGCCATTGCCAAAATCCATGCATTACTCCTCGTCCTCGTCGCCCTCACTCCGGGCTGTCACATCATCATGCTCTGGCTGCGTTTGCGCCTTGCGGACCTCGCGCGACAGCATCATGAGCGCATCAGCCGCATGCTCCTCCGTGTACTGGCCCCTCTCGACCGCTCCAGCTCGCAGGTGCGCAGGCATAGGACGCGAGATGCTCTGACGCTCCTCATCCTTCGAGTCCTCGGCAAGCTTCTCCTTCACCTTGACCTCTCCCGACCTCTGCTTGCGCTCCATCTCCGCCATCTCTTCGTCGGAATACTCCGGGAGGCTTTCTTCCTCATCGTCCTCTGGTATGGGCATTCGCGAATTCTTACGCTTCATGCGGCCACCCTTCTTCGCAGCGCATGGCTTTACCTGCAACTCGCCCCGCTTCTCCTTCCGCGTCATCTCAGCACCCTCTTCATCGGAGTACTCCAGCAGCCTCTCCTCCAGTGCCGCGAAGTCGTCCACATCCGAATCCTCGTCCTCCTCGTCTTTCGGCAGGGGAATAGTGATCGAGGACGTCTTCCGCTTCTTGTTCGCGGCGGCGGCGGCTTGCTTCAGAGCCTTCCTCTTGCGTCCAGCTTCCATATTCTTTGCTTTTTCGACACCATACTCACGCTTCTTTTCTTCGAAGGCGGCGACGATGTCTTTCCGAAGGCATCCACGCGCCGCGGCGACTTTGTCCTTCGCAGTGTCGAGGCGCACGGATATACGCTTGTTTTTGATTTTTTGACCGTACTTCGCTTGGTACATCTCGGCCATTTTCGCGATGGTATATTGGCTCGCCATCCGCAGCATCTCCTCATGCTCGAAGAGTTTCGCGACCTGGTTGCGACCGAGGGTGCCGAAGAGCGCGTTGTCCTCCATCAGGGTGGGAGGTATGTCGAAGAGGTCGCCTGCGAGCGCTGGGTCGGCGCCACGGCTCTCTTGCTCCTCTGCAGGCGAGTGTCGCTCCTCTTGAGCGCCGTCATTCTTGGTGCCGGTTGGGAGAGTGGGAGCGCTCTCTCCATCTTGAGATGGAGCGGCAGAGGTGAGGTCCTCCTCCTCCTTTATCTTGGGTGAGCGGCCGAGGTTTGGAAACGTTCTAAAATTAGGGGCGTCTATTGCCATGGTGGTCGCGAGTAGGGAAGCGTGCTTGTGTATAGGCGGCGGAGTGGTGCAATTTAAGGCGCTGATGGTGGTGCAGTGACCCGGTCAAAGGAGGGTTGAGAAGCGATTGTGCATTTAAAAGCAAAGTGGGTCGAATGTGCGAGATGCACAGACGACTTGTGAATGGAAGAGAAGGGTCAAGATTCTTGGAGGTGTTTTCACGATGCATGTGCGTTGGAGCTTCTGTGGCGCAGCAGCAACGTTTATGCAGGTCATTCACTCACTATTCGCATGTGATGTCAAGGCCACGTGGGAAATGTACTCACCGGTCTTGACCCTGCATACTCCATACATTCACTTAACCGCTGTATTGAATGATCTTCGAGGAGTGTGAGAGGGTCTTTCATCAGTTTGGACCATCTGAGGTTGGGAGTTCACCTTGAGGAGCAAAGCAACGGAAAGCTGAATTATGAGGTTCTGGAGACGTGTCGTAAGAAGGCTCAGCAGTCTGGAACCTGCTGGTCTGCGAAATCTACTTGTTTGCAGTATTCATTAATCCTCGAGCAGCGTGAGAGGTTCTTTCATCTATTTGGATCTGGTACAATCAAATGTTTGTTTTAGTAGAACAAGCAAATAGATGGAGGCTACTTTAGAGGCACGTGGTAAGCATACTCACCAATCTGAAGCCTGCTCATCTGAACTGCTTACTTACCTACACGATTCATATGATGACGAAGCTCGTGATATGGCCTTTCACAGTGCTAGACCCACCGCATGAAAGTTTCTCGGAATATAGCCTTACATCAAAAGATTATATACCTCATCACCCTACTTTTGAAACCAACAACCGCCGGTAAATAGCATCGATCCCCTACACTGTCTAGAAGCCTTGCTAATCATAATATAGTTGGACCACGGAAGAGCACATCTGCTTGCTGAAATGCAAGCGCGCAAACGCGACTAAACCACACAACAAGAAAGTCGAGGAGCACAACGCGACCTTCGCAAGAGCACCCAGCGATACCTATACACGTACTCGAGAAGGCTGCCATCAGCAGATGGAGAAGCTCGTAGGACTAACGCCGGCAGGGCTAGAGAGGAGGATCGATGCGAAGATCGACGAACTGGAGAGGAAGATCGCCGATAACACGTTGACGCTGTTGTCCCAGGGATAGAAGATTCGCTTCTGTTATGTAACCGGGTCCAAGCGATGGGATGGAGTCCTCGAGGGTAGCTGCCGCCAGCAAAAGGACAAGATGGTGGGACTGACGCGGGCAGGGCTATGCGGGAGGATTGATGCCAAAATCGACGAGCTCGACAACGGAGCCTATATAGATCTCGCGTCCATCCTTGCAAGGGAGCTGCAGGTTGGGAAGCGTCCCGTGTGAGGATAGTTAGTGTTGAAGTGGCTAGTCCTCACCTCTTGACGGGCAAATGTCATAGATCATGTCGACTCAGGGGGCAACTTGTGCTGTACGCTAGATACGACCAAGATAAATGGGAGAAGGTGCGATCGATCTAGTAAGGTGAGCCTCGATAGTGTAAGCCTCATCTCACCGTGTGCACTCACAGCTCCGGCCACGACATACTACGAAGCTCCTCAGACCTAATCTGATAATTCTGTTCTCTAAAATCCAGATAGCAGAGGCTATTGTGTACCCATGGAGTGGAGGCATAAAATCCTTCTCCGAGCTCAGGTCCACTGAGACGGTGTGTGAAGACAATTGCTTTTCACTCTTTAGCGACGAGATCCCATATTCGTATAATCGTAGTATTGACCAGCATTATCCTACAGATCAAGAGTCCCCAAGCGCTTCCGGTCTAACCTTTTTACTCCTTGCGAACATGACCCAAAACCTTGCTCTTCCCTGCCAAGTCTCGCGCCAGCTGCTTCATAGGCACATTAGCCATGATATCAAACACCGAAATTTCAACAAGCATCTCCTTAGCGATCCAGTTCCTGACTTCGACAGCAACAAGACTGTCCACGCCATAAACACTGAGAGGCTTGTTGGCATCGACATCAGCGGCGGGAATCATCATCAATCTCGCAAGTCTCTCGCACATAGCTGTGGTGATCATGTCTACCGCCGCTCCAAGATCAGAGCAGCGCGAAAGCTCATCCTTTAGTGAGACGGCTGAAGCAGACGAGGACGAGCGGCCATTCGAAAGATTTCGCAGCCCAGCGAACCTGTTGTCTGCCATCCAGTACCATTGAGGCTCATACTCGTTGAATGGTAGACCACACATGACCTCGGGAGGATGTGCCTCTGAGCCTTCCATCGCAGTGGCGATGAGGCCGTGCAAGTCGGAGTTGTGCATGACTTTCAGACCCATGGCTTTGACGTGGTCGACGTACTCGTCGTTCTCAGCGACGAAGCCGACGAAGAGCAGATAGCCGATGTCGATCGTCATGGCTCGCAGACCGAGAGATCGTCGGTACGATGCGAAGTAGTCCTGGAAAATGTTGCCGCAGCCATAGTTACCTTGTCCTCTGTGACCCATTGTGCCTGCAAGCGAAGACAGCATGATGAAGAAATCCAGGTCACGAGGCAGCAGGTCGTGAAGGTTCCAGGTGCCGTGAACTTTGGGTCCAACTGTGATACGGAGGTCATCTGCACTCATCTTGTCAAAGAGTCAGTCTTGCAGAACCATTGCTCCAGTGACACAGCCACGAACTGAAGGCAGATGGCTGATGTTGAGCAGCACCGTCTGCAATGCAGCCCTGTTGCCGACATTACAGTCGAAAGCAGTGGCATTAGTGTTGTAGGTCTTGCGCAAGTCTTCGACATAGGCTTTGTTGCCAGCTCCAGAAGCAGCGGATCGGGAGAGGAATACGAGATGCTTGGCCCCCTTTTCTGCCAGCCAGCGACCGATCTCACGACCGATGCCGCCCAGACCAGCGACTATGTATGTAGCGTTTTCTTGAATGCCGACCTTGGGTGGGCGCGGCACGGCAGGTACTATGTCTGTCTCGTCCACACGAACAACAACTTTTCCCATGTGCTTGCCTGAAATAGTATTAGCAATACGGCCTTTTCAGGTTGCTGTAGTATCAACTCACCTGTCTGCATGTATCGGAAAGCCTTCTCCACCCCCGAGAAAGTGAATTGCTGCACCGGGTGTACGGGCATCAGTACTCCGTCACCAATCAAGCGAGCAACGTCGTTCCACAGTTTGACTGCGCGAGGGGTGGGGTTGTTCTCGAAGTCGAGGAGATTGACGCCAATATATGACTTGTTGTCCAGGAAAGGCTTCATGTCCAGGCCGGTGTTGGCGAAGAGATCTGCCTTTCCAATCTCCAAGAATCGACCGAATTTGGCCAAGCAGTGCCACGATTGCCGCAGTGCTTCTCCAGCATTATACTGGCGCAACACATCGGAGCAGAAATTTTCGCAACCGTTGGATCACAAGAGAAGCGTGATCTTTTGATCAAGCAATATGGGATCCAAGAAGACCACATTCTGAGCAGTCGACACCAGCTGCAGCGTGAATGAGAACGGTCTCGCCCTTCTCAAGTTGGCCGGCTGTGACAAGGGCATAATATGCCGTGAGGAATATCAACGGCATTGACGCTGTATCTTCGAAGCTCATATCGGCCGGCATAGCAATAGCGCCTTTTGCCGGGAAGCGAACATATGTAGCAAAGGTATCGCAGCTAGCTGTTATAACTCGATCGCTAGGCTTCAAGCCCGAGACACTGGGGCCAACTCTAGTAACGACGCCAGCAACGTCGACGCCGAGCTTGTTCTCATTGAGATTTCCGAGAGCAACGAGAACGTCTTTAAAATTCAGTCCGACGGCCTTGACTTCAATCTCGATCCAGTCCGATTGAAGCGGCGTGTAGTATGTCTCATCTTCCTGCCATCGGAAAGTGTCAAGCAGACCAGGAGTCTGGATCGTGAGCTTAAGAGGACGGCCACAGCTTATGAATGATGTGGGCTCTGGCTCTCCTTTCGCTTCGTACTTTTGAAGGCTCTTGTCGACGCTGGTGGCGCGCTCTACACGAGGGATGTAGATTGTAGAGCCTCGAGCAGCGAACTCTCCATCAGCGCCTTCACTGCTGCTGTGCGCCATGCTCACGTTGATGATAGCTGCAGCGGACGCGGCGACGTCAATATTCTCCAGAGTGTCGATATCCAGAGTTGCGAGTAAGACCCCAGCATTCTCGTTGCGGATTGCGCGAGACAGACCGACCATGAGCGATTTATGGGGCTCAGGGCAATCGAATGAGTTTGCGTATGGTATTCCAGTCACCATCAGTGATTTCAGCAAGAAGAGGCTCTTGCCATTCTACCAAAGAGACGCAGTACTTGCCCTCAATGTCTTTGGGTTCGAAGTCAGGCCACTGCAAGACGGCGGCTTCAACTCCCTTCTCCTTGAACGCGGAGAAGAGAGCGTCAGCAAGCTGTTCGGAGGCGGCATCTTCGGTGCGGATCACCGCAAACTGTGAGCTCTCAGCGACATCTACTGCCTTGACAGTGGGAATTTTGGGGGGACGATCAAGGAGACAGGTTCCTTGGAACCCTCTCGATCGCCACGAACGTCCAGATCAACCCCAGAGTAGCCAGCTTTCTGTAGAGCGCTATCCCACTCAGGTACATCGAGCAATGGACCACCTTTACGACCATCGTCCTCACCAAGCCACCAACCCGGAAGAGGCCCCATAATGAAACCACAGAAGATGCGCTTGATAGTCACCTCGGATAGAACCAGCTGTCCGTTGGGCTTGAGCAAAGTCTTGCAGTGTTCCAACGTCTCCTGGATGCTCTTGGTAGCATGCAGCACATTGGCGCAGACGATGAGGTCGAAGCTTTCTGCCCCGAAACCCTGCTCCAATGGGTCCTGTTCAAGGTTCAAGGTGCCAAATTCCATGACTGAAGCGTCTCTGACGAAGCGATCTGCTGCCTTGGCAAGGAACCCAGGTGAGATATCGGTGAAGTAGTATCGCGATGCCTTCGAAGAGTCTCCGTGACGCAGCCTGCCCAAAATATGGCCAGTAGTACCGCCAGTTCCCGCGCCGGTCTCGAGAATGCTGAGACCGGGTCTTTTATCCGCGATCAGACCGACATATTCGGCACAGTTGGAGTTGTAAGATGCCCCGAATGCACCTCGATAGAACGTATAGAGCAGATCATTCTCAAGCATGACTTGCAACGGCTCCACCTCCCTGGTGAATATTTTCGAGAGATTGAGACCTAGTGGAGATTCTCTTCTTGGCTGCGGCCATTTGTTGCTCAACCTCTGCGGCATCAGATGAGATCGGTGGGAACTCCAAGAAAGCTTTCTTCTGCCGCGCATTGCTCAATCGCATTTCTTGCTGCATCGAGGGCGATATGGAGCTCTCGTACGTAGCAGCAACAAAACCTCGCGCATGGGTAGTCCATTTATTGGGATCGTGCGACCAGCTCGAGACTGTGAATTCGTCAAGAGTTGCTGAAGGTGCAGCCTTCGTGTGGGTGGAGCTGGACCATGACCTCGACACCCTTGGCGTCACAATGGCGACGTCTCGCAGTTCATACCCGAGAACCTCTTCGTTTGGATCCGCCAGCTGGGATGCCGCTTCAATGGCCATGACAATCATTCCAGCGCCTGGATCAAGGATATTACCTTGGACTTTGTGCTCTCTAATCCACGGATTCTCGTTGCATCGGAGGAAATTGCGCCATGTGGGCTCGACTGCTGGGACGCGACATCCGATCAGATCTTTCCGTGGGCTTGCACGTAGGCGATACTCGCGGCTCAAAGCCATTTCCGCATTCGAACAAAGGCGATGACGTTTCAAGAGGAGTACTACTGGCTGCTCGAGTAAGGCTCGTGAAGTGGGGCTTGAGGAGAAGAACAGTTGTGCCTCTCGGGTTCATGGGGCTGGCGGTCGGAGGTTGGATTGTGCTCAGGCGACCTGCTGCTTGGACGGGCTCAATCAATAGATGCTTGAAGTTCCTGAAGGATCTTATCCAAAAGTAGTGAATCTGCTCACACATGCGCCCACCCATTATGCGCCAAAACCTGCATTTCATCAACCAAGCAAAATTCTCCGCTCTCAAAATGCGTATTCGACTTGGACTTCCACTCCTGCAACCGCCTCTTTACGCCTCTATCCTTCCAATAAGTCGTACTAGTCCATCTCCAGATCCGATTCATCCAAGACCCATAAATGACCCTGAAAGTGGAAACTCCCGAATTATGCATAGCCTCATATGCCTCTCCAGAATACCCGACTCTGACAATCGGATTCACCCAAACTCCTTTCTTCCAGCTAAAAGGATTATCGGCATGTATGAGACAGCATTCTGAGCCCTCGATATGATATTCAGCAAGACTATCATCCACGCCCCGAAATTGTAGCGAGCGACCGTAGAATGCCTCGGAATCCATTGCCACAATTCCATTCCAACAGCTCTTGACCGGGACTGGTCGACTGGCTTTCACTTCCCTTCTCGACTTCTGACTTCGGAAATATGGCCAAGTCTTCATCAATTTGTTGTAGCCTTCCACGTCTCGGAGAGCGAAAGTATCATAGAACGCCGGAGGTTTCGCGAAATCCAAAGAACACGCCGCAGCGTAGTTCCCAGCTCTGGTATTCAACAGCCTCCTCACATCCATATCATCGAAGACAACATCGTTCAAGAACAGCACTTTATCGAATCGCAATCCCTTCTCTTGCATTTCATACATGGGTTGCATCACCAGATTCCTAAGATTCGCGAGGTATGGGATTCTCCGGAGTTCTGATTTTCCTCTACTCGTCTTTATCCACCCCTTTTCTCCCGGCTCAGGAGTGCGAGAGATGTCGTCGACATGAGTAGTATTGTCCAAAATAATTCTTCGCGATATGCCGGCATGTGCGAGTTCGGAATCCAAGCTCCTCAAGGCTCCTTTCGTATCATCCAAACTCCCACTCTCTTGTATACTGACGAAGACATTTTCGCGACCGATCGCTTTCGCGATGGAGACAACCGCGGCGTTCCAGTGACTGCGTAGGATTCTTTCGTTCGTCCAATGTATACCAGCGATGTATATTTTCTCCTTTCCCAGAGGGGGTGGTTCTTTGCCGCTTTCCCGGGTTTGGGCTTGACGAACGAAGACGGCTTCAACGAGCGAATAAGCGAAAGCGAAGATGGCAAAGAAGATGGCATAGCGGCGTAGAAGGGTCTTGGGACTGACGGGATTGTTTCGAAAGCTTCGCGATCGCGCATGTGGTTTTCTGGGTTTCATTCTATGTTGTGGTAATGCATCGCGATGCTGGCAGGCAAGATCTGGTGACGGCTCAGGCGCAAATCAAGTGCTCTCCATTACGAGTGACAATCTGCGTGCGTGCAGGGGATCGAAGGATTGCTGTATGCTAAGAAGGCTACGGGAGTCTAGAGATGGAGGAGGGTGAAGGGTGAAGGGGGCATGAGCTCGCTGTGCAACCCCAGGGCGAGCGCCAAGGAGAAGCTTCCCGAGTCATGATGCATCGGCCCGCTACTCAGTCCTACCGAACATTGAGCCGTCAATTGCCGATTATACATACTGTACACAAGGAGCGCTCTGAGAGTCGAGGGACTGAGCAAATACTGCCATTGGAGATGCATCCAGCTCTATGTACATGCTGAGCCCAAGCCTTCCTGCAGATTACCGTGTACAAGCGAGCTACACTACCCTTCACTCATCCTCATCTTCACCTCTTGCTGCCAATTTCCTTACGTATTCGCTAGCAAGAGCCTTGACTCTTTCCACGTCCTTTTCCTTGCCTTCTTTCTCTTCATATTCCAGCCATTTCTTGAAGACGAATTTTGCTCGCCTTTTCTTCATCTTTTGCTGGCTGATGCGTTCATAAAGCGCCCTGGTCTTGTCGATCGCCTCCTTCTTGGCCTCCGCATCGTCCGCAACACGTCCCACTCGTGAGCGTTCAAGATCAACCCATTGATCCCATCCAGAGCTCCAGTGTGGTGAATCCGACAGAATTGCCTCAAAGACGCTTCGACCACGTTCAGCGGTACCATTTTCAGAGTGAAATTCAAGCGCCGCGAACTTCGCCACGAGCTTGCGATTCTCCTTTGGCGAGATCGATTTCAGCGCTCTTGATTGCAGCGCTCTCGCGCGATCTGCAGCTCCAAGGTTGTTCATGAGGAACGTTGCGTAGTTGTACCAGACATCAGGACTTGCGCGGAAGTTTTTGTTGGCCACAATCTTCTCGAAGACGGCGTCCGCCTGATCAAGACGTCCAGCACTGATGTAAATGTTTGCCAGACGTTCGTGCATTTCAAGCGGATCTTGGACTTCGCAGGCGCGCTTGAATACGTCTTCGACGCGCTCGTCATCGCCGTACTCAATTTCCATGTTTAGCCAAGCGACCCAGATGTGCATTTTCTCTTCAGTTTCTCGAATATGGATCGTGCGTAAAGCTCGCTCGGCGATATCACGAGCCTTCTGTACCTCGGAGAGCTCCAGTTGGAAAGCCATATATTGTATCCACAAACCAGAGTTGTTGGGCTGGCTCAGGAGGTGGCGCTCGAAGTCGCTATCACTGCGTGGGCCAAACTTGTCAAGATCACCGGTGCGATCCTCTTTGATCTCAGGCTTGCGCTTGCGCTTCTTTGTCGAAGTCGTCTCAGGTTCAGATTCGTCCGCAGCCGTGTCCCTGCCGACATCAGGTTCGCCCCATTGAAAGCCAGCTGTCTTCAGACCGCCCTTGACAGTCGATTCGATATCGGCGTCGACTTCCATGGCATCCGCGGCCTCATCAGCGTCACTGTCCGCTTCTTGCAATTCAGAGAGATCAACTTCGACGCCACCCTCGGCATCAGACTCTTCTTCAACCTCTACGCCATCCTCCATGTCAACGTCCTCACTCTCATCTCCACTTTCGTCTTCGCTGATCTCGGCTTCATTGCTGAAATAGCTGGCCTTCAACCCAAGACTGATCTTTCTGCTGTCCGGGTCCACGCTGAGCACCTTCGCTTTCACGACATCTCCGGAGCTATAGTGTTTCCGGACGTCCTCAATTCGTTTCGCAGCAACCTCGCTTCTGTGACAAAGTCCAGAAAGCCGGGGCTGTGTATTATCGATGTCCACGAATGCGCCAAAGTCCTCGACCTTCCGGACTTTCCCAGTGACTGTCATGCCTTGCTTTAGATCATGAATGGTCATCGGCGGCTGATAATCATTGTCCACGTGCGATCTCTTTAGGCTTAGCTGGACCTGTCCGCTGGCGGCATCAACAGTCACCACTCTGCCCTGAACAAGCTGATTAACCTCGTAGATGCTAGGCCAGTCCTTCACAAACTGGTCACTCAAGTCAGAGATATGAACCAGAGCGTCGACGCGAGAGCCAAGAGACACAAAAATTCCTTTCTCGGCGACTCGTTTGACGAAACCGCGGACGATCGCTCCAGGCTTGAGCTGAGAAGCTTCTGTGATATGTGCATCCTTCACCGGCAGGCTTGAGCTCAACACTTTGGAAGGGCGCAAGCTGACGAAGACGCGCTTGTCTGGCAGGCTAAGGCCTACAACACAGACACGAACAACCTCGTTCTTGCGATGCTGCCCGGGGTTTGTTTGGTCATAATCATCGCTGAGTTCCACGAGCGGCACGTGACAGACGATATCATCAGCGATCATAACGGTAATGCCATGCTCGGATATTTTGGTGACGCGCGCTGGCACGACCATGCCCAGGGAAAGCTCTTTCCGTGTCAAATTTTCTTTCGCGGTCAGGTCGAGCTTGTTGCTTGTAGTATCGACTGACTTCACCTTGACCTGGAGAGCGCACCCAACACGAAAGCGATTTTCAACGTTTTGTAATTGACCAACGTCATCTGACAAGTCCATCAACGACACACGACCGCGGACGTTAGGTGACAGGTTCGCCCACACGCAATTATCGCTGTGATTGTTGACAAATGCAAGGTAGGAAGCACCCTGCTTGACAGAGTCCATCGCCAGGAGAGACTCATCGCCACCTCGAACTCTGGACGGCTTGGCTGAGAGCTCGAAAACCGGCACCTTACCCCCACGGTGGCTGATAGGAAGGAAGCGATGACTGCGTGCATCGTGGATACCCAGGATCTTGACGTCGATCGTGTCGTTCTGCTTCAGCTTATCGTTCTGCAAGGGAGCCGCTTTATTCGTAATATCGTCCCAACTGTCGAATACTTCACTGACATCCACACGGCCCTGCACATTGTCTGCAAGCCGAACATTGATCTGCGTGGCTTTCACGGAAGCAATGCGAGCCTTAACGACTGTTCCAAGCGCAAAATCTGCCATCGAAGAGATCGCAGGGTCGACGGCATTTTTGACGTCGCTCTCCGTTGCATTACGGTTCTCAGATGTCTCGGTCTGAGCCGACTGCCCTGGCTCGCGCATTGTGAGCAGAAATCGCTGCCGCGTAAGATCAACATCAGTCACCCAGACGGTCAATGTCTGGTCCCTTCGGAGTCCGAATGATGGTTGATTGCTCATTTCAGGCAGAAGCAGGCTCTTCGTGATGAGACCAACCACGCCATTAGGAAATTCAGCATACACGCTGTCCTGTGTGATGTTTCGCACGAAGCCATGGAATTTAATTCCTGGCCGAGCATCACTGAAGCTTTTGATGAGCTTACCAGGCTTGGCAGCGTCCTTCACCATGGAAGGCTTATTGCTAAGCACGACCGTACGGCTTCTCTCCTGCTTGTCAAGTACCAAGAGATTCTTCAGCTTCTCTCCTACACGGATCCGTTTCATGGCGCTCTGCGCCTTGGCCTCCGAGTTGTCGACTAGGTGGCCAAGCCGGATAATCCCTTTGAGACCGTGATCAAGATCAAGCAGAATGGAGTCGGCTGTCTTTTCGGTGACGCAAGCGCTCACAAGTTCACCGCCGTGGATTCTATCCCACGCGTCGCTTTGTTCTTGGGTGAAGTCTCCGCCATCCTTGCAAGTGACTTTCATTCGCTCAGCCTCAGGCGAGACTGACACAATCCTCACATTGACGGTCTGACCAAGGCGGTAAAACTCGCTCGGACTTTCAATCCACGACTCGCTCATCTCGGCGACCGGCAACCAAGCTCGGACAGCGCCGTAGAATTGAATGACAGCACCGTTGTCGTGCAGAGCTATGATCGTCCCTCGAGAAGTCATGCCGGGTTCGAGATCATGATAGTCTTTCCAGAGAGAGGTGCTGTCATCTTCAAGCAAAGATTTCTTGAGAGTGAGTCGAATCTGTCGCTCCTCCGGGTGGACCGACAGCACACGCGCCTTTACTTCAGAGCCTGCTCTGAATTTGCTCTCGGGAAAACGAAGTTGTGTATCACTGAGATGCATCTCCGGGACTAGGCCGTTGACGTTGTCGCTCAGCTTCACCAAAATGCCAGTAACTCCACTCTTACTTCCGTAGATCAGCTTGTCGACAGAGCCCTTGACAGTCTGGCCCACTTTCAAATCTTCAAGTCGCAGAAAAGCTTGGTCAAGCACTGACTGCTTCAAGGAGACACGGTAGATGTCGTCGATGGGGTTGTAAGACAGCACCCGTGCCTTGTGCACAGTGCCCGGCTTGTAAGATCCAGACGTTGATGACAATGTATCAATGTGCTGGTCCGAAAGCTGGGAGATATGTGCGAATGCCGTTATGGTCCGCTCTCCGCGGCCTTCCTTTCTCGAGACCGCGAGGAACACTCCCTGCTGGGAGAGGACTCTGGTCACCTTTGCTTCGTCAAGAATTTTCGAGAGCGGCAACGCTTGTTCTATCTCTTTTGCTTGTGCCTTCAATTTGAACGTCGCGTTTCCTGGCAGCTTGGTCGGAGCTGGTGTAAGTGCCAGAACGTGATCGAGCAATGATACCCCGACCTTTGTAGACTCATCGACTTGAGGAAGCGCATAAGTAATTCGCGCTTTTAATTTGCTTCCGATCTTGAATTTCTTGCTCATATCCTCGACGCCAACAGCATTGGAGTGAACCGTGTCAGCAGTGACATCGAGTAGGCCCATGATCTTGCCAGCGATCCCCAGTGGCGTGACTTCTGTCACAAGGACATTGGCGAGTGTACCCGGTAGAAAGGCGTCGACCGTAGGAGCATCGCTGACGACCGGAGCATTCGATTGACTGCCATTGAGCTTGTTGAAATCTGGTGACAGTTTCAGAACTTTTCGCCCGTCACCGCCAACTTTGTCGGTGACAAGACAAAGCATGACTTGACCCTCCTTCGCTTTGCTTAATTCCCAGGCAGCTCCTAGCGCCTTCTTGGCGATGAAACCGGTGGCATGCTCCTCAATGAGACCAACATCCATAACCAGGCCATGATCCTCGACACTGCGTACGGAAGCTTGAATCGTGCTATGCGTCACAACGCTGTCCGCAGAAAGACGACCGTTTGTAGCCGCAGGCTCAATTGACAGTTCGATGTGTTTCTTGGGCTTGCTCTGTCCCTTTCCCTTGTCCTTGCCTTCTTCTGGTTCGGTAGCAGTGGCAGTCACGGCAGCTCTGAGCCACTGTCCTATGTGGAATAGCTCTTTCAGGTCAACGTCGCCGTGCTCTTCAGCATCCTCCTCCTCCGCCAGCATGATCTGTTCGAGTTTGGAGTTGACTTTTGGCGAGATCGAGGTAATTTTAGCATATCCGGTCATGTTGTTGGGCAAGGCAAGCGCGATGTCGCGGTCAGTGATTGCTGTGATCCGGCCAAGTACGACGCTGCCCACAGTGAGGTTTTTGTAGGTTAAACCTTGTATCCTTGTGATGGTGCCTTCACTCTTGCCCTTCTTAGCATCGCTCTTCCTCTTCTTCTTGCTGCGGGATTCGTCTGCGGCATCATCGAACAGATCCTCATCGTCGAGCGACTGCTGCTGACCAGTCTCCAATTCTTTCTTGGCATCTCGCTCAGCCTGAGCTTGAATCTGTTTATTTTCCAAGGCAGTAAGGGGACCTGCGCCACCGCGTGGAAAGCTGCGCTCTTCAGTCTGTAGTATAGATTTGAGCACCCTCTTCTCACCGCTATTGTCGACGGATTTCCGAGGCCTCTTCTCTTTGCTTTGCTCGTCTTTCGCCTCGGACGATTTGGCTTTCTTGCTAGGGCGCTCGTCTGTGACGGCCTTTCTCTTGACAGCCGACATGGTGGCGAGGGTCGACGCCTGTCAATGCAGTGGTGTCGATATCGCTTTGGTCTCTACAAGTTTTTTTGAAGATGTCGATTTCGCGGGGGTCCAAGCTCCGATTGCCGACGTGCCGGCGGCCGAGAATGCGCTAGTGCAACCTTAAACGCGTCTTTGCTCGACTCGACGCGTTGTGCGTAAAGTGCTTTTCTAGCATTCGCCTCACACACCTCTGCATATTCATGTCCGACAGCATTACGCTGCCGTCTTAAGAGAATATAATGGCAGACCTGCCACCAAGATCCTCTCAGGACAGCTTCTATCAGCAGAACAAGATCTCGCTCGACCAGGAGAACATTCCATCTTCGCCTCCCATACCGCAGAGTGCCACTGCCAGTCTGCTCAGCAGTCAGAAGATCAGGAAGCCGCCCACTGTCACTCCGAACAGATTCAACAAATTCTTCAAGCCGAGGAAAGCTGTCAGCACCCGAGGCGGACGCTTAAGCAAGGCAGGAAGGCAGCTTCGAGACATTACCAAGAATGGGGCAAACCGGAGAGCTGCAGGTATCTCTGGAGCAGATTTCCTGCCGACGCCGCAGGATGACTTCACCTCGCCTCGGCCCCTAAAGCGCAGAAAGCATTCTGGACTGGACTTGCAGAGTTCACCGCCGCAGTCATCGCCATTGAGGCACCACCAGACGCTGGAGCCGATCGAGCTACCAGAATTTGATTCGGAAGCCGAGACTCTTCCAGAGCTTTTTGAAGAGCTGAAACCATTCCCGCGTGCTAATCGGCGTCTGCGCGAGCCAGGCCCAGCTCGACGCATCCTGGAGCGCAGTTTCGGGGGCTTTCATGCAACCTCTCGAGGCTTCCGAGGAGCGGACCATGTAGTGGATTGGAGAGCAGAGACCGCGGACATCTGCACTTCTCCTTCAGACACTCACATGTTTTCTGGTGCTGCTCTACCCTTCTGTACAACTGCGTGCAACACGAACCCGCTTGTGGCCATCGGTGACGAGGAAGGCAGCATCCACTTGATCGATTCCTCGCCGGCCGCAGATTTTCGAATGGCTCATGTCAAGTTCCGTGTACACCGTAATGCGGTCATGGATATTGCATTCTGCTCAGATGACTATATATTGGCAACCGCGAGCGGAGACCAGACTGCGAGAGTGGTGGACATGTATAGCCAACAGACTATGTGTATTCTGACTGGCCATAAAAGCAGCGTGAAGCAAGTGCGCTTTGCGCCGAACGACAACAACATCATCACTACCAGCGCCAGAGACGGGTGTGTGAACATCTGGGATCTCCGATGTGGTGGAAAGTCTGCTGTCCAGAACTGGCGAGCATCGGCTGGTTCTCGTTTCAATGGCGACGGTAAAGTCGAGCCAGAAGCGAGATACGGCAAGTCTCTCGAGGTGGGCTATGGACATCGTTCGGCGAATCGCTCGTATGAGACGGACAACGGGGATGAACTGTCTATCACCTCATTCCAACACCTGCTCAATGGACGCGAGCACATGATTGTGACTTCGAGCGAAGTTGATGCCTCAGTCAAGCTTTGGGACCTTCGAAACGCAGGCCGACGCAGTCCGATGCCTCTGGCGAGTACACCGGTTCCTGAATCACACAGCAGCAGACGAAACTTTGGCGTCAACGCCATGGCGTTGTCTGGCGACGGCGGCCGTCTGTACACGATTTGCCGCGACGCTACCATTTATGCCTACTCGACCAACCAACTTGTGCTCGGCTACGCGCCAGAAATGTCGTCTGGTCCAAGCAGAAGGCGTTTGCTCAAGGAACAAATGCCTGGCTTGGGGCCACTTTACGGCTACCAAAATGCAGATCTGGGGCTAGCGTCGTTCTACATCAAAGCGTCTCTACGACCAGCAAAGGGCGACAAAAGCGAGATGCTGGCAGTGGGCAGTACGAACGGCAACCCGATCCTGTTCCCTACCGATGAACGCCACGTCCCCCGAAGGGAACGCGCGATAATCGATGACGAGAATGACGAGGATGAATCTGATCTGCCCTCCGCACCACCGAAATCGTCACAACGTTCTGCGACCTCCGCTCGCTCGAAGTCATCGTCCAATTTGCATGTTTTCGAGCACGGCACGGCTCTAGTGAGAGCTCATGATAAAGAAGTCACCTCGTTGGCCTGGTCAACCGATGGCGATCTTGTCTCGGTCAGTGACGACTGCACAGCGAGGTGTTGGCGAGAAGACGGCAGACGTGCTCGCACATTGCGGACTGGCGGCGAGGCCGATGGAGGCCGATGGCAATCTGGCTGGGCAGATGTTTCGCCTGATTGGGATGAGGATGACTGCTAAGCTGATTGCAGCACAAAGGCTGTGGCAGAAAAGGTAAATGTGGTGAAGAGATGGTTGACATTGAGATTGTCCTGTCTGGTATGCGTGTAGTCAAGGTATGGATGGAACGGCATAGAGCTTAGATGTCTAGCAAGCACGCATGGAAATGCTCCGATTGCTCCATGAGACATTGCTCTCTCCGTCAGGGGGATGCTCAAAGCCACAGTCGTGATGATCTCGTTCGATGTAGTCGTCCGCCTCGTGCTGTCTTCGTGCGGACCATGGCCATGGCCTTTGCGTCCCGTCAATTCCCGGTGACGGAGCGTGGCTAGAGACTAGAGAAAGAAAGTACAGTAGATGCGAAGGTTTGAACCAAGCTCGCCAAGCAAAACCCTAGAACACAGGCCCCCCCCTGTCAAGCTGTCAAGCATTTGCGTCAGCCGTATCTGGCGCTTTACTGATAGCCATTTGCAATCCAAAGCGGCGCTCCTCCCTCCAGCCGCATCAGCATGTCTTTCTCGGTCTCCGCCCATCGTGCATGTTGGGCGGACTAGTTCTCATCGCCGGCACCTGTTCGGCAGGAACCGTCGTGTCGCCGTTCAAAATGGCCTTCCATCGCCACGCGTGCGCCGCCCTTCGCAATCCCTCTCCCACCACATCGCTCTCGTTGCAAAGATGAGCCGTCGAGCGAGTCTGATCACCGATGGCGACCATTTGGCAGCGCTGGGCATCCAGCAGGAGCTCAAGCGGAATTTCTCTCCGCTGTCCATGCTGGGACTGGCCTTCGCCATCCTGAATTCCTGGACGGCGTTGTCAACTTCCATGTCCCTGGCTCTGCCATCCGGAGGTGCGACATCTGTTATTTGGGGTCTTGTCACCGCCGGAGTGTTCAATCTCTGCCTGGCAGCGAGTTTGGCGGAATTCTTGAGTGCGTATCCGACTGCTGGCGGACAATATCACTGGGTAAGAGGACTGTACTCGTATGGCAGTTATCGAAGAAGACTAAGCGCTATTAGGTTCATATCATCTCATGGCATTCGTGGAAACCACTTCTCTCCTGGATCACTGGATGGATCAATGTCTTCGGATGGATGGCGTTGGTTGCCACAGGAGGTCTGCTGGGCAGTCAAATCATCATCGGCATCATCGCTCTCTACGATACCAGCTATGTCGCACAGAGATGGCATCAATTCCTCATCTACATTGGCTACAACATCTTTGCCATGCTTGTCAATGCTTTCGGCAATTCCATTTTGCCGCTGGTCAACAAGACCGCGATTATCTGGAGTATCTCCGGCTTCGTGATCATCTCCATCACCGTGCTGGCTTGTGCTTCGCCCGACTACAACTCCGGAGACTTTGTTTACCGCGAATTCTTGAACACGACTGGATGGCCTGATGGTGTTGCCTGGCTTCTTGGACTGCTGCAGGGCAGTCTGGGGCTGACTGGCTATGATGCCACAGCACACATGATTGAAGAGATTCCGAACGCCGCGGTGGAAGGACCAAAAATTATGATATACTGCGTTGCGATCGGCATGTTCACTGGCTTCATCTTCCTCTCTTGCTTGCTTTTCGTTGCCGGCAGCGACATTAACGAGGTCATCGAATCAGGCGCAGGACCACTGAACCAAATCATTTTCAATGCAACCCACTCCCGGGCGGGAACGGTCTGCCTTCTCATGTTCCCGCTGGTCTGTCTGCTCTTTGCAACAACATCAATCATGACCACTTCCTCTCGCATGACCTATGGTATGTGGAAATCGTCTCATCTAGAGAATTCTCACTGATCTCCACTTAGCATTTGCACGAGACGGCGGCCTCCCTTTCTCCCGCATCTTCGCGCGTGTACACAAGAAACTCGATGTTCCTCTCGAGGCACTTGGACTCACAGTTGTGGTGGTCTTGGTGTTCGGGTGCATCTTTCTGGGATCGACCAGCGCTTTCAATGCCATTGTCAGTGCTTCGGTGGTTGCTTTGGGTGTCTCCTACGGCATACCGGTCACTATCAACTGCCTTCGCGGCCGTAAGCAGCTGCCGCCAACAAGGACGTTCATCCTACCAGAGTGGTTCGGATGGACAGTCAACCTCATGGGCATCGCTTTCGTCATTGTCACCACGGTGCTCTTCGTCTTTCCACCAGAATTGCCCGTGACCGGCAACAACATGAATTACTGCATTGTCGCATTTGCGATTGTTTTCATCATCAGCATGATGCAATGGTTCGTGGATGGACGCAAAAACTATACTGGACCGAAGGTGGACATGGTGGCCAATATCCTGGTCGCCATGCAGTCTCCAGTAGGGCCTCCTGAGATGGAAGACTCGGGCTCGTCTCGTCTCGGAGGCAAAGGATCTGTCGAAGCGTGATTCAAGGTACGTCTGCTTCTTCTCTCCAAGCGTGCAGTTCTGATGACTCCTACGTTACTCATGCCCGACTAATCATGAGGGTTCCATTAATATACCAATTGTTCCTACTGATATGACACTTCTCTGCTTCACATCTCCATCCACCGCCTCAGGAATCTCGCTGACTTGCAAAAACACTGCAGACCAACTCTCCCGATGCGATGATGTTAGCTTAGCGAAATGTCATTGATTCCACATGTTCTGGTGTCTCACTCTCTCTCTCTCTCTCTCTCTCTCTCTTCCGTCCTACGTGGAAGCACTAATTTTGGAGGCTGTCGGGCGGTCCATTGCGGCTGTCGCCGTGGAACAGTCCAGACCTGAACGGCACATTGTCTTTCACGCTCCCACTGTCTTGCTGTGACCACGCAAGCATATTGCATAAAAGAGACACGCTTTCCGATGCAGTGGGCAGGAGCAGGAATACGCGGCACGAATGCGATACGCGATTCTGCCAGCCAATCAGAATTCCGTTCCTGCACCGGAGACTCGGGCATTTGGGGACGGGTCACGGAAGCCGGGGAGGATAAACTTTCGTATGCAAGTGATGAAGTGGCTGTGTTATGTTATGCAACAAATGTGATCTCATCATTATTCGGGTCGGTCGGGTCCCTCACGGCAGGGCAGGTTCGATCAGTGCAGCAGCCCGGATGTGTTCTTCGCGGCAACTTCTGCGTCGAGATGCCAGCGCCAGCACGCCTCAACAGGTTAAGTATGGGCTGGCTACACAAAGACACTGCCTCCGGCGATCGCTGAGAATCCTGCATCCTGCCTGCTCCATCGCGCCTCCATTCCTTGTCAGCAGAATGTGTCTCAACCTTCGATGAGTGCCAGCCCGGGCCTGTCTTTTCTTTGACCTATCGCACCATGTCCCAACTCAAAAGCGGCCACCGTCCTGTGCAAGACGACGCCAAGCCACCAACCACGAGAGCATTGGCAGACATCCAGTACAATTCAATCTTGGCATCGGAACCGGGAACGTCGTCGGAAGATGAGTCGCCCGGAATCCCCCACGAAGAAGTCGACGATGCTCGTACTGCACTGGGAGTCAGTATTGGTCGGGAGCAGACGAGACTTGCCTTGCCCAAGACCCCGGCCGCCGAGAAGGCTGCTGCAATTGAGAAAGCAGGCGATTATTTCCACGCCTTGGATGGATCAGCCCTGACGCTGCCAGAGAGTCCACCAGAAGATGGTGGAGAGGACGAAGACGAGGCCCCGACAAGACCGGAGACTGTACGGCGATGCTCGAGTCCGCCCACCACTCCGATCAAACCTCCTTCGCCCTGGAAAGCGGGACCTAAGCAGTTTGAGACTCAACCTTCCCAGGGCGACAGGTCAAATCGAACGAGATCGATATTGCGCGATGGATTCTCATTCGGCCGCAAGAGAGCGTCGTCTGGGCCTGAAGTCCAGCACAAATCTTTGTTCCCATCATTCCCATCATTTCCGTCACTGCCAAAAAGCTTTTCGGTGGCAAACGCACTTTCGTCGTTTCGGGACGCCGACAGATCAGATGATACCAAGAATTTATCACCAAGTCAAAGCCAGAGTACGTCGAAAAGGAGATCGACAGTGGCCGGCACACCACCCCAGCTTCCGCAGAGCGCCAGCCTCGTCGACACTTTTGCTGGAACCCCACCCTCATCCCAGAGTCGGACGACGCTAGTTCCGGATTCTGATGAGGAGGAAAAGTTGGCGACGATAGGAGAGCTGCCAGAGAACTTGCCGCTCCGTCACACACGTTCTAGACCAGCCGTTCTTCGAAGGTCAACATCCGATAGCTCCCTTGTCGCAAAACGAAGTTTGTCGATGGCCTCGTCACTAGGAGATGACAGCAGATTTGAGAACGTCTCTGAGCAAGTCAACAGCCGATTTAAGGCCATCAAAGACAGCTTCGCCGACTCAAGAATTGGCTTCCCTAGCATGCCTTCAATCACGAATTTCAACGCATCCAAATTCGCCCCTGACTTCCTCAGTCGTGAGCGATCTGGATCTTGGGCTAGCAAGACGCTGGGTTGCAATCAAAATTCCAGCTCCCATCAGCCTCACCCTGTTGACCCGATGACAAGACAGCCATACACATCCGCTAAGGCTGCCGTAATGGGTGCACCTGTGGACAAATTGAGGAACGAGCATCCTCACTTCACTCGTGCACTCGAGAATCTAGAAGGCGACGTTGTTGTTATGGGCGGCTATCGCGGTTCAATTCTTCGCTCAGCAGAGCCCCCTCACAGACAATTGTGGGTGCCGATCAAGGTTGGACTGAACATAAGAAAAGTCGATCTCGAGGTGGGTCTAGGAGAGGATGATGACGAGCAAGCTACCGAGAAGGTCATCCCAGGAGGAATGTTGACACATATTGGACCCGTAGACATCTCGAGAAGACTTCTCAAACGACTAAGGTCGTGCCAGAACGCTCGAACAGGTAAGCTGCGAGTCCATGAGTACGGCTACGACTGGCGATTGTCTCCTGCACACCTGAGCAGGAAGCTTTCACAGTTTATGAAATCGCTGCCTTGCAATCAGCCTGGAGTGCCGAAAGACAAACGAGGCGCGACAGTCATAGCTCATTCGCTTGGAGGTTTGATCACTCGACATGCAGTGAATCGCGAACCAGAACTCTTTGCAGGTATTGTCTATGCTGGTGTTCCGAGAACCTGTGTAAATATCCTTGGACCATTGAGGAATGGCGATGAAGTGCTTCTGAGCAGCAGAGTCTTGACGGCACAGGTAAACTTCACGATTCGGACCAGCTTCGCGCTACTTCCCTTAAGCGGCCGGTGTTTCATCGACAAGAACACCAAAGAAGAATACCCAGTCGACTTCTTCGACCCTCAAACTTGGATCAACTACAGACTATCACCCTGCATCGCCCGTGCTCTTCCACCACGGGCACCTCCACCTAAGCCTACAGGCATCACAGGCTACGTCAGCAACACCATGGCCACAGCCTGGGACAACCTCCCAATTCCAGGCCGAAAAAGCAGCAAAGCATCCAGTGACATGTCCGCAATAAAGTCCGCCGCATCAGGCAGTCTCGCAGCCCCAGAAACTTTAGACACCAAAGCACAAAGTTCCGAGGTCGCAATGGCAAATGGCAACATTAACAATGGTGGAGCAGCCGCACAGCCCGACTCCGTCCGAACAGCAGTCACAATTCCCTACGATCAAGCCTTGGATTATTTAACCCGAACTCTAAAATCCGTCAAGAAATTCAAGCAAGAATTGGCTCATATCCCGCTGTATCAGGAACGAAACGACTACCCTCCTGTTTCAGTCATCTATGGAAAATCTACACCTACCGTCATCGGAGCAAAAGTCGATGGGAGGGAAGGAATCAAACATGCGGACGCTTATGATGAGTTGGCTTTTGCGAGTGGTGATGGAGTCGTGCTCGCACGTGCAGCGATGTTGCCGGAGGGGTATGTGGTTGCTGCAGGTGGAGTTGTGAGTTCGAGGCGAGGACATGTTACGCTGCTAGGAGATTTGGAGGCTGTGGGGAGATGTCTGAATGCTGTGCGGGTGGAGAGGAGGAAGGGGGTTGGGTTGGGTTGGGTTAGAGATGTGTAGCATTTGTAATTTTAGGACCTGAGAATCAGAATCGATGGATTGTGAAGATTTTTTTTTTTTTTTTTTTTTGCCGTGCCAAGTTGTCTCCTTCCTGCTGGAGAGCTCTCAAGTGATTTTTGTGATGGGTTTGTCGAAAGATGCGGTCGTGCTGTAGTGGCGTTTGTGAATGAGGTGGGCTCGTGATGAATGGAAGGTGTGCAGCTTCCATAGGCCAGTACCTGTACTTGGAACTTGGGAGGGTGGCGGTGGAAGTGAGGAAGGAGATTTTCGCAAGAATGCTGACATCAACTTGGGAACCCACGCACGGTATGTATGTAGTTGTATTTGGTGGCCCGACCGAGCACTCGTGTCGAAGGAGCGGAAACGTCATGGCACAAAGCAACTGTGTATCGTGCCCAGAGGTAGCTACTAGTAGAACCAGAAAGAGGAGAATGGCCTTCTCGGGTCAAAGCCGATGGGTCTGGCACATCTGCCAGGAACCAGTGCTACTGTGCCATTAAACAATGCGGTATCAAAACTCAGGTCAAAGTCTTCTATCCATCACTATCCAAAAATGCCGTCAGCTCGTTGTGCTGCCCTGGCCGTTCTTGATGTCCTTCCAATGCGCAAAAATGCTAGAAGCAGAGCGCAAGCAAAACTCGGGTATCTTCCCAATGCTACGCGTGCCCCAACGCCGTCTATTCGCTGACCATGGCTGTGCTGTACAGATCCCCTGTCAATGATGATCCTGCCGTACTTCAAGACCTCTCTATCATAGCAAGTAACGCATCGCCAAGTAAACCAGAAAAATCGAAACCAAAGCCAAGAGCGGCATAGTGCGGCTCAGAACCTGCGTCCTCCAAACCATGCGATCCAGGTCGTGCACCAAACCGATGCATTTATCGAAAATCTGTCGCGATACGTCCAGGATCTCCGCCTTCTCCGATTCTGTCAGGAGAGTTTCCGCTTCGGCTAGTCGAGCTTTGAATGCCGCTTTTATATCCTCGCCATCCTCTTCGCCCGGGAAAGAAAGAAAAGTGAAACCAGGAAGCTGTAAGAGAGCGGATGATTGTTCGCCTTTCTCAAGATTGCCGGCACCTCCAGGCTGGCCAGTCCAGAAATTTGCACCTCCGTTTGCAAGCTGTTGTCGAATCCAGCGTCCCCCTGCGAAAGTAGCCATGTACAAGACCCAAGCAAATGCTACAAGCACTTCTGGATTCTGCCGAATTCGAGCACGCATTCCTCCAAGCCACACCTCACCCACAGCCGGGGTACTGTATATGCTTGACCCAGCGATATTGCCAAGGTGTCGAAGATCGTTATTCAAACGTTCTGATCTTGCGAGTCCTTCGGGAGGTAGACTTGCTATCCATCTTCGAACTTGGGCCTCGTGAGTTAGGTCGGCTGGATCGAGTTTCTGAACGTGACGTATTAAGAGGTCCCACTCTGACTCGAAGAATATAAAGATGCGAGCGAAGGGCACAATGCCCTTGCTCAAAAGCAGTGGATTTGAGTGATATGGTGGTAAGGCAAGCGGCAAGCGTTGAATAATGAGTCGATTCAACTCGGTATGTTGTTTCTGCGTGGCCAGATTGATTCGATTCGATATGGTCGACGAGTCTGGCGATGTAGCCATGGTGGTCGCTGGAGGCGGCGAAGGAGAAGGAGAAGGCGCAGATGCCTCCGGGGGTGGCAGCAAAGGGATTCAGCGGTTTGCTGCGGTCTTTGTAGGGAATGTGAGGCTGCCGAAAGACAGCGCTGAGCCTGGTGCAGAGGTCATGTTGGGGTTCTGTTGCGTTTGGCGCTCTCAGTATCACTGCCTCATCGGCTGATTCTGAGTCTGCTGCGTGACGCGTGAATAGTGCGATTTGCGGATGTGAGGCCTGGTGACTGGGAGTGGTTGGCACGCGTGAACCAAAGTCGCAGAGGCACAGCGATTGTGTATGACGTAATCGTCGCGTGGTAAGTTGTAACCAAATTTTGAAGCGAATTGAGGCGATCCGCGTGGGAGTGTCATCAAGGAGCGGGAGCTGGCGCGGCTAGCAGGGATTGTTGCTATGCGGGGGTGCGGTTGCTATGGGGCAGTAAACACGGCTCCAGAAGGCAGATCGGATTATTGAGGTGAGCGCACCATCCACCACCTCTCTGCGCCCGCGACCCAGATCTCTCCCACACGGCAGCGCATCGGATTACACTACACGCTCGTTAGCCGTTCAACGCACGCATCAATCACAGCCACTCGACGTCTGCAGCACCACTATCCAATTCGTAGCGAGCATCTCGATAGAACTACCTTTAGCTTTGCGCTGCACCCCGAAGTCCATCTCCCGGCGCCAAACACCGTTGGAGCCCAGCGCAGCATTCCATCAATCTCCCGTCTGCAACCCGCATGCTCGGCCACTCATAGCATACGAGGCACGAGGCACGAGGCACGAGGCACGAGGCACACCGCTGCGGGCAGCCGAGCATCTGCCATGGATACCAGCTACCTCTCCCAGCAGGTCACCACCATTATCGAGCGCCTGCATGGCTTCTTCGACGAGATCGGCGTGCCCAGCCATGAGCGCGACTCGCGAGAATCAGAGGTATGATCAATATCGTCGACAGGAGATGCGGCGCAAGCGAGATACTGACAGCCTGTGCACAGCTCTTCTCCGCCCTCTCAGAAACACTGCACAACCAGCTGAACCTAGTAGCAAAGGAGAAACATGACCTTACCGAGGAGGCCCAGCGCCTCATCAAGACGATTCGCCAGATGGAGCGATCTCTTGACGACACACGGCCCAAAGACGACTACGAATGCGAGAAGGATGGTCTGAAAGTCACAATGCCGCTGCTGAGCTGCATCGAGCGCCTCAAGCAGAAACACCACACCATCCAGAAACTGCATCGTGAGCGATACGAGCAGGTCAAGAAGCTGGTCGAGGCCCTCGAATCATATGCATCCCATCTGGAACCTGCATTCGTCAAGATCAAGCTTCCTCCCACATCACCCAAAGCCGACATTGCTCCCACCTTTGATTTGTCGCCGACATATGTTACCAAGTTAGACCAAGAGTTCACGCGCGTATACGATGAGTACAACAAGCGCGTCGCCACCGTCACCACTTATGCCCAGGACATCATCAACCTCTACTCTGAGCTTGGCACTCCTCAAGCTCAGATTGACAGCCAGATTGTACAATGCGCACGAGAGTCGCCCGAGCAGCTTGGCCTCCATCAGGACGATCTTAAGCGACTGGCTCTCAAGCGTGATAAGCTCATACAGGAGAAGCAGGGTCGCGAGAAGAAGCTGAGAGACTTGCGCGTGGCCGTGGATGGGCTTTGGGAGCGGCTTGGTGTTGACGAAAGCGAGCGTAAGCAGTTTCTTGCTGCGAACCGTGGAGTCGGCATTCGTCAAATCAACGAATTTGAGGACGAGTTGGCTCGATTGAATGAGCTAAAACGACAGAATCTGCACATTTTTGTCGAGGATGCGCGGGTCAAGCTTCAGGAACTCTGGGACACACTCTACTTCTCGGAAGAAGAGATGCTGGACTTTGCGCCTGCGTTCTCTGACGTTTACTCTGACGCTCTTCTCTCGGCACACGAGCAAGAGATTGCTCGCCTCGAGATGCTAAAAGAGCAACGCCTTCCAATTCTGGCTGCGGTTGAGAGACATCGCAGCCTTATCAAGGATCGCGAAGATCTGGCACAGAGCAGCCAAGATGCATCCCGGCTGATGTCGAAGGGTCAGAAGGGCGAGAAACGTGATCCAGGAAAGCTACTCCGTGAAGAGAAGATGCGGAAGCGGATTGCGAAGGAACTGCCCAAGGTTGAAGCAGATCTTCGCAAGACGCTGGAGTCCTGGGAAAATGAGTATGGACGTCCATTCTGTGTGCACGGGCAGCCTTACCTGGACGAGCTGGAGGCAGCTCAAGCACGAGCTCCTCCGCCACGAAGCAAGACACCAAACGCCCTCTCAGGCACTCGCGATGCGCCGAAGAGTGCGGGTCGGGACACCGCGAAAGCACCACTGTCGCAGAGTCGAAGCGCTGGTACTTTGCGAGGCAACAATCCAACGAGGAGCAAGACACCCAGCGCACAATCAAGCAGAAATCCTCTTGCAGCTTCCACTTCCGTCCTGGGAGCATCGACGATGAACGCATCAATGTTAGCCGCGTCAATGTCAGGTTATAGTGCCGTAAAGTTGAGCCCATCAAAGATTCCGGGTGCTTCAGGTTCGCGACTACCAATGAGCCAGTTGAGAGATGGCAATAACTCTCCTGAGCGACGAGACCGAAGCAAGACTGTTGGCACTCGGCAAGGAGAGGAACTAAGTCGAACTCTTCGCGGCGACATGGGTCCTCCACAAGTACCTCCTCCACGCATGAAAGACCTCTTCAGTCCACCCACACCAACACCCAACGGCGCCAACAAGGAGAACGGACTTGCCTTGGAACGCAGTAATAGCGTCGTCCGCCATGTCGAACCGGACGACCCATACGATGATCGTCGATCCCGCAACAATCAATATTCAAGCATGCACTCTTCAACATCCCATCGTGCAGGTCATGGATACTCACGATCAGTCGACTCCTTTTCCTCAACTTCTTCCCGACCTCTCAGCAGGCAAGAATATCCAGTCGCACCTCCCTTTTCACGACAAACCAGCAACACTTCATCAATCATGTCCGGATCTGTAGCAACTGGTAGCGAGAACTGGGAAACCTACGACAGCAATTCCGAAGCCGACGAAGCCGATGCCACAGAAGCGTACCATGCGAAAGTCAAACAACAGCAAATTCGCCAGGCCGTCAAGAGACCTGCTGGCGTGCAATTGGGTGCTGTCAAACGCGTGAGAGAGCATCCAAATCAGCAGCATACCATTCTCGAAGAGGACGGAAATTTTGTCGAGGGTAGTGAGGCTGGTTGGACTGATGATGGGGATGTCGGTGAGACTTATTGAGTCCGTATAAGTTTTTGATGTTGGAAATGTTTTGAAAAATCGCCATGGCGAAGGCGAAGGCGCTGGTAGGCGAAAATGACGGTAACGCAAGTCACCATTCTTGCACTTTGCAAAGACGGAACCGGGGAATTTTTGTCGGCGTTGGTGGTTCACGTTACGTTCAATCACGATTTTTTTCTAGAGGCAGATCATGGAAGAGACTCAGGGAGGAGGCCGCCTTGATGGCGTCTTATCTGTCTCAGTCTCTTTCGTGCGGGATTGTACTTATACTATTCAACGAAGGTATGATACTGCGAATACTTGTTCTGATAAAAAGCATCTGGTATCGTTCATTTCTCGGATATTCCTCGAAAGCTTGCGGTGTCTGTTGCGGAACAGTGGCATACCGAAGCTGCGACCAATATATGATGATATGCCTTCGCTACGAATTACTGGCACTACTTCTTCTTCCCCCCTTTCTTCGCAGCCTTCTTCTTCTTCTTAATTTTCATGTCACTGGCCGCTTTGCCCTTCACCGTAGCCTTCTTACTCAACTTCCACTCATTCCCACCAGCAGCCCTATCATCCTTATTCTGCAATTTCTTCTTATCCTTATTACTCAACTTCCCCTTCTTCTTCTTCTTCGTCGTAGCTTCAGCACCATTCAGCACAGCCCTACCCTTATCCTTAGCAGCCTGTTTATCCTTCTCGCTTTCAAACCAAGTCTTCTTCGGTCTGGCTTTGATCTCATCTTCGTACTTGACGATATTGTCGGCTTTGGTGAGATCGCGGTCGACGGCTTGCAGAGCTCGCTCTTCTTTCTCTTCTCGTAGAACGTCTTCGATGTCTTCGGCCATGGCGTCTAGACGGGTTTGCCAGGCGTCTACGTCGGAAGCTTCGACGGAACGTTGTTTGATCACTGCTCCTTGGGCTTTGCCGGCTTTGACTGCTGCTTTGACGACTTTTCGGTCGGGTTCTGCTGCGAGTGTACAAGCGCGACCAGATCGGCCTGCACGTGCTGTACGTCCAACACGATGGAGGTAGATTTCGTGAGATTGAGGTGCTTCGTAGTTGATGACTGTTTCGATCCCTTTGATATCAATACCACGTGATGCGAGGTCCGTGGCGAGGAGGAATGAGGCTTTGCCTGTGCGGAAGGTCTCGATGGCGTTGATACGCTGTTCTTGGGTCATGTTTCCGTGCAGTTCGGCAGCTTTCATGCCTGCGAGCGCGAAGATCACGCGGACGCGATGAGCTTCTTTCTTCTGACGGAAAAAGATGATGACTCGATCGGTATAGATCTGTTCGCACAGCACCATGAGATATGCGAGCCGTTTCCCTTCTCTACCTTGGCGCAATCGGACAAACTCTTGGACAAGGCCAGAGACTGTTGCTTTTTGTGCATCCACCATCAATCTCACTGGCCGCTGCATGCCCACGCGGATCAGATCGTCGACTTTCGAGGTCATCGTGGCGGAGAACAGCATAGTCTGTCTTGACTTCGGGATCTTTGTCAGGATTTCGTTCAGCTCATCGGCGAACCCTTCCTCAAGCATACGATCTGCCTCATCCAGAACGAGAATCTCGATCGTGTTGACAGCGAAAGAGGCAGAGTTGCGCTCGAGATCAATGAATCGTCCAGGAGTGGCAATGACGATGTCGGGTCTGAGCTTCAACTGCTTCTCTTGTTCGCGCGAGTTTAGACCACCAATTGCTTGACCGAAAGTGATATCGGTATGAGCAGCAAGCTTTTTGGCAACGTTGAAGCACTGTAAGGCAAGCTCACGGGTGGGCATGAGGATGGCCACGCGAGTGGTCGCAGCGTTTCTTGGTCGGTATAACAGACGCTCCAGTATAGGAATAAGGAATGCAGCAGTCTTTCCAGATCCTGTGACGGCGCCTCCTACGAGATCCTTGCCCTCGAGAGCGACAGGTATGGTCTTGGCCTGGATAGGTGTGGGCTTGTCAAACCCTACAGCGGCCAGGCCCTTCAATATCTGTCGCGACAAGTTCATGGAGTGAAAGGCAGTCGCAGTTGCTTTCGCACTTTTCGTCTCTTCAGCAGCGAAGAAGGCATTGCGCCGTTCCGCTTCAATGGCATCCTCACCGTCCTCTGAGCCTGAGTCTGCCGCATCATCAGGATGCGGCACTGCGTGAGCAACTTCTGTCTCCTCTTCCTCGTCGCCAGATACCAAGCCCTTTTCCTCTTTATCTTCATCGTCGCTTCCGTCCTCCTCCTCTGAATCTCCATCGACCTCGCCGTCTCCAAACTCGATGGCGGTAGAGAATTCGCCCTCATCACTGTCCGCTCCTTCCGAATCTTCGTCAGATACTGGGTCCTCATCTTCTAGATCCTCCTCAATCTCGGCTACTTCCTCGACAGCAGCCTTATTTGCGCCACTCTTCGCACTACGCTTGCGAGCTATGATGGCATCGATGTTGTCCTGTGCAGCTGTGCTGCCGCTTTGCGCCCATATATCCAGATCATCTAATGCAGCAGAGCCTCCAGCACTTTCGAACTCGAAGTTCGGGTTGAGGTCTGGATCTTTCGCATCTGTATCATCTTTCTGCTTCTTCACCGGGCTCTGCTCTCGCTTTTCTTCTCGTTTTCTCTTCTTGCCCTTTGGTGCGACTTCCACTACTTCTTCTTCTTCTTCTTCTGATATTTCTTCATCTGAAATATTGTCGCCATCCGACAGTGTGCCGACCAGGTCATCAACGAAAGCCATGGCTACGGTATGGTACATCGAATGCGACTTCATCTTCAGACGAACTAAAAAAAAACGATTCCCAGCTTCCGAGCCGGAGCTCGGTCCGCTGTGCCGGCCACCTCAGTGGCTCGTGCACGAGGGGAAAGCAGATGCATCTTGTCTTCTTCGCTGCTTTCCGTCCTCTCAACCGCCTTCATGTCTTTCTTGCCCAGTACCCTTTGACAAATCCGCTCCAACTCATATTCAGCAGAACTGGGGATTTGAGATGCGAAATGATGGACACTGCAATAGATCTAAGCGTTGTCGGCCACGCGGTGTCGGAATTACGGATTACCACCCAATGCGACTACCTATGCCTTGCAATGTGTAATTCAACATGCACTGAAGCGACAAGCCCCAAGCGACCTGGTGACACATTCTTGTAGTTCAACATGCATCGATATGTGTCTTTCTTACGACCAGCACATACCGGCGAAGGCATTGCATCCACGCCAACGCGACATAAACAGTTGACGTCACTCGACAAGACCGCCCGGTATGGATGGGATGGCTTGATATACACAGTATCATACAGCCGATATGAAAAAGATGGAGGCTCATATATACACTTCGCTGCCCAATACCTTCCTGCTCACCGTGTCTTGCTAGACCGCTCTAGTACGGAACCATCTTGATCTTCTCCCTGCTCTCCTCGGGCAGATCTTCAGGCTTCACCAGACCTAGTTGTATCGCATCGCCCCAGAAGAACATGGCACGATGCTGAGCATATCCGAGGTAGTCGAATTCCTCTTCCTCTTCGACATCCTCTCCCTGCTGCTTCTGGACCATCTCCTTGTAGAATTCGTGCCCTTCACCAAGCAGCTCCTCTGCACTCTCTCCCTCGTGTTGAGGATCTGGAGTTGTGGCATCAAAGGCTGGCATGCCTGGTACTTTGGCCTGTACGAGACCCCAGGCCACCCATTGAGCAGAATTCGCCAGTCTCCACCAGCGAGTCTCTTCCATAAGTCGCTTGACTGCTCCATCTTCTGCTGCTTTCCGAGCCATCTCTTCTTCTGACAAGGATGTTTGGGCAGGCGATGGCTGCTGCGGATTCCTGGCGTCAAGCATGAAATCCGAGATACTGGTAGTTGGTCTCCTAGACACATCACCCGGCGTCTCGGGATCGGCTGGGGCCATCTTGGGCGTAGAGACATTGAATTGCGGTCGGTGCCTCACATATGATCGGATAAATCGATCTTGCTCTTCTGGTGTTGGGTACATTTGCGGCAGAAACGCGTATGGCTTCTTCTCGTCATGGTAGTTGTATCCCCACTCGGTGAAGTGGTTGGCAAATTCCAGACCCCTGGTATTGGCACTCGCATATTCGAAGTCGATCACGACCAGCTGTTTGTGCGTATTGGCCGGCAGAAGAAGTGGACTCTCGCCCGTCGGCACCATGCGAAGGATGTTGCCGTACTGCGTATCGTTGTGCGCAAATACTAACTTCTCTCGCATCTGCTTGGCACCGCCGTACTGGGATGTGAGCCAGTCACGATACTTCTCCACCACAGCACGAAACTCTGGCCAAGGCAGACCACAGATGTGTCCTCTTCGCAGCCAAGTCTTGGATCCAGTTGGCTTGGTGCCAGGCTCCAGCTGCTTGACCTGCTCGTCCATCCATGTAACAATCTGCTCGACACGGTCTAGCCATTTGTCCCAGTTCCGCCAAACGAAAGGCCCATCATCGCGTTCCTGCTCAAGAAGTTCCATACCATCATGAAGCTCTCGCATGCGCTTTGCAATCTGGCGACTGGTGTCGGGACATCTCAATTCCTCTGGAGTGAGAGGCTTGGCATGGAAGAACTCCTCGAAGCGACCGTTGGCGAAACAACCTAGGAGTCGCGGCCCGATCTTCTTCCGAGCAAGACGTCGTAATATGGCCAACTCGGCATCACGGTCGATCAAGTGCTCCACTTGCGGACCATAGATACGGAGTAGAAGCTTTGGTGGCGGCTTGCGGATTTTCACGACATTGCCAGCCTCATCTTGTTTCGCGAGCTCCAGATCGCATGGTGGCGAGACCACATACACAGCATTCGTCAGAGCACCGCTCAGCCGCTGCACTTCGATACCTGCACTCCTTTCCATTGGCACTTTTCGCCAGCCCTTGATGTGCAAGGTTTGTGCGAGTCGCACAATCTCGAACTTGAACTTTGCCCATGCATCGTAGTCACGGATCGAAGCACCTCGTTTGAGCTCCGGGCTCTCCTCATCCGAAGACAGGTCGGAGGCACCACCGCCACCAGAGTAAGCCAGGGTCTTCGAATTGTCGAGACATACATCACACGTTGGCACAACGATCTCGCCATCGAGGTATTCCGAATCGGAAGCGCTAGATTGCTTTCGGAGCAGTCTGCGCATAGAAGTCTTGCTCCTCAGAATCGAGCCTCTTCGCATTGAAGGCTTTCGGAAGTTCAGGTTCTGTTTGACAATGCGTTCGAGTTTTTCAAGATCCACAGATTCATCCGAAGCATCAGAATGGCGCCTCTCTGAAGTGCGGATGGCATCTATCTCGGCTTCCGCAGCCTTGCGTGCAGCACGATTTGCCTTACGTCGGTGTCGTTTGTCCCGCTTCTCGAGGATCCACGCGGATATCTGGTCAACGAGATGATCGAGCGATTCATGGTGGCCGTGTGCCTCATTCCGAGCGGTAGTTTGCTCATTGTCGTCTGGTGCCGTGCCATCCAGTGGTGCTTGAGAGGACTTCAACGACGGACTGGACACCAGTGATGGTCTGCCGGAGAGGCGCTTATCCTTCGGACTCTTCACCTGTGGTAGCTTGGTCCCATTGCTGCCAATCTGAAAATCGTCGACGCTCTTCTGCTGTCCAAGAATCAGAGGCGAGATGGTCTCAGTACGCCGAGAGATTGACACAGCTGTAGGCGACATGATAAGCAGATGTATGTCTTGTGGACTGAGGGGTAAAATATGAAAGGCTCGTGTGCGCAGTCAAGTCAAGGTAGGACCGAGGTGCTCGTCCAAGTGTCACATGACGGTAGTGTTCCAAGACTGTGATGGATAGGTAGGCACATATATGAGGGGAGAAGCGACATAAGTGACATACATTTTGGTGTGGACCGCGGCGACACTGGCTGATTCAGGCCCAGATATGAGTTCGGTGACGCAGCCTGGGCAGAGTCGTTCTTGCCAGATGGCAACGGCTTCTCAGAATGAAGCATGGTCAGGTACCTGCTGTGACGGAGCAGATGATGTGGACGCGGGCAGCGGTGAGGTCGGGCGGAAGATTCCTTCACCGCCCAGACAACGACACGGCAACAATAGCCCAGGGAATCGGTCAAACCAAAGCTGCAGGTCCTATTGTCGAAGACCAAGGACCAAGCCACGTGAGCAGGGAGTAGATCCGGAGCGGACGATCCTTGGAACAGTGGACAATTCAAGAATTCTTGCCTACCACGTGCCATAATCCCTACGCCGCTATTATTCTCGGTGCTGGCCAGAGTTTTCGGGCCGACCCTCGCTGAGATAGGAAAATCAATCCTGTGCCCGAACCCTTTTCGTCGCTGGCGTATGACCTCAGCCCTTCGCTTCCCTTCCTCTGCGCGCACAACATCACCTCCGATATGCGTACTCGAATGAGCAGAAATCCTCCGATGGCGACATCCTCCGCAATCACATCGATGCCACAAGGCGAGATGATGCCATTTCTGCCAGCACTTGGCTGGCAATGCTTACCGAGCGGAAGAGGCCGTCCGTTAAAGAGCTGAAGAAGTACAGGAGCATGATAATATTCCTCTGGATAGACACGATGTACAAGGTGGTGGCGCGCAAACAGATGCACGAGAAGACCATCAAGAGGACTTTGATGTTCTTATGGGAGACCGAGCACATCGGAACGAGGAGGATGCCGAACGCATTCGCGCAGAAGCTGCAGAGATTGCCAGCCACACCAGGAAATCTTTGTTGCAAGACGAAGGAACCCTACCCAGCTAGACGGCCTAGCTTCCTTCTGAAGAAGACGTTCGTGCTCAGCGGCAATCAGCCTCCGAGAACGTCAACGGAGCTCACATAATGACGAGGATGTCTAGCAGGAGCAAAGATGCGACAAGTCACAACCAGGGCAGAAGACTAATAAAAACACCACAAAGCTTCCACACCACGAGAAAGACAGGAGATACAGCTCATAGACGTTATACCAAGTGGCCTGGCCAGAGCGTTGCTCCTGAAGTGGCCATCTATAGAATATCGAAGAGGACAAGTCTTCGTTCAAGACATAATATAGTTGCGAACACTCTTCGGAGACATGCCGCCAAGCGGTCTCACCACGTCACCATTCCACTCTCTACTGAGACCTCTGTGCAAGGACAAGCGACTGGAGGTCAGAGAGAAGAGAAGTCTCGTAGGTCATTCCTGAAAGCAACTGAAGATATCGAGTTCGGAGCAGGCGTGCAGGACTCTAGCGAAACAGACCGAGAGCAACGAGCAAGCCCAGAGAACCCTGCGAATGCTGTTCCCCCAGTTCCTACCAGCCGCGAAGCCTTGCAAGACTTGGACCGACCTGAAACTCCTCCGGATGATATGAGACGACGGACATAGTGGCCTGGAGAGTCAGATTTGTTAGACAACAATGATGATGTCGCAGTGGAACATCGAAAGGGTGGCGCACAGTCTACCAGCGGCAAGCAGGCCCCGTACGATGATGCTGAGATGCCGATTGCCACTAGCCGGGACAAACATAGTGTCACATCTGGAACAGCGGATGAGAGGGTGGTGGAGAGACATTCCTAATCCCTGGAACCATTATGCGCGAAATTTCGGACTCTCTCGATCGATCTCGGATCTATATCACGAGCTCCGTAGATATACCTGGGTTAGCGTTAACACAGTGTCCTGGCCGCGACTGAGCGTAGAATTGGGCTTCCTATGAGTATTCCAATTTTGCATTTCTTCTCCGCCCATTGCTCGCGGAGGGATTTCGCCTGCATCTCGTAAGCTCCAAGCAACATCCCGAACCCTTCCACTGTCTCATAGGAGGGATTAAAGACTGCTGGATCGCCCTAAACGGGCCAAGCATCCAACTTTACTGGATGATGATTCTCTCTGATCATGATGAATCGAGCTCAGCAGAGAAATTGTGAAGGATGAGCACAGAGTAGGAGGTATCGCCACCAAGTCGTCATAGGATGTTCACTATTGCCAACGAGGTGGACGGATCGTTGCCATGGGCGTTTGCCGGATGAGATGATCGGACAGATACTGAGATACAGGGTGACCCCCTTGTTTCGGGACCCGCCAAGCTCTCGTCTAGGCCTGTCAAGCGAAGAACTCAGAGGCCGGCATAACTCAAAGCCATCATCTCCAACCGATCCACCGGGGTAGAAGTAGACGCACTCTAGGTTGTATATACCTAGGGGTCGGATATTCCATTCCTGTAGGTTTCTACTATTCCTATATAGAATATCTAACTCGTATACCTCAATATCCGACTATAAGCGTAGGAATAGGATATTCGATATAGTGTATAGGCCTACGGTCGCGGTTTGCCGTATTTGGACTAGTTTAGGCTTAGAAAGTCGGAATAGCCTATACCTACTCGAAATCGAGGATTTAACTGCTATAATTAGTAATAGCTAAGGAGACCGTATCGTAGTCGCGTATATAGCCCTTTAACGCATATATATATATTATATACCTTTGCTAAATACTATCTCTTTTAGCTATTATATTAAAGTCGCTATAGACAACCCTATTATTCTCGCTCTTATCGTTAGTACGGTCGCTAGAGCTACGCTTACTACCTCGACGGCTTTCTAGTACTCGTCGCGTTCTCGAAGCGGTCGGAAACGGTAGTATAGGCCTATAGGCGTAGTTTAAACGCTAATAGAGCCCTTAAAGGGTAGGAGGGAGGTATTTCGGTATCTTAATAGTCTAGAAGACTATTATTATATAGTAACTAGCCTACGATAGGTAGTATTAAAGGACCTAATTACGAAGCTCGAGGAAAGTAGATTAATAGGTAATAGTACCGTTTCGACCGCCGAGAAGACTATAATCTTCTACGACTTCCTAAGGAACAATACCTCGATTAGGATACTACGAAGGATATATTAGCACTCGTTTAAAACCTTTACGCGCGTTATAAAGGAAGTAAGCAAGATCTTCTATCGACTATAAAGCGAATATATATAGGTGCCGCGAGGTAACGAGTTATTATACGAGAAGCTATATACCTTCGGCGCTAGTAAAGAGCCTAGCAAGTTTAACTTCTTCTATAGTGCGCTCGGTGCCCTTAACGGCTCTTATATACCTATAACTTTGTTAGCGGAAGATTAGTCGTTATAGCGTAATCGCAAAGAATAGGTTTCTACTAACGTAATAGCGGCCTATAGGTTTAATATAAAGTTGCACTATATCTTAGTTAGTTATAAAGGGTTAGCGGCGGACACTACTATATACGACCGTATAGTAAGGCAAGGCTTTAACGTGCCTAAGAACCGCTATTATCTTGCCGACGCTAGATACTCCTTTAATAAGAAGCGATTGTTAGTACTATACTAGTCGATAAGGTATTACCTTCGAGAACAGATTAAGTCTAAACTGCGGCCGGAGACGAAGGAAGAGTTATATAACCTACGGCACTCTTAGCTCTATAACGTTATCGAGCGACTCTTCGGCGTATTAAAGAAGCGGTTTAAAATACTAGCTTAAGGCGCTTATAGAGGCTATTCGCTTATAGCGCAACTAAGGTTTATTACCGCCTACTTTGTCCTTTATAACTTTATTGTCGGGCATAGCTCTTAGCCGCTAAACGAAGAGACTTACCTATTCGACGACCTCGACGACGTACCTTATAATAAGGACGATTATAAAGGGTTGTTAGAGCTAGAAGATAACGATCTAGGCAATATAGGTCTCGGTAATAAAGGATAGCAATTTAGAGAAGATATAGCCGTTAGAATGTAGTTAAGTTACTTGCGTTATCTCGAAATATATAGTCTAGATATACGTAGAGCGTAGGAGAAGGACGAGGAATAGTATATAGAGGTCGTAGGCTACCTAGTATATTTAGCGGGGGACGAGAGGGGCGTTTTAGGTAGCGAATATAGTATTCTTTCCTATATATAGCTATTAGTCGTATATTGTTATCTCTAAACTAGGTCTCGGTTTCTCTAGTTAGCAGTTACGAGTATGCTTAACGTTACTTTAGTGCGGTCTTAGCGGGGTTAACTTTAGGAAGTAAAGAGTATAGAATTTATACTTTATATAATAGCAAATTACGTAAAGTTCGTTAAAGCCTAGTCGAATGCTAACAAAGTCGAATCAATTACAACCCCTATATTATTATTAGTATAAAGACTGCACTCTCCGAGCTCCTAAATATAAAATATTAGCTCGGACTCGGAAAGCTAACCTCGACTTTAGCTAATTCTTCTAACTTAACCTAGCCTCCTATATTCCACTTAATACTATCTATTCTGCGGCGGATAGTTACCTATAAGCTAAGGCCGTATCTGCTACTATTAGTGCTATTATCGTAGCTGTTCTTTACGCGCTAATTAAGCCTATTAAGCCTACTTAATACAAGTAAGAAGGGCGATAAAGTACTTCGAGAATAGCTCGGTTTTCTTAGTATCTTAAAGCTAACTAACAGTTAGCTAAGCGTACTTAATAGGACTATTCTCGGTACCAATCTCGGTAAGGATAAGTATCTTGTCCTTAAAGGAAACATTTAGAAGGACGTCGTCGTCTATAAAGTAGTTACTAACTATCGAGATAGCGCTAGTTTATATAGCCGGCTTGTCGACTAACTTAGCTAAGGTTGCTATAGTTTGCTAGAATAGTAGTATAGCCTTCTTTAGCGACTATTTAAAGTCCTTCGAGTAACCGGCTTCTACCTTCTTCTTAGCTACCGCCTTCTACTTCTACTTCTTATTAGCCCTCGTATTCCGAGCGGCAATAATTGTCTATCTCTCGTAGTTAGATAAGCCGCTTAAATCGACGTCTTCTAGCTCGTTAATAACCTCTACCTCCTCGTCCGGCAACTCGGCTTCTAAGCTAATCTCTTCTATAGGCTTACCCTTACTCTTACCCTTACTACTATTAGAATCTACGTCCGCTAGTCGCTATCTACTTATCGCGTTATCGCTAGTCGCAACGTCTCGTCTATATATCTTTTCTATTTCTATCGCGAAGTCCGGCGCCGCGTTCTTAAACTCTCGATACTCTTCGTTACTATCGAAGTACGTACGTATAATCTCCTCGTTTTCCGGCCGCGGAGGGTAGTTACTACTCTACCCGCTAATATGCTTTAGGTGCCTCGTATACGGCCTAAACTCCTTCTTTATCTTACGCTATTTGCCCTTTAGTAAGTCCTACTTAAAAAATACCTTATACTTTAGCGATATATACGTAGCGAGCGTACGCTAGTCGGTAGCCTTAAAGGTTTAATTATCGGTTATTTTGCTATTGTCTTTGAACTTCTTAAGGCTAAGAAGTATAGCCTTAATATAGGTTGACTTATAACGAGCTAGTCGTAGAAACTGCGAGCCGATATCCTCTAACTTCTTCTTCTACTACGCCGTCGCCTTCTTCTTATTCGAATTTAAAGCCGTCCTACCTACGCTAGGTTTCTTCGTAGGAGTCTTCGCTATACTAAATACTAGGGGGTTCGTTAAGAGTTAGAATATGCGGTATATACTAGCAATAGTACGAGAAACAGCTATAGAAATAGTAGGAGACGCGTTCGCGATAGGGTTCGAGGAAGGAACTAAGGGCCGATTATAAGAGTACGGACAATTCGATAATCCTACTCGTATACCTACAAATTAGTGGATTTCAGGAATTCCGAATGCTTAGATATTCTATTCTACGTTCCGACCGGAAATTCCTATTCCCGCAGGAGGTATACACAACCCTAAAGACTCTAATTACGAAGGCGCTTGCGCATCAACTAGCAAGAATAGAACCCCCCCTCCCCTTTCACCAAAGACCAACAAAACTTCTGCTAACGTCCACCCAAGCAACGTCCGTGCTCCAGTGCGCAGATATGATGTGTATACAGCGTCTGAACACCTCGGAAGGCTAACTGTTTTCTCCCCAAATTCTGGCTGGCAGGGATCTCTGCCAATGAAATCGCCTTTTGCTTGGTTGGTCAAGCTTTTGGATGGTCAAGCCCAAGCCTTTTAGCCTTCCAACGTGTTCAGACGTCTATGCCTTCGGTCGTCGCTTGCAGACACATTGACTGGAAACTGAAGCGCTTGCGGGTCACAAACTGGCGGATAGAGGGCTGGAACGAGCCAGACACCCCAAAGCAAGGCCCGGACCCCCAAGCGACAGCCAGCACTGCTCCTGCAGCCTGCAGGCCGCGAAGGGCCAGTCTTGATTTGAATAATGAATACGGGGACCTGGTACCCTAAACTCTTCTTTACAAGCCGCTGCAGCATGTGCCGACCGTTGGCACATGCAGGACCCAACAACGTTGGTACGTGCACTCTCCCTTTACAGTTAAATCTTTCACAGCCGATTCTAGAATTTTGTAGCGCCCGGGGTCCCGGTCTTTTGCTTGCATAAGTTATTAGCAACGCACTTCGAACAGAAACTGGCATGTTGACAGCTTTCCCGCAGACGTTGCAAGCCTCAAAACCTTAGAACTAGTAACTTATCGAAAAGAACTTTTTAGGCATCAATGGGATCTACAACTAATAACGATACACAAGGGCTGGACGGCTGAGTATTGGCGCGCCGCGGCAGTGGTAGGTGAATGTGTTATAAAAACTCTTCCTCTTCTGATCGTATAGTTAATCTATTTCTTTCCTTCGTACAGGCAATTGTATAGAAGACGAATACAAATAACACCTAAACCGTTCCGCTTAAGCCGGGAAACATGAAGACCTTCTCTATTGTAGTCGCAGCTCTCCTAACTGCGACCGCTTCAGCTTCAATACGTCCAAGGAATCCGGACAACTATTTTGGTCTCGGAGAGTATAGGCTAGAGAAGCGGTATAATTGTCTTTGGTGCTGGAGCAGTTCGGCTTGTACCCGTTGCACGACCGGCTGCGTAAGTAATGTTGACACCGTTGTTATCTGGGAGTACTACTGACAGTTTAAATAGACCCAATGTTGTACCGGATGCTAGAAAGGAGGGTATCGCGCGCACGGGCATTAAATTGGAATTGTCGGCTCGCGCGGTACCTAGGTATCGGATAGTGGATCGTACATCGGGCAGTTTGGTATTGGCAAAGGCGTCCTTGGTATTGCTGCAATAGGCCTCATCCGGCCTTTACGAATGGTTGGCTAGCTGGATTCAAGGCAAGAAAGGGGATTCAGATCGACGATACAGTCCGCCATGACCTTGATAAATACATCATTCGCACTACTACTGTAACCTGAAGCATTTATCAGCATGCTAGACATCACTGCTTTCGGACTTTGTCGAGAAGGACTTCTAAGATACACTGGAGCCGAAATTGGCGCCTCCGCCGCTGCTGAGCCATTAAAAAATCGAAAAGCGTCACTTCATTTGCCTCACCCTGGGCTTCCAGCGCGTCAGTATCAACACGCAGTCTCAATGCTTTAGTCCATCCGCCGACTGAGGACGATGTAAAGCCATCGATGTCTCGTTCCAGCCGTCATCGATCTCGCAACCACTTGCCGCCTCTCATTTCTTATTCCACCTGCATGCCAGTTTCCTCCGAAGACTTGGATGCGAGCCGATATCCCGTAATTGGCATCCCCTCTTGGTCGACGAGATGCAAAGTACCCTCAGTTGTTCTGCCCGGTGCTACGACGATGTTGTCATCAACTTCCTGGTCATCAGCAGACGTGTGAAGCCACCTTTGCATCATTTCCTCGCTTGAGACTTGAGTCTTCGCCTTCTTGGGAGCGCCGGGAGTCTGCGGCGGTTGAGTGATCTTCGAAGCCTTTTCTGGAGTCTGTGGCAGCTCAAAGTCCTCATCGCTGTCGAGCATGGAAATATCATCAGAACTTCCACTGCTTGTTTCTTCGGAATCGCTGCTCGACCCTTCGGTTTCCGAACGGTGGTCTAGAGCAACCTCGCCGTCGAGAGCGGTGTCGGTCGTGTTCGTAGATGGCGTGGGTGGTGTCTGAGTCTCATCGCCACTCAAGATCAATTTGTGCCAGATTGACTCGCCGCCGCGGAATACAATGGAATGGAATGCGATCGTCAAAAGATCGATGACCGCGCCGTACGCTGCCGCTGGATGATTGACCGCCTGGGTTGCGAATATGTGTCCCGGTCCGCGGTTGCTTTGAACAATGCGCCAGATGGTGCGAGCCCAAACTTCTTGGGTGATCCAGTCGAATGTGCTTGTATTCTGATCTGAGAACTTCCCTGCGACTCCTTCTTCAACATCACCCTCTTCCAGGCACATCAGCAGTAAATCATCCTCGAGAAAGCTGCGGTTGTAAAAATAGCCGTTCTCACCGGTCTCGATCCACTCCCGTCCGTCTTTGAAACGCCTTCGTCCCACGACGCAGAGATTGTACCACAATAGAGTGTGAGTATGTACAGTCGGCAGAGCAAGCCAGGCTTCGAACTCGGTGCGCGTAAGGCGCAGTTGATCGGCAATACATTCGCGCCCGTTCGAATCATAGCAAATGGCTGCGTGTCTCCTGGACCGGCGTCGATTGTCCATGTTGGTCGTTTGCGACGACGCGACCAACTCCGCTGAACGATGCTGAGCCGTGATGGTTTGATGAGCATCGTGTTCTGCTTAAACGCCGGCGATAAGTGAGGTTTGGCAGGCAGCATATGATCCACGTGCTGCGCCTGTATGATGACCTTGACCACCTGTGTGAGCATGTGAACTGTAGATGTTTCATGTGCCTATACTGAGGGAAGTCACCATCGCTTTTCTCACTTTGACTTCACTTCGATCCAATTCGCAACGCCAGATCAGCATAAATTGTTGGCATTTTTTTTACCTATCTGCAAGGTCCAGACTTCGCGACACGCCGATCATCATGGCCACCAAGCGTGCAGCCGATACTCTGTGGTTTCGAAGACTGGCTTGGCCACGGAGCAAATCTGCGCAGTCATCATTTCTGACCCCAATACAAGACACATGGGCGACCAGCGGCTCAGAGTCGAGCTGAGCGAGAAGAACGCGGACTTATCAGCCGTGACTTCACAGAACCAGCACCAAAAGATATGCTGGCGGCCGCAGAACAGGAAATGAGGCTCGAGAAGTGTAGGTTCGAAGGAACGAAAACAAAGATGAAGAAGAAGCAAGACGAAGTTCCGAAGCAAGCCATGCGAGAGCGTGAGCCAGGCCAGTCCGTGAGCGACGCCGTGGAACTAGATACATATGTGGTGGGGATGGCGAAGACGAATGGTGCCAACACGACATCAGTGGAAGACGAGCGATCTCGTTGTCAGCAAGTCATATACATACTACTACTGTCGCTGATGAGCGTACGGTAACTTCCACGTTAGGGGTCGGAGAGAACCGATCGCAGCTTGATCCGTGCGGTCATCCGTCGCGTCAAGTTCGTGTTCCGATTCGGTCACGTGCATCGTACACAGCTACAAAGAAAGAAAGTCGACATCGCTCTTGCTGCGTGCTGAAAAGAGCTTTGTCCAATCCCAACCACCTCATAAAGCTTATCCGCAGCACGCGTAAAGGACCGCGTCAACCTCCGGCATCTCCTCTTCCAACTTCTCTCTCATGTGCACCACCTGACTGTTGCGGCGCTCTCGCAGTCATGACAACCTCCTCAAGCCATACCCGCAAACGCCAATACCAGCCTTCGAACCAAACCACTCTCAACTCATACTTCGGTCGCCATGTCTCCGGTAACGCACAGCCGCGATCGCCAATGTCGCCAGCACTCCCGGAAGATGTTCAGTCGTCGCTGGTCAATGTTGGAATGCGTGTCCGAAAAGCTATGAGCGATGCACAATCCCCGAAGGTCTACGGCTCAGCGGATGCTTGCGTTCTGCCGGCGTCGTCAGCTCCGGTGCGCATAATCCCTCGTCAAGAACTACAACCATTCTGTGGGCTACACAAGACAGGTGGATGGGCCGTACAAGATGTGCCTCCCTCCTCGGCACCTGCGGCCATGCGCCAATGCGAGGATTACGACAATGAAGGCATGCCATCACTTTCAATGTCGCAAAGCACAATTCCATCAACGCAGAGCAGCTCCATGAGCACGTCTTCGAGCTTGGGCGCAAAGAAGCGCACGTATGAAGATGAAGCCGAGAACGACATGGACGCATTCTTCGACGAATCCGAGGATGCAGTAGCGCAAGAACCAGATGCACTCCGTCCGATCGCAAGAATGAAATGCCGGACTGGAAAGAACAATGCGCAAATTCTAAATGACAATGGGGACTTCGAGGAAGCACCCTTTTTGATGCCGATGGACGTGCAATAGGGAAGCAACAGCGTGCCAGAACCTGCAGCACTTGTAGACGGTATGCTTGTATATGAATCGTGGAAACGGGTCGGAAAGGCATTCCTGATGGGCTGGAGAGCATTGTGGTATACAGATTGCATCGACCGCCCGCTGCCTGACTTGGAGTTTTTGATTTAGTGAGATACCCACAGCGTGAAGACTTGCCTGAGACAGGCCCAAATGAATATTGCATCTGACGTGAAACCTGCATGTGCATGATCTCAGTCCTCTTTCATGCTCGTTAGTACGCGGTAGCAATTGATGAGGCGCGAGGAAGTGGCAGATGGAGGGGCTCTCAAAATCGCCGTCGCAGGACCCACGCTTGATTGACGGAGCAACAGCGCCACCGCCAACGCCAACGCCAACGGCCAGAACGAAGAAGCGCAATTTTCCTTCCCTCAGCGCAACTTCTCCCTCTCGCCCATACCGTGGTCTGCTTCTCCTCCCGCCATCACAGCGCATCAGGGCTTCACTTATTAAGATTCAGCACGACAGAACCGACAGAATTCTAACCAACATCTTACCGCGAACTCTCAACGCCTGAGTCGCCAATTGATTGGACTGGACCCTGCCTGCGCGCACGCCACACTCAGCAGCGGTGCATGCACTCCACCAAAAAACTACACACCTTCATGACAATTTGAGCACAAGAGCAACGAAGCTCGCCGTCACCACCACATCCGCCCGTTGACCCCACGCCTGCCCAGCATGGATGTCAACGCCGTCCTGAACGGCACACTCGACCCAGGTAAGTGAGGAAACAGCAGCAACGCGCTCCCACAGGGAGTCACACGCGGCTGCTGCCCTTGGCGCGCACTGCGGTGAGGCTCGATACTGATGCGGGTACAGATGCCAACACTCGTTCACAGGCCGAGAACCAGCTTCGAACCGCCGCTGAACAGGACTTCGTAAGTTCCTTCCTCTCCTCCTGCCAAGCCAAGACCGATGATGTACTAACTGCGCGGACACAGTCGGGCTACCTTACAGCCCTTTCCGGCGCTCTTGCCAACGAGCAAGCCCCCTCGACAGTGCGTATAGCCGCCGGTCTCGCCCTCAAGAACTCCTTCTCCGCACGAGACTTCGGCACACTCCGACAAGTACAGTCCCGATGGCTGGAGCAAATCGACGGCAGCGTCAAATCGCAGGTGAAGAGCAATGCATTGCAGACGCTGGGTTCGAACGACCAGCGAGCAGGGCAATCCGCCGCCCAGTTCATTGCATCTGTTGCAGCAATAGAGCTGCCGCGAGAGCTGTGGCCAGAATTGATGCCCACTCTCGTGGAGAACGTCGGCAACGGCAGCGACCAGAAGAAGCAGTCTTCTCTTACCACAATAGGCTTCATCTGCGAAACGGAAGATCAGGACCTCAGAGATAGCCTTGCACAGCACAGCAACGCCATCCTGACGGCTGTGGTTCAGGGTGCACGAAAAGAGGAAGCCAACAACGACATCCGAAATGCCGCCATCACTGCTTTGGGAGACTCGCTTGAGTTCGTGCGAACAAATTTCGAGAACGAAGGCGAACGCAATTACATCATGCAAGTCATTTGCGAGGCCACCCAGGCAGCCGACAACCGTATACAGCAAGGAGCTTACGGCTGCTTGAACCGTATCATGGGCCTGTACTACGAAAAGATGCGATTTTACATGGAGAAGGCACTCTTCGGCTTGACCATTCAAGGCATGAAGAGTGACGAGGAGGATGTGGCCAAACTCGCAGTCGAATTCTGGTGCACCGTTTGCGAAGAGGAAATCAGCATCGAAGACGACAACGCCCAAGCGCAAGCAGAGGGCAGCACCGAGCTTCGGCCGTACTTTAATTTCGCACGCGTTGCGACTCAGGAAGTCGTTCCCGTACTCCTCGAGCTTCTCACCAAGCAAGACGAAGATGCCGGCGATGATGAATACAACATTTCTCGCGCCGCATACCAGTGTGTTCAGCTCTGGGCGCAAGCTGTCGGCAGTCAAATCGTTCCATCTGTCCTCGGCTTCGTGGAAAAGAACCTGCGCAACGAGGACTGGCACTACCGTGATGCTGCAGTATCCGCTTTCGGGGCGATGATGGAAGGTCCAGATGAGAAGGTCCTGGATCCGCTCGTCAAGCAGGCTCTTCCGGTCCTGATTAGCATGATGGGCGACTCCTCCGTTCACGTCAGAGATTCCGCAGCATTCGCACTTGGCCGCATCTGTGAGGCTGTCTCGGAGTCTATTGATCGCAACGAGCACCTCCAACCACTTATCACAGCTCTTTTCCAGGGCCTAGCATCAAGCCCCAAGATGGCAAGCTCCTGCTGCTGGGCTCTCATGAACCTTGCGGATCGTTTCGCTGGAGACCCTGGATGCCAGACCAATGCTTTATCGCAACACTTCCAGGCCAGCGTACAGCACCTTTTGCAGCTCACTGAGAACACCAATGACAACATGTTGCGGACTGCTGCGTACGAAGTACTCAACGCCTTCGTTACGAACGCTGCCAACGATTGTATTAAGATGGTGGCTGCTCTGAGCAATGAAATCATCGCACGCCTGGAGAAGACACTTCCCTTACTGCAGCAAGTCGTCTCCGTCGAGGACAAGCTCACGCTCGACGAGATGCAGACTTCGCTCACATCAGTCATCATGGCCATCGTGCAACGTCTGGAAGCCGAAATCGCACCTCAAGCCGACCGCATTATGGGACTTTCTCTGCAACTTCTTGGTGCTCTGCCAGGGAAGTCAAGTGTCCCTGACACTGTCTTCGCTACGATCGGGTCGCTGGCGAACGCGCTTGAGGGCGACTTCGAGAAGTACATGCAACAGTTCCAGCCATACCTGCTGAATGCACTGAACAACCAGGAAGAGCCGCAGCTCTGCTCTCTCGCGATAGGACTTGTCACCGACATCGCGCGTGCGCTCGATGCGAAGGTGCAGCCTTACTGCGATGCGTTCATGAACAGCTTGTTGAACAACCTGCGAAGCACGACTTTGGGTAATCAGTTCAAGCCAGCGATTCTGCAGTCATTTGGCGACATTGCTCAAGCCATCACTGGCGCCTTCGAGACCTATCTTTCTGTTGTTGCTCAGGTGCTGCAACAAGCTGCAGGCATCAGTACCCAGGAGAATGCTTCCAACTTCGAGATGCTCGATTACATCGTCTCGCTTCGGGAAGGTATTATGGATGCCTGGAGTGGCATCGTCATGGCTCTAAGGAGCTCTCAAAAACGTACGTACCTATCGTTCCAATGCCCCACAAGCATGCACGGCTAATATTGTCACAGAGCAACTCCTGCAGCCCTACGTGGAGTCAATTTTCCAGCTTCTGAATAGCGTATACTCAGATCCAAATCGCACCGAAGCACTGCTCCGATCAAGCATGGGTGTTGTTGGGTAAGCATTCGCATATGCACTACTGTTGATATTGAGCTGACTTTTCTCCAGTGACCTCGCAGAAGCCTTTCCCAATGGCGAATTCAGCCACCTCTTCCGAAACGAATGGCTCACTGTCATGGCACGCGAGACTCGTGCCAACAAGGAGTTCTCTTCGCGCACCCAGGACACTGCTCGCTGGGCTCGCGAGCAGATCAAGCGACAGTCAGGTAAGATTCTACTCAAGCTGCCAGTGATCTGAGACGCTGGAAGTGACCTTGCGCATCGTGCGTGACTGAAATCAGTGACGCTACGCCTGGGTTGTCTTCCGTGCATCGAGATCCACCAGCACCTGACATATATCTATCACTACGCCATTCACTGACGCCATGAAGCCCTTGGAGGCAACGCCCAGATGTCTTGAGAAATCATACCATCGAAGCTGCCGCCCTGCATAGCTGCACGTATAGCTGCGTGTTGCTCATGCTCAGGTCCAGCCCTAGCTGATGCTCAAATCAGCAGTGCCCAATGTCGATGAAAACGACAGGACCATGAGCAGTCCAAGAAAGGCCACCATCCACCGCCACGGACCTTTTCCCCGCGAGTGCACGCTGTGATTTCCGCCCTTGTCTCCGCTGTTCATGCCCGAGGCAGACCTTGGAATGAGACGTGACTTCTTTGCTCTTGAGGCACTACGCCGTGGAAAGATCAGGGTTCACTTGCTGCCACCCACCCACCCCGAAACGCTTCCCCGAAGCACGACCCATGTTACAACAGCACACGACACGACACGCACTCACGCCAGCACCTGCACGCATGGATACCCGCCCAACACAATTGGACCCTTTTGTCTGACACCGAAACAAGGAAGTGATGATACAGCATGCATAGCAATGATAGCACTGGCACAAGCACAAAGCACGGAGATGGATCAGGAGGGGTAGAGACGGTGCGCACTGTTGCCTCGACAGTGTCGAAAGAATAGATCTGATCACCCTAATCACAATCGAAATATCTCGTATCCCTTAGCTCGGCAGCAGCGAGGAGTGTTCCCCGATAATCGTCGCTTACTCTACACGGAATCCTTAGCAAAATGCGCCGGCTGTGACCACACTCAAGCCTGTGAGCATCACGCCATACGTTCCGATCTTGCTAACAGGCTGCCAACAGGAAGACTTCACGAAGCAGGTGCGCAGAAGGCAACAACTGCCAAAAGTGAATCAGCTGCTGCAGAGATCTAGAAGAGAGCGGCAGATAAGGTGCGTCGTCGAAACTGGAAAAGCGGGTCACTGAATCCACTGAAGCGAGATGAGAGTGACAATGAGAGTGGACACGCGGCCGATGATGAGTCTGCCGCAAGACGACGATCTGGAAAGCAGAGACGCATGGCGGATGAGGATGCATCGTCTCAGGAGCCAGGACGATCACAGCCTGGACCGTCTTCGATTGAGGTATCCTCTTCGCAGCCATTTGAGCTTTTGATATCAGAGTCTGACACGTTTAGGGCAATTTCGTGCCTTCCGCGCCTCTCGCCATCGGCGGGCTAAATGTCCCTGTCCCTCTTGGTGTGCACGTCGCAACGCCGCCAGTGACCGAGGAGTTCGAGGAAATGACAAACGCGGATGCTGCAAACAAGCTCGCGAGTGCCCTGGGACAAGCTCGTAATGACTCGCTCGGAGAAAGTGCTGGACCGTCTTCTGATACATCCGAGCAACCCAGCAATGATCTGCTCGATGAGGTGTCGGACTGGGGAGACACCAGAAGAATGGAATACGCACAGGAACATCCTTATAGCAACTCTCTTGGTAGAGGTGCTGGCAAGAAGCGTGCTGCGCCGTCGCAGACTCCGACTCCTGATGGCGCTACGACGCCTGCGAGCGATGCGAGCTCTACTGTCCTGTTGGAGTACTTCGCTCGATTGAACCCAAGGCTCCGCAGGCAATGGAATATGGACAAGAAGCCGCCGCACTTGCAAGAGGGTTGGAGAAAATTGGATCATCTTTGAGTGAGTCTTTGATTCTTCTGCAATGCGAGGGTATTATTGTTTACTGAACTTGTCTTCCAGGCAACGCATGTCCACCAGCGTTGGCATCTTTCGGATATTCTTCACTCATTCTTCGTGCCACTCTCGCGACCTCCGAGAATTAGCTAGCGGTTCTTTGCCAGCTTTCTCGGCGCATTCATTTTGAAGCACAGTCGTTATCATAATTGTTACCGATCTGCACATTCTTCTTTGAGTTTGGGCTGTTGGTATTGTGGGGCAGATGCACGATGTCGATGTCGATCACTCTGTATATATAAGCAGACGGACGGATTTAGAGAGCCGTAGGAGCATGTAACCCAACATTCATCAACGTTTTGAAATTCTTTGGGAGTGGCTGCGGCTCATCAGTTCACTTGAGTGAGATCGCACAGCAGCACCATTTTGAAGCTTATCGTGCTAGCTAGCGGTCATGCCAAAGGTAGTAAAATAGGGCCTGACACCTACCAGACAAAAAATCTCCAACGGCTTCTTGTGACGAGTTCTAAACATCAACCTTCTTTGCCGCTTTATTCAAAATCTCAGACAAGTCGTTCCCATGGCAATATTTCTTGCGAACACCAGTTTCTTCTTCCCAGTAAGTCACCTCCCCTTCAGTATGCTCAGTATCCTCGATCTTGAAGTCTGGACCTTTCTCTTGCTCGGCTTCCTTCAGTCCTGAGTAGTGCTTGCGGCGGCATTCGGTATCTCTCATGTGTCTGTTCCAGCGCAGTTGGTCCTGTGAAGCGGCTTTCCAAAGCCAAACTGCAGATTTCTCTTTTTGTGTCAAGGACACGCCTGGCTTTACGAATGCGGCGATGTATTGGAAGCGTGTTGGTGGGTAGAACCACTCGCCATTAGAGTCCATCGAGCGTGGCGAGTCAAAGGTGTCTTCTTCGTCGTCTGACTCGATCTGCGTGTAGCCTGGTGTTAGGACTTGTAATTCAGGAGAGCGCGGTGCATGCTTGGATGTGTTGATTAAGTTGCCCATTCCTGATGCTTGCTCGTTGTACGATGGTGAGTCCGAAGTGCCGTCGATCTGAGGTATGGTCGGCTCGCAGTCTTGACAAGGGCAGCGTGGTGTGCGAGCAGTTACCGTGTCATCCTCTTCCGGCGCGCTCTCTTCGAAGAGACTTTTCGGGTCAATGCTTCCCTCCCCAATCACGATTCCTGGATGGCGAGGCACTTTGGCAAAGTTACCCTTCCACAGCCACTCCATACAAGCCAGACAGAGACAGAAGTCTTCTGTCCTCACAGGTCCGCCTCGCTGTCTGAGAGCGAAGAAGTACGTAGCAGGCGGAATGCAGTCGGCGCGAGATAGGCAGCCTGGAAGCTTGCAATACATATCCGGACCAGTATCGTTGTAGCTCGTTGTTCGCTCCAGAAACAGAGTCGAGCCTGTCGACAGCAGGATTCGCGTGTGCTGCGCAATTGCTGCGCCAGCTTCGTTCCTCATCTTCTAGGAGAGCGTTAGTCTCTACTACCGGTTGATCTGATGAGAGATAAGCTTTACGATCTTCTTCTTGTCGAGCATCTTCTCGATAATGGCTTGGATCTCAGGTGCCAGTGGCTCATCCTCTACAAACGTGCCAGAGTACGTGCCGCCAGCCTAGAACGAATTAGTCAATTACGGATAGGAGAATAGGATGTTATCTGCTTACCTTGTGGCCAAAATGGTACATGCGATCGTCGCCCTTGTCGAGTGAGCTGACTTGCGATTCGTCGAGGTCGTACATATCAATGTTGAGTTCAGGAATGCGACGACTGTAGCGGGAAGTGAAGGCATCAGAGTCGGTGGGCCGAATGCGAGGGATTGCGATTGCGCTGCGTTCATTGGCGAGATAGTTGGGTCTGGGCGAGTCGAACATATCGCAATCAGGACATGGATGTGTGTCGTCTGGCTGCGGTGAGATGCAGCTGGTCGGTAAGTGGTCGTCATCGGTCGGGTGGCGGCCACTGTACTCGCGCAGTGACGATTCCTGCTGGTATGATGCGGGCGGATACAGCATTGGAGTTCTGCCACAGTCAACCAATTCGTATGAGTCGTGAGGGCGAGGGCCGAGACGGTCGTCGCCGTGATTGCGCTCACGACTACCGCTGGCCGATAACCTTCTCCATGCTTCGGATCGTGTCTCGGGCATTCTGCTCATGTCAGAGCTGGAAGGACAAGATAATGGGTCGTGAAGCTACTGGCTTGATCTAGAGATGTCTGCGTTGAGCTCACGGGATGCGGCACCTAAGGCAGCGCTTGAAGCGACTTGAACACGCCTCCCCCAAATCAAACTTGGAAGCATTTGAAGCATTCTTACCGAGTCGCAGCAACAGAAGCATCAGACTCAGCATGGAGCAATGAGTCGAGTCTCTGCCTGCACCTGAACTGCAGCAGCACTCTTTGCTTGCGCTTTGATCCGCTCTTCTGCAGCATTCCAACTTGCCTGCTCAGTCACTCGAGTCTGTATACGTGCACAATATGGAGTGACAATGTCCATTAACTCCGAAACGTCCACGAAAGAAGTCATTTACAGCAGTCTTGGTGATCAATTCGAGTCCCCTTCTGGAACCTACCTCTGGGAACAGTATGTACATCAGATTTTCGGAGTGGTCCTTACATTCTCTCCTTTGAACCGTGAACAGCCTTTCTACAAATGCTGTCAGGCCAATGTCAATGACCAGCCGTATTTCCTCGTGCCTGAGAGTGTCTTCGCGATAACTTGCTTTGGACTAGGGGTCTCGTGCCGAATCCGATTCCGGAAGACGCGCAGGACATTTGCGAATGCATCAGCAGAGTACCGAGTGTCCGCCACGTATTTCCTGTATTTGTTGCCTTCTGTTCTCCCTGGTGAGCGGGTTGCTGTACGCAGCGCAAGGTGAAGTCAGAAGTCAGCAGCGGAAAAGGGCGGAAGGAATCTGGGCAGCAACGGACGAATCGCCAGCCGTCGTTCCACCACCAGACAGATCGGCTGAGGTCAATTTCCTGCATGCAGGGTCGTCGCGGTGTCACTGTGGTCGAGCCGTCAAAACGCCACCGAGTCGCTGACAACTCCTTAGAAGGCCTTTGCGCGCCTCTTGTGTCTCGAGTCAACTTTTCCTGGAAACTCTGCCATCAGTCCCTCGAACTCAATTCGCAAAGATGCCTGGTCGAATGCTCCCGACGCTGCCATCCGCAGAGGTCGCGTCGCATAATACCGAGAAGTCGTGTTATGTTACTGTCGGCACAAAAGTCTACGATATCACGCCTTTTCTGGAAGACCATCCGGGCGGAGGTGATTTGATACTGCAGTATGGCGGCAAGGATGTCAAGGAAGCAATGGAGGATGAGATTTCACACGCGCATAGCGAAGCAGCCTGGGAGATTCTCGACGATTACCTCGTAGGCTTCGTCGCGACGCAGAAAGTGCTCGATGCCGTGGAGAAGAGCAATGATCCGTTCAGCGTGCTACCGATGGAGCCCAGCGCGAAAGGCATGAAGGAATTGGACAAGGCTAGCAATGGCGCAGCTGCAGAAGTAAGGGCCAGAGACCAGGCTGTTATGCATGGAAGCACAGAGGACAAGCCTGTGTACGAGGCAACAGGAATGAGCTCGGAAGAAGATTTGAACAAGGAGACCGACGCGAGGATGGACTACAAGAAACACAAATTTTTGGACTTGGAAAGACCACTTCTGATGCAAGTCTTCAACGGCGGCTTCAGCAAGAAGTTCTACCTGGAACAAGTACATCGGCCACGACATTACAAGGGCGGCGAGAGCGCACCGCTATTTGGCAACTTCCTTGAGCCTTTGTCGAAGACACCTTGGTGGATCGTGCCAACATTCTGGTGGCCGCCTGTCGCATACGGGACATTTCTCGGTGCGCAATATTTCAGCCCTCACATTCTCGTAGCATACTGGATCGCTGGACTCTGCATTTGGACTCTGGTCGAATATGTCCTGCATCGATGCTTGTTCCATCTTGACGACCACCTACCAGACAACCGATATGCCATTACCTTGCACTTCCTGCTTCATGGCATCCACCACTACCTACCCATGGACCGCTTACGGCTTGTAATGCCACCCACTTTGTTCCTGGTTCTGGCGACACCATTTTGGAAATTGGCACACACAGTCTTCTTCTATGACTGGTATGCAGCAGTCGCTGTTTTCTGTGGAGGCATTTTTGGATACACATGCTACGACATGACCCATTACTTCCTGCACCACAAGAAGTGAGTACAGCTTTCAGACCTCTTACCTCTCTTTATACTGACCTTTGCTAGCCTGCCCGCATACTACCGTGAGTTGAAGAGGTACCATCTCCAACATCATTTCATGGATTACGAGAATGGCTTTGGCGTCACCAGTCGCTTCTGGGACAGGGTATTCAAGACGGAACTGGCGCCTCCACCAGCGCCCAAGGTTCTCAAAACTAACTAGACATGGATTCTATCGAGCACAGAAGACAGCATAGCATGGCATCGCGTTAGAAGCATTGAAGACGGCGTTGCAGGGCAGAAGATACCAACACAGCGAATACTGATTGTACATAGATTTATCTGTAGATAATGATAATCACCAATGGAAGAATCGACCAAGTGCAAGGTGAGATGATTGACTTCGTTGTGAGTTCTATGAGCTCGAATAATGGTGACGGACTTCACGCAATGCAGTATTGTATACATGTCCATCAAAGTAATGCGACAGTGCTGCCACAGCGCTGCTCTAGCCGCAGTAGCGATGCTAGTGAGGGGCGGTGATGCCTGTGACCGATTGCCTTCACAATTGGTATAGAGTTAAAACCGTTTCGAGGCGGTCAAAGCTTAATATTCTAGGCAGGGCACGTGCAGGTGCAACCGTGCAGGCCGGCACTCGGTAGCCGAATTCTCACCTCTTTCTTTGCGCCTCGACTTTGCACTTCACAAGCTCACTTCCCTGCTACATCCAACATCACCAACACTCTTATCTCACAGTGACTGCTGCGAGCGCCTGCATCCAGCCGTGAAGGGTATCACACAGTCCACTGCACCTGGTCACCAGCGGCGACACTCACAAACTTCACAGCGGCATCCGTCAGCCTCCTTTGACTGGCTGCGGCGGCCTCATTCACGACCACCGCACCGCACCTCGAAAATTCGATACTTCAAATCCCCGCCGTAAACATCGCGATCTGCACACTGTGAGCATCGATCGACACACTGTCAAGATGGCCAACCCACCGACTTATCTAGAATTGTCCGACCTCCTCGAAAACGAAGAGAAGAAAGCAAAAGCCCGCATCGCTGCCGAGAAGGCTGGCAGCAATGGCGCCTCCGATGTCCACATGCATGGCTCTACGCCAGACGCTACTCTAGGTTCTCCATCGCGCAACGATCCACTGCGCCTCGACCGTCCAGATGATGGACTACGCGACCGTCGAGGACGATCCTCCAAAGACAGGTATATGAGCGAGAGGGAAGAGAATGACGAGCGCAGGGCCCGCAGATCCAAAGATATCGCCGACGAAGACGCAGGCAACGGGGGCAGTGACAAGGCCAGTGCTAACGGAAGCGAGCGCAGCAGGCGTCGAAGCCGCTCCCCACGACCAGAGGGTCGCCGCGAAAACCATCGCTCTCGCGATCGCCTAGACCGCGCAGGTGGAGACTACTACCGTGGCGGTGGCCGCACGTCTCTTGACGATGATCGTTACCGACCACGTGAGCGCGACGATCGTCGACCTCGGGATCGCGACGACCGACGTGGTGGCCGCGACCGACACTGCGAGCGGAGACCATCGCCTCACCGTGGAACCAAGCGTAAGACGCCAGAACCTACTGATGATGAGCGCGACAGACGCACAGTTTTCGTGCAGCAGCTTGCTGCCCGTCTTCGCTCACGCGAATTGAAAGAGTTCTTCCAGCAAGTCGGCGATGTGGTTGATGCGCAAATTGTGAAGGATCGTGTTAGCGGCCGCTCCAAAGGGTATGTTCATCTCACGCACGTGTTATGACTTCGTATGCTGACTTCTATCGCAGTGTTGGTTACGTCGAGTTCAAAGAAGAGGAGTCAGTCCAAAAGGCCATTCAACTCACCGGACAGAAATTATTGGGCATCCCTATCATCGCTCAGCTTACCGAAGCAGAAAAGAACCGACAAGCTCGCAACACCGAAGGAACTGCCACTCAGTCCAACGGCATTCCATTCCACCGCCTCTACGTCGGCAACATTCACTTCTCTATTACAGAGGATGACTTGAAGAACGTCTTTGAGCCTTTCGGCGAGCTTGAGTTCGTGCAACTGCAGAAAGAGGAGGCCGGTCGCTCCAAGGGCTATGGCTTTGTGCAGTAAGTGACCCAAACCTCTCATTTACTACATATACTTATTGTCCACCAGGTTCATCGACCCCGCTCAAGCAAAGGAAGCGCTCGAGAAAATGAACGGCTTCGAGCTTGCTGGTCGACCCATCCGTGTGGGTCTCGGTAACGACAAGTTCACTCCCGAGTCCACCAATTCCCTCCTTCAGCGCTTTGGCGCTCAGGCTCAACAAGCACACAATTTCCAGGGTTCCCAATTCTCCGGCATGGGTGGTCGGGGTGCTCACGCTGGTGGTACAGGCAACTTCGACAGGCCAGCTGCTCGCGATGTCGACAAGACTGGCGGAGCGTCCGCACTTGACGACACCGACGTCGGCGGTGTCAACTTCAGCAACTACAGCCGTGACGCTCTCATGCGCAAGCTGGCCCGAACTGACGAACCTGAGCAGAAGATGGCACCAAAGACTCAACAGAAGAAGCCTGTCGTCGAGCAGGCAGCTGCCACTCGCTGTGTCTTGATCAAGAATATGTATGATCAGAACACGTATGTACTCAACCGCTGACACACCTTGCGAAACCATGCTGACATTAAGATCCAGTGAGACCGATCCAAACTGGCAGAAAGAACTCAAAGAAGACGTCAAAGGAGAATGCGAGGCAAAGTATGGCAAGGTTGTCCACATTGACTTGGCTCTAGACAACAATGACGGCGAGGTCTACGTCAAATTCGACCGCGTTCAAGGTGGCGAGAACGCCTTCAAAGGCCTCAACGGTCGCTGGTTCGGCGGACGCATGTTGACTGCTCAATACGTGGTCGACGCCGTCTACCACATGAACTTTCCGAAGGCGGCCAACGTCTAGTTGCCACTTCTCTACAGGTACGTTACTCCGTAAATCCGTCTTCTTCGACGGTGTGCTATGGCAACGGCAGCAAGGGCAGGGCGGAGTTGTATGAGAGTGGGCTTGGAGTTGGAGTCGGGTGCAGCATCAAATGGAGTTCAATCTGGCACACAGCACAGAAGGGTGAGGTCTTGGACATCGCGGCGAGACACGTATGTCTCGTCGCTTCGCTGATGAGCTGCAAATAGTGGCTCTGCATCACAACACGGCAAGGAAGCTGCATGCTTCTGACAGTGTACATGAATGAACATGGGAAAAAGATCACCAAGAAAATGTGCGCGCGTCTTCTCCTCTGTCATCTCACACGTGCAGGTCGTCGTCGATTGGTTCTATTCATGAACTCTTGCCTGCAAAATCCTAAGCCGCTGTTGCGTTTCCATGGAACGGGCACTGGTTCCGGCTTTCTCAGAAATGAACCCGGTCTCATGAAGTCTGTGCTGAGTTTGGGCTTCCTGGGCGCGGTTCTCACACGATCGGTTCAAGCGTAGGGGTTCCCTTTCTCGAATTGCGGCTTCCACAAACCCTTGGCTTCTTTCGTCTTCAGCTGGATACCCTTTAGGAAGCCGTAGATTGTACGCAACGTCGGCGCTGGTACGCCTAAACGTTCTGCTTCGCGCACTGGCTCGCCAACGATGTTCTCCATTTCAATGTAATTGCCCTAGCACAATGTCAGCCCTTGCCTGCGGCATCACGCGGTCACTGCCTCTCACCTTGAGTGCATCCTGCCCCATGCTGGGCACAAAAGCCGTGTCAGTCGGATCACATCTGATCACCGTATCATCAATTCCCTTCGGCAGATCAACTCCAGCAGCCTTTGCAATTGCGATGATCTCCAGCATAGCAGGTCGGATCCTAAAAGTGAAGGGTAGAAGCATTAGCAGATGTCCTAAGCGAGAAAGAGCCTTTTGCGACCAGGTGACTCGATTGGCGATGGAGAGTGAGACAAGAGGGCTACAAGGCGGGAATGTGCAGGATAAGGGCTTCTGTCCTTTGGTCTACTCACAGATCATCAATCACGATCTCCGACATCCTCATCCTCGCCGTGTCCATCCCCAGCACCGCCGCAACCGAATTAAAGGAAGAGTTGTACACCAACTTCCGCCACCTCGTAAATGTCACATCGTCATCATACTCCCAACTCACCTTCCCACAAGCCATATACAAATCAATAAATTTCCGAGCCTCTGCTTCCGCTTTTTCTGGCGCGACCGTCTGTCCGGCGAAAGGACCTAATTTCGTCCGATCCGCATCATCATGTCGAATCACTCCATGCGACACTTCCGTCGCTCCCAGAAACGCCACACCAGACAAAACGACATTTTCAGGAAACTCTTCGATGATCGGTTTCTCGATATTCAGTCCATTTTGTAACAACACAATCGTCGTGACGCCGGGCGTCACCGCCGGGCGTATCAGGTCCAAGACCGTAGGTTTTACATCTGGGACATTTTTCGTGGACACGACCATGAAGTCGAAAGGTTCGAGGTCTTTTTCTTGTTGCAGGTTTGGGATTGTGTTGCGGATATGTGTGGGTTTGAAGCCTGTGATTCCGGGTCCGTGGTCGATAGAGTCGATTGTGAAGCCTTGGGATGATACGACGTTGTAGTTTGAGCGGCAGATTGCGGTCACTTCGGCTTTGTGGCCCGTTTCTAAGGCGTATGCGGCCATGGTGCCGACTCCGCCTGTGCCTATTAGTAGGACGCGGGATTTTCTTTCTAGGGAGCCCATGGTGGTGGATGTGTTTGTCGTCTTGGGGAAGTTATTGAGGTGTTGTAGTAGGGTCTTGCCGCGAGTTTCGTGGTGCTGCAGACGATGGATAGCCTTTCTCTAAGCGATCGTTGTGAGTGGATCTTTGATTCAGGTCTATGGGTGGTCTGTAGAAATGTTTTGTATTGTTGGCCTATCGCGCGATAAAGCTTGAGGCAGGAAAGAGCAGGTGGAGGAAAGAGCTGCCAGATTCGAACCGGACCGGGTGACTAGTGACCGACCAATCGGTCTGGAAGCAATGGCGGCCGACACTCGAGAACAATTGTATATGTAAATTCGTAGACAGTAAACGTCTGTTATGCGCGTTTGACTGCAGACTCATCTCACGGAAGGCTTGAACTTTCTTATGTTCTCACAGAATGTACCTACTTGATAACCCCAAGCTTCCTCTTCATCCGCACCAGTTCCAAGGGAGGCGAATGGGGAAATATGGTTATGTCCGAGCATCATATCGACTGCAAGAGCACGTCGGCTCTCTACAGTGTTGATCGACATCCATTCTTTGACAAACTCATCTCGAGGGTGCATGATCTCGTCAACAGGGTCAAGATCGCCATTCAGAACGAAGATGCGTGTGCCTGCGTGAGCGAAATCGATGGTTCCTTGTTTTGCAGCTGATCGGAGGAGTCCAAGAGGCGATTTAGTCTTTCCCATGTCGCTGCCAAAATAGGCCTCATTCACTGCAGCTCGATCAGATTTGGCGTGATCGAAGCTGAAGGGCACCGAGAGCAGTATGACGCCTCTCAACCGTGTGGCGTTTCCAGACAAGACTTTTGATCGAGTTGCCTCGAACGAGGGATGTAGCAGGAACGTGCAAAGGTGCAGACCTCCTGCAGAGTTTCCCATAAGAAAGAGATCTAAAGGCTCCTCGCCAGCGACCGCGGGATTCGCGAGCAGCCACTCTACGGCCAAGGCTATATCCTCGCCTCCCGACGGAAAGACAGCATCGTGCTTTCCTACCAATCGATAGTCGGGAACTACCACGGTATAGCCAAATTTGAGTGCGTAGAACGAGGCGATGTTTGCATGACACAAGTCTCCAGCGTATCCTGGTAGTGTCTTGTGTCCCATGACCAGGCCTCCGCCGTACAGGAACATTAGTACTGGTTTACGACCATTGGTCATGTTCGGCTTTTCAGGCGTGTAGATGTCCAGACTTTGTCGTTCGTGAGGTCCATATTGCCGAGTCTGCTTCGGCACTGATCGTATTGTTTCGGCATTCTGGAGCAATAAGGGTTCGTAGAGCTGCAATGTTGGCTTGACGATTTCTCCGATGGCTGTGCCTAGTGCGGGAAGATGCTCCATCGCTGCTGGGGTATGAGTGTTTCCTCGAGAGCTGCTGATATTTCAGGCCAAGAGAGATCTATGTTCACTGTAGAGAGATGTCGACGAACGAAAACGTGCCTCTAGTTACCGGTGTTAGACTGCAGGTTGGCATCGATCTTGCAGATGCTCACGCCGGCTGTCTCGATCGGCCGTACCGAAGCTCTGAAGACCAACGACACATGTTAGGAGATGTGCGATCACCGGGTTCGAGTATCGGCAATGCAGAGCGGGCGGTGGTGGATGTCGTTGAGTGGCCCAGTAGACATGGTCGAGCAGCCCCCAAATCCGTTCCTTCGTACGACCGGGCAAAGGCCTGTCGGAGAAAGTAGGGCTTCGGAATGTCAACTGCCGAAGAGGATGGCACTCCGCCTCCATCCGCGCTACCGTCCACTCACCATGCTGTTCTGGTCATGGTAGCTAACTTAGGGCTTGCGCCGTGTAGTCAGGCCGGCTGGAGAAGCAATGAAACATCCATCGTGCCTGTCTAGACCGCGTGGCAGCATGTATAGAACTAGGCTGGCTTACCACCAGAATCTGCTGCTTCGCCTTCTCTTCCCCTAGCTGCACTTTACCATCTCCTCCCTCAGAAGACAATGGCTACCATGACCGTTACCGCTCCTGCCAATGCTCAAAATGGCGACACCGTCCTGAGAGCGACGGACTTGCCGCCTGGCGTGTCTGGCAAGCCATATGTAATCTCATCCCAGGACGGCGAGATCATCTACATTCCCCTATCCAAGTCTGCAACAAGGCTGCTCGTCACTGGCAAGGAGACAGACAATGCTTTCGCTGTCGTTGGCAGCAGTGGCAGTCAGAGTGATCCCGTCGGCTTTCACTATCATGCCAAGACTCACGATGTGTTCCTCTGCTTGAAAGGCAGCGTCAACGTCTGGGCCAATGACGAGGCACGAACAATGGGTCCAGGTGACTTTGCGAGTGTTCCGCCGGTATGCTTGATCATGTGCCAGCCAGCTCCTTCCAACACTGACACCGTGTAGGGCACGATACATCAATATCAAATCCTGGGAGATCATTCCGAAATGGTAGGCCTGATCGTGCCAGGCGGTTGGGAGGAATTCTTTCGATTCATCGGCGAACCATACGATGGTCCTCTCTGGCCATTGGATGACCAGCGTAACATATTCGAAGTCCTGATCCCCAAACTTAAAGCCGCAGCTGAGCGGTTCGACATGATTCCACTACCACAACATAAGCACTTGGGCCCAACGCCGTGGAAGGACACCGAAAACAAACTACCTGGAAAGCTTGAGCCGTACTTCTTGAAGAATGCTACGGGTCCGGCATATCTGGCTGGAGGAGCTGTAGTTAGGCCATTGATCACTACAGCAGAGTCGGATGGCAAATTCGTCATTGGCAGCATCGAAGGCTCGAAGCAGCACGCGGAGACCGATCTATTCGCAGCAGGCCGCCAACTCCGATTTCCAGAGACCCATCATGCTTTCCAGGTCGTTGAAGGTGCAGTACAATTCGATATTGGCTCTGCACCTCCAACAAGCCTTCACAGCGGCGAGATCGTCTATGTTCCAAGGGGTACAGCTTTCAGCTATCGATTCCGGACAAGATTCGCCAAGATGTATTCATTCGCGAGCGGATCTGGCATTGTCGAGCTGTTGATGAAATCTGGCGAGTCATACAACGCACCAGTGCCGCCAGAGAAGGCGAGCTTGCTGGATGCTCAGAGGTTGCAGGACTCTGCTAAGGATTGCGCTAGTGATATATGCTGATACATATGGGCCCAGCAACCATTCTAAAATGATATATGATACCAACCAACACGGCTCGAATACCATCGTCTTTTCGAAAGCTACTCGTCCTTAGGCCAGAACAACCCTTGTGGTAATTTTCCAGCCAGGAAACCACCGTCCATTATCAACGTCGTCCCTGTCGTCCAATCTGTGCCAACAAGACAGTTGACCGCCTTGCCCACCTGATCCGGTGTTCCAAAGCGCTGCTGAGGATACAATCGGACCAGATATTGACCAGACTCCGCGAAATCTGGATCATTTAAACCTTCCGCTACCATTTCATTCACCATGCCTGTGGGAATGATACCAGGAGCCAAGGCATTCACCCTGATGCCTCTATGAGCATACTCCAGCGCTGCCGACTTCGTCATACCAATGATGGCGTGTTTCGACGCGCAATATGCAACACCCATAGCACAACCTTGTTCGCCATAGATGGACGTGAAATTGATGATATGGCAAGGCTGATCGTCGTTCTGCTTGGGTTGCTGGAGCATGATTTTCGCCTGCTCTTGCATGCAAACGAAGACTGCGGTAACGTTGAGGTGCATCAGGCGCTCGAACTTCTCTAGCCCTACAGTCTCCAGCTTGCCTATTCCAGAGGCAGTGCCTGCGGCGTTGACGGCGACATCGATGCGCTTGTATTCCGACGCTACCTTAGCATGAAGGTCTCGGATAGCTTGGATTTCCAACAGATCGCATGCGACGAAGACGCCTTTGCCGCCCGCTGCTTCGATGGCCTTAACAACTTCCGCTCCATTGGAGGTCATGTGCTGTAATCTCTCAGTGATGGGTATTGAAACTGACAGGTTGTTTGGTGTCAAGAAAGTCCTCGTGTACACAGCCTATCGGAACAAGTCGAATCACGAGCGAGGTCAAGACACGATGTGAAGACTAAAGAGCTCCTGAAGTGAGTGACGAGTCAATCTGAAGCCACAATTCATCACAAAAGCGTGTTGATGACCGTTATTTTCCACGGACGGAACGCAAAAGTAACATCAACATCATCCTTATCGATTCGAAGAGACACCTATTCTTTGAACCATACGAGCAGCAAATAGTACATGACTGCGCCCATGGCCTCACCATCAGTCGAATGGCCCGGAGAGCTCGAAGCTTTGCGACAGGACAGGCGTCTTTTGACTGCTCGAGTTGAGCGTCATGCGGCCGAGCTCCAAGCCGTCCGCAGAGACGTGGAGTCGGAAAAGCAGGAGATTGTGCAAGATTTCGAGCAGAGACTGGAGAGGTACAGATGGAGGACAAGCATTCTCACACAAGCAGTTGAGGAAGCGGAAGGGAAGATCAGCAAGCTTGAGAAGGAAAGCAGCCAGACGGCCAAGCTGAAGGCCACGATCAAAGCCCTGGGACAGCAGCTGCAGGAGGCACAGGCAAAGACAGAGTGCCTCGAGGAGGAAAAGGCCAGTCTCGCCGAGGAACGCGACTTCGCTGTTATGCATGCTGCAGCAAAAGAACGAGTCGTCAGGGCTGCTGAGCATGTGACCAAATGCAACGCAGGCAAGCACTGGGAGGAGTACGGCAGGCGAATGGCTGCTTTGAAGGAGGCGATCAACGGCAACGGCGGAGAGGAGTGATGGGTGGGTGATTGAGGTCGAGAAAATTCGTGGCCATCATGTGATTAGACGGCTTACCAAATCTTGACCGCATGTCGCGGATAATTATCCGACTTCCAACCCGCGTTTTCACGCTAGAAGAATTGTATGTTTGGCCTTCAGTCTCGTCGTCTTCCCTTCCCTTCAACATCCTTCACCTCCCATCACCACTGCCCTTTGAGCAGCGCGCACCCGTAGCCGATCCCTCGGTCGCACATCTGGCAATGAGAAGCAGCGCCGACTCACGTACATGGCACAGAGCATGCTCGCAGCGCTCAGCGCATCCAGACAGACCTCCGCTGAGCCTACGTCGCTCGAAGCAGCGAGTTGCGACGGACAGCTCTCCTGAACTCCCGATCGAGAAGCCTGACACACATTCTTCGCAATCAAACTGGTGCAAGAGCAGCAACATGATCACACCATGAAATAGGACGCGCACTCCCTCTGCGGCCGCGTCTTCTCCCGCAGCTATCGAGGCACAAGAGACGGTCAATCCTTTTGCCTGGTACGTGGATACGGTGATGCCCTACTCAGGCACGGGCTGTGATCCTTCCACGCCACTACCCAACTCTGCTATCATCCATCGCTCCTTCAATACTCACGACAACTATGAAACTGATGGTGAATGCCATCCTGTACAAGCCGGCGACCTCATTGGCAGCGTCCAGATAATTGGCGGAGAAAAGTGTAGAGTGAGCTTGGTAAGATGGCAATAACTTGAGCGTGGTCGATTGTGAGACATTTGCTGACCCTCGATCTATCACCTTGTAGCATTCCGGCAGCAATTGTGAAGGGTGGAGGTGGACTCCCAAAAACACAGCCTGCCATAACTATGTCTATGCAAGTGCGAGGATATGGTGCTGGGATGGCAGAGCTTATGGTCCGGCTGGAATCGGCAAGAGAACAGTCAACGAGGCCGAGATGATCGAAGCCGAGTGGAACGGTTGACCGTGGATTGGAAGGAGATGAACTTATGCGATCAACAGGCTTGATCGCAGAGTTCCACTTTGTGAGATAGAGACCTCGAGGAAACGAGCTCTTGAGTCATCTAGAAGTTCTCCCAGCCTCGCGCCATCTATCTCTCGGGTTTCTTGCCGATGTCATTGCTCTGCACTTGCGCTATCCCGGGCCAGACAGACAGCTGGAGAAGGTGCCGCATAAGCGTCACCGTCGTTGCTTTGCAGGTTTGCTTCCCGCCACTTTACAGCAGCAGAACATGCCAAACACCAGAAGCCTGGCAAGATTGACTTCAGCGACTAGGCGCAAAGAAGTGGTGTGCATTCCAAATCTTCAAACATTGTACGCTGATGCATTACCTGACACAGATGACCGTCATGTAACAGTTCTGTCAACGATGATGGCTAGCACGCTTTGTTCCCCGATCACGAACATCAAGGACTGTTGTACTGTCGGGACCAAGATCAACATAAAAAGAGTCTCTATGTCCCATCCGGGAAGGAAGTCACCACCGCGGAAGACAAACAAAAGCCCTACTGCCAATCGTATCAGACTATCTGTCTATCCAACGATGCATCCATCCGCCGTTCTCTACCTTGCAGCAGCAGCAGCGACATTCACTTCAATCAATGCCAGTCCACTCTCGCCGCCTATGGGAGTCTCCCTGGAGTTCTTCAACGGCAGCACCTGCGATTCCGACGACTTTGTGTATCGACAAGATTTTTGGTGGACGATGGGAGTCATGCCAACGCTATGTTCTCCGATTGAATGCTTCCCGTCAGTGAGCTTCAATCAGTGCTCGCACAACATGAACTCGAGCTCTGTTCGCGTAATACAATACCCTCTGGGTTTGGCAAATGGTCCTCCGAAAGATATCTGTGAGGTGAATATTTATGGGAGTAGGTATTGTGAAGGTCGTGGTGAAGATACCGGAGCACAGGTGGGCGGTGGCCAGGATGGAGACTGCTGGGGTACTGCGACTGGCTTTCCGTATGAGTCCTATTCGATCAGCTGCAGATTTGATGGGATGCCCGAGAGCTGAAGGATACCGTGAAAATCTTGACAGATCAATTCAATGGGCTGGAGTGCGTTCGCTCTGATCAGAATGGACTTCTCGCTTCATCAAAGTACTTGAACGTCAATCTAACGCTGCTTTCTCAACCGGCCAACATGGCCATCTGTGTATTCCACTTTTCAAAGATTAACTCACGTTTACGGCCTTCACTATGCCGTTCCCATAATTTCCATGGTCGTAGAGTCGACCGCCCCACCCAAAGTTGCATCGATGGTTTCTGGTAAAGCAGAATATCCCTATGACGAGCAGTCCTCATCCAATCTGCTTGCTCCGAACCGACCAGGTCTAGTTCAACTGCGTGAACTTCTTCTTGGTCAACGTTCCGATGACGTGCGGAACAACATCGTATGGTCCCTCAGCGTTGCCAGGCCGGAGTTTTACCTCCTCCCACTCGCCAGCTGTGAGCAGCCATTCATCGGTTGGTCGTTGGATATCGCAGCCATTGAAAAAGTGCGGCCAAATGTAATTGACGTATCCTGAAAATGTCAGCACATGAGCCTCCCAGGTTATTGTAGGGCATCACACTTTGCCAATACCAGACTAAATAGCCTTCATACTTGGTCTTAATGTGTTCATACACCAGCCAGGTGCCACCAGGCTTGAGTAGCGGATACAGCTCCTGGATGATGATCTGTGGCGTCGGAATAGAGCAAAGGCATTGGACCGTGATAATTGTGTCGATGGAGCCAGGTTCAATGCCACCTTTGGTCCTGAGCTCCTCCGCACCACAACCAATTACCTCGTAGATGTCTCCAAGACCGGCTTTCTTTGCGTTTTCCTTCAACGCGGCATGCATTCCTACATTAGGCTCCACACCATATATTTTTGTAATCGATGGATTGTCGGCACGAGCAAATAGATACACCCATTGCCCAGTACCCGGGCCAATGTCAAGGCAGACGCCTTGGGCACTGTTCTGAAGCAAAGGCATTACAGCAGGAGCTGCGTTTTCTCGAGACAGAGGTCCAAAGAACTCCCAGAATTTTGCGAACCAGACATCTTTGAAGTCGTCGATGGAGAAGAATGGCTTGAAATTGAGGTTGAGGATCAAGCTGATGATCGTGGGGATGATGTAGTATGCAGAGTATGCGAGCAGATGAAGCGGTCGAAGGAGGTTGAAGGGGCCACTCGGTTCTGTTTGTGCTTGATTCGGTGGCATCTTGTTGAAGTCCGCCTCACCCTCAGTGTGTGATTGAGAGTTCTAAGGAACAAGGCCAGAAGGGAGTTGGTTGGGAGCCTGATATACAATCAATGCTGCAGGGGGGTTGCTCTGAGAATGGTGTGCAATATTAGTCACTTCACTTCCCCACTCTGCTGCTCCAACGGGCCGAGATCGGGTCTAGGTGGCCGATTGATAAAGGCACAACAAAGCTCCAGGGCTGCCAGTATGCAGAATATGTTTCGAGTACCATGGCGATACAGTTGGCTTGCGAAGCATGTGGCCGGCATAGCTTTTTATGACCGAGAGTATCTTTCATGATTGCTCACGCTGTGCTCGATGCACGAGACACAGTGGAACATGTGGCATCGTTGACTTTGCAAAGATTTGCTGTCGGAAATGTCACAACAAGATGACGGCCACTGAGTTGGAGCTGAGATGGCGAAGGCAATATCAAACAACCGAGCCTGATCACCTTGGTGGCTGTCTGGGTGTGCTGGGCAGTGGTCGTTACCTACATTCTTTCTTCAAAAATTGACGAGGAAATAGTGAGACCGAGAAGAAGGTTGCGCGTCGGCCCGCGGTCCGCTGCAACTTGTTATTATGCAGTCGTGGATTCCTCCTGGCTTGGCTTCAACTTTTCTATTCCATCAATGGAAGTGGTCAAAACACCCCAACAGAGACTACGAGCCATCTAGCAGGGGAAGCAAGAACATCTGTGTTGGACGAGAGATTCAACATACGCTCTAGTCTAGTGGAGCATTAATGGCACACAATCCTCTCATTTGACTCTGCTCGTGCGCAGCGCAGTCTTTCCGACGGCTGTTCAACGCAGTACTCGACGAGCTGAAGTTCCTTCTCCGTCTTATTATTACAGAATGACCTCCCTCGTAAGCTTCCTCAACAGACTCTTGCCGTTTGCAACTCCAGGAACCCCACTCGTCCAGGATCTCCTCCATCTCGGCGTTATTTGCAGCTTGCTGTACTTTGCACCGCAAATTCAGGAATATGTCCAGCGCAGGCATCTGAATCCATCCATCCCGGAGCAGCCGCCTGTTGGACAAGATGACGATGGCCCGGAAGTACCGAGCGCCGATGAACAAGTCGCGGACCAACATGATCCTGACCCGACCCATCAAGACAATGGCGTTGGAGAGCCAGTCAATGTGAACGAAGATGACTTTAATGGAGCAGTCAATGGAGATCTGGATGGTCCTGCTAACCGTGTGCCTGTCGCTGGACCCGCAAATGGCCGTCCGCAGAGGAACGTTGGAGCCAAGAAAGCTAAAGCTTTGGCACGTCGAGACCAGAGAAGAGCCTACCATGAGTTTCAACGCTCTCAGGGCGAAGCTCAGAGGGCCAAAGACGCAGAAGGCGCATCGGAACGGGAGAAGGCACAGTCGATCGAGAGAGAGCGAAGGAAGGCCGTGGAAGCCAAACTGGATGAGAAGAAAGCGAAAGAACGGGAGCAGCGGCGGGAACAGGAACGCAAGGAAAGAGAGCAGGAGATGCAAAGGCGTGAGCAAGCGATTGATCTTGTACGGGAGCAACTGCAGGAACGGCAGATGAGTAATGTGTTCGAGGTTGCGAGACAGGTGGGCGGTGATGCTGATGACGTTTGGTTGGAGAAGATCCTGAAGGCAGCAGGTGTGCTGGGCAAGAATGCGGACGATTCGATTACCATTGCCACAAGTCTCGGCTGGATCGTTCGAGTGCAACGGCAAGATATGCTGAAAGCTTATGAGAAAGCTGCTGCTGCGAAACATAGCGATGACGGTGAGATCAGCTATGAGGACCTTGGTACACATCTGGAGGCTGTACTACGCGAGAAGGTTGATTAGAGGTCTATACCTGCGGAACTCCGGGCCGCTATGCTGTATCCTGACTGCAATACGCCAGCGCTTCCAAACGCCTCGAGACTATCCTCGAAAACATCAAATCTCGCATCCGAATCGGCATCGGACTTGTCATCATTCATGACTGTCCTGCGAAACGCGCCCAAGCACCTTCAAGCTGAAACTATGCAGAGTCTTCCGAAATGAGCTTTCAGAAGTCATAGCTGCATGTCTACAACTTCGATGTCCTCACTGGATCCAACAGTGTAGAAAGCTGCGCTCGCGGATAATCTGCGTTTTCGCTCGGATCTGGTCTTGCTCGGTCCCAAGCCCACTTCTGCGCCAGTTCTGGTGATAGCTTGCCGTCCAGCATCTGTGCAACATACTTGCCGATGACAGGGAAGAACTTCCAGCCATGGAAGTTACCACACGTGGCAACATAGAGACCTTTCGCAGCTGAGTGTGGCGAAATAATGAAGTCTGCGTCGGTGGTGAAAGCATCCCTGATGTTGCGTCAGCACATAGACCGAGTATGGAAGATGGTCAAACTCACCAGCAGACTCGGTACTTCTCCATCTGCCAATTCGCTCCCTTCTTGCCATAGAAGACGTGGTTGGCGTGGTCGATGTCTTCTCTCATCCTCCTCGAAGCATCCCACTGACCATAGTCCTGCTTTGGAGGAGGATACGATACCCACCGTCCTGGGAAGAGTTCTTGGGTGTTCTCAAAGATGGTCTGGCCCCACCATTTGAGCTCATTGTCTTTGGTAGGTGGCAGGCTCCCGATGAATGGACCAGTGGCGGCGGTGTAACCTTGCACACCCACAGGCATATCTGCAAACGTCTCGATGTCTTTTCCCTTTAGAGTCGTCATACCGGTCGTAATACCAGCCGCAGTGATTCTTCGCCCAGCTCGAAGCTCAATGTTCCCGCTTGCTTGAGCTGCGAGCTCTAGTAACTTGGGCGTGTACGCACCTGAGCTGAGGATGATCTGGTCGCCGCTGATTGTCTTGCCAGTCGTCGTCCTCACTCCGACACATCTATCGCCACTGAACTGCAGCGACGCCACTTCCGCTACCTCATACTTGATACCCTGATCCAGGCACCACTTCGTGACAGCGCGTAGGCAATCTCCCGCTGCCGCCCAGCCGCTGGTCTTGTTGACGAGCACTGACTTGGCTCTGTCGTAATCTGCAAGATCGAAGAGCCCATTGTGCATCTTCTTGGCATCCTCTATCGAAACGGACTGAAGTTCAGCTCTGCGGCCGAGCTTCTTATAGTTATCAATGACCTTGTCAGCGTAGTCATCCCGGCATATCCAGTAAATACCAGTCTCGTGAAAGTATGGTTTCCAGAGCGGGTCTGATTTGAACACATCTTGTGATTCGAGAGCGAGTTGGCAGTATACAATGTCGTCGTAATCCGCTCGCACGACCTTGTTCCAGTCCCACGAGGCTGCTACGCGCGAGTCGGCATCGTATGCGTCCCGGTCGACTATAGTGATGTCTGCATTAGGATATTGTTTTTTCAAGTGATACGCTGTCGAAACTCCAAAGACACCGGCTCCGACAATGACGTAGGATTTATTGTTTGAAGTCATGGCGAGCGAATGTGTCGAGAATGTATGAGGCTCCTTCAATGTCGCCAGCACAGATATATCTGGAAAACGTGAAGTCTTAGTGCACTGGGCACGATTGACCAGCTGGGGTTCGGCCGAGTGTACAGGCGGGTGGGATAACCGTTTTTGGCGAAGCCAACCATCGGCTATGGGGGATGCACGGGTCTGGTTTGCTCAGATCGGGTTGTGCATCCTCTTGATTGGATGTATTGGCCGGGCACAGAGCCCGAAGTTCTTTACAGTACACCCCGATTAAGCGAGCTGGCGGACGGGGGTAATCCCCGTAAACGGCAGCTAGCTTGGAAGCGTTAGACGTAAACCTTTTAAAGGTACGGATAATTCCTTTAGGCAGTACGCTAGCTTCTACTAGTTAGATCCCGTTTTCAGGGATTACCGCCGTCCGCCATCTCGCTTAATCGTACTGTATAATGGCATTGCTGGGAGTCCGCCGTAGCACAGTAGTTCGTGTGCAAGTGGACTCTAGTCTACAGGGTGTAAATGCAGTACCTACAGGAAACCGACCCGGAGACCAAATTGCGAACCGTCTCTCGTCTCCCCTTTGAATGTTCGAAATCTTGACTATGTAATAGTTGGCTGAATTCGAATTCCGAACAGATCTTGCGGCGGAAAGGAAGAAGCGCTATAAAGCACACCTGTAACGCAAGCTCGGCTACAGCCCGTGTACCGCATCAATGTTCTCTGCAGGTGCGAGCATCATCTGTGCTGCAAACACATCTGTCGTCGAGTGTGCTATGATATCGTATATTAGGAACCAGTCCAAAATTTGCAGGCACGCTACTTACTCCGTTTTCTACCAGAATGAGGGATATCCCAGTCTAGTGCACTCCTTCTGACAGTACCGGGTATCTATTTCATCCGGAAGATCCACACATTCTGCCTTGTGTTCGGAGTTACAGTGTATACATCCGTGAGCTTTTTTCTCTTTGCAAATTCTGAGAGTTTAACAAAGACATTTATTTCCAGTATCAGTCGAAGCCGTTAATGCGAGAGCGATAGTAATAGCGAAGGTAAGTATAGACCGCATAGTGTAGGTGGTCTTGCTGTTAGCCTGAAGATGTTGAGTGTAGAGGTTAGGTTGCATTATACTCGTATCCAGAAAAACAACACTTCACCCTAGATGTGGTTAGCATACTACTAATAGAAGTAATAAAACTTACATCAGGCTAGACCTCATTAATAGACTTCTATCCTTGAACTACTTCTCCGTGCCCTAGCACTCGCGACCAAATCGTATATCTCAGAGTCGTAGTCCGCTCGACATTCGTTGGGACCTCGTGTCTAACAGCACAGGGCGGAGTTGTTGGAAACATCAGCTTATCCATCTTCTGTACCAATCAATATGACGCCCTTTTCGTTACTGCATTCTCATCTCTAGGGCGCCGTCGGATGATCGACGAGGTCTTCATTTTGACCTTCGATATACTGTGATGTGTCCGTGGTCGAACAGCGACCATGTCTTATCCAGCATGCCATGCTCATACCCTCTCCACTTCACGTACTCTTCTGCTGGTTCAGGCGTTCCTGACTATTCCATTCGCGAACTCGTCACTGGCTTGTGTTAAGTCGTTGTGTGGCTTGCAATTTGTAGCATGTTCAGGAGCCATACGCATAACAACAGCGCTGCAGCGAACGTTGCGACACGTGATTCTGCGGTCCAGATATATGGCTATTACTGGCAGGCGGTGAAAGCTCAGCGTCGCCGCGGTTCGACGCGCCCCGAAGTCGTCGGGCTGTAAGATCGCGCGTGAGAGAAGTTGTGGATGTGCTGATGCAAGATGGACGCCCACTTCCGCGGGCAAGGTGTCTTCTTACAAAAGTCCGAGTTTCAGCCCTACCTCCCATCAGGCTTGTAGGCATGAAGAATCAAACTGCGACCGAGTGCACGTGATAGATTAGTAATTAGGGCTAGCTTCCGAACTTTCCGACTAGCCAATCACAAATACACCTAATAATTCTTCGCCTACAAGCCTAAGAATAAGCCGTACTAAACTAGCCTACGATATACTACTTTTTCGCGACTATACAAATATAACAATCTAAATAGCAGAGATTGTAGCCCTACTAATTGCGCTTTATTCTACCTACTAAATAAGTCTATATAACGTTAGCGCGTTAAGTTTTCGCTATTCTACTAAGCCGACTCGACTATAGCTATCCGGATTACTAGGCGGCTAGCTATACTACTAGAAACACCTTAATATATAATATACCGCATCGCCTAGCTAACACTTAGAGGTCCTTCTCCTAACGCTAGTAATTATTATTTAAATAGGCGAAAATTCCGTCCGATACCTACTAACTACTCTATAGCCTTTAAGGGTAATCGATAACCTTCCTATAGCTAACTTGATACTTCGAGGTCCTTCGTAGACTATTTCTAAATACCTTTTATATATAGTATAAGTCTATCCGAGATATAGTTATTAAGTTGCTACTATATAGTAGACGCGACTCTAAAGCTAAGGTTAAAATACCTAAAAGTCGCTACTAGTACTACTACTATAGCTACCTAAAAGTCGCTACTAGTACTACTACTATAGCTAGGAGACCGCTACTACTACCGCTACTACTATAGCTAGGAGATAGCTACTACTATAGCTACTAGTACCGCTACTAGTACTACTACTACTATAGCTACTACTATAGCTAGGAGACCGCTACTATAGCTACTACTATAGCTAGGAGACCGCTACTATAGCTACTAGTACTACTACTAGCACCGCTGCTACTATAGCTACTACCGCTACTAATATGTCGAGCGACGATCTATCCTCCTTAACCTTAGTTCTACTATCTAATAATAACCTAGTCGGTAGTACTATCGCTTATAACTATAATAAGAATATAACTAGCCTAGACGACGACGATGCTGCTTTGCCTAAAGGACCTAAGGAACAGACTATTCTTATAGGCGTATAGACCGATCTACTAATCTATCTAAGTAGCGGTAGTATTCTCTCTAACCCTCTAGATGAATTAGTTAGACTAGCCGGGATAGATAAGATTAGTAACTTTTAGACCTCGTAGTAGTTCGGTTTAGTTTAGTTTGGTTTGCTAAGCCGAAACTCTAGTTTGGTTTAGGTTAGTTTGCTAAGCAACTATATAAGTAGCTAGTTCGAACTATATAATTTATCGGTTTTTAAGAAGTGTACGAATGTATACGTAGCTTTAAGCAAGCCCTTTGTAAGACTTAGTAGTATAGCCGGCAGCGTAGCCGGCATTTTTAGTCCTTAGTACTTATAGAATTTTCGAATCCTACTTAGGCTACGTAGTTGTATAAAGGTACTTATATAACCTTAAATCTATAGACAATTAGCTAAGGGCACTAACTAATTAAAAGCACATATATATATACAAGGCATTATAGTTTAGTTCGGAAACTGCACTCCTTAGGTATGAATTTTATCCTTTCGTTTACAGTTTAATTCCCTAACTGCTTAGTAGAATGTCTTTATCTAGATCTAGGCAGAACTTATCGATTTCCCTAGAAGTCCTCCTCCTTAAGAAGTTTATATACTTTCCTACCGAACTATTCGACAATATTAAGTACTAGGATAGCTCCTCCCTCGGTATCGGTATAGTATATAAAAGAGCTATAAGGCAGCTCTATAGAACGTTCTACTAGTTACTCGCTATACTAAGGCCGAATGCTAGTTCGTTCCTTAGAACTCTTAGTTATTTAGGAGATATAAAGGGTAGGGCAGGTAGTAACTTCGTATTATATAAGGAGGTAGAGGCTACTATAGAAGAGGCCTTCAACCTATAGAAGATAGTAAAAGATATAGAGGCAGCTGCAGGTCTAGGTACCTAGTTGAATTTTTAGTAGGTAGAGTATAAGGATATTTAGAGGGAGTATTAGGTAGAGTTGCGAAGGCAGGTGTATAATATGCTCTAGAAAACAGGGATAGTGCCTATAACTATAACTATTAGGCTCTTTAACCTTCCTTATTTTTCCCTGTTTTCTTTTTATAAAAATCTAAACTAATACAAATCAACCGGAATGTCTATCTTCTTTTAGTTCTTTGAAAAACCTAGTAGCGTAGCTAGTAGCGTAGCCGGCAGCGTAGCCGGCAGCGTAGCCGGCCTTTTTACTCCTTAGTACTAACGGGATTTTGGGAGACTTCTATTCCGTACGGCTAATAAAGTATACTATACTATATATATATACTTAGAGAGTATTTAGAGCGCGGTATATAGCGCCGTATAATAGCGGCTTATTTCGTATATAGAAAAGCTTATAGATAATACTACGAACATCCTTTCTACTAGAACATCTATCCTACCTAGTACCGTCTCGAATATAGACATTCTAGCCTTTTAGAATCTAATCGAGTGCTTTAAAATCCTTGTCTATAATCGTTATACGCTTCGCGTAGATAGCTATAAGGTTAACCGCTAAAATAGTATTAGTATAGTCCGAAAAGAGGTAGAAGAGAAATATATATTCGAAGATACGAACTAGGTAGGCTTCTATAGCCTCTTAAAGGGCGCCTATCGCGGAGGCTTAGAAGCGAAGGTCCGTTCTATAATCCTAGGCAATTTCGCGAATAAGTCGTTAGAAAGGAGTTTTGCGGATTAGGAGCTAAGAACTCTTCTAATACTGCCGAATCTTACGGAGGGCTACGGCTAAAGAAGGATTAGTAAAAAGACAGTAAGAATGCCGGCTACGCTGCCGGCTACGCTGCCGGCTACGCTACCGGCTATAAATAGGACTTACTTCCTAGGCGCTATCGACGCTTCGTACGATTGCTACTAGTAGTAGAAGCGCTAGTTATCGTCTTACGTAGAGCCTTGCCCGCCGTTGTCTTGCGCGGAGCCTTACTCGCGACGCCCTTTCTAGTACCGGAGCTAGCGGTAGTAGTAGCAGCCCTCTTACGTTAATATACTATACTCGTTCTACTATTTCCGGTCTTATTGCGACCCGTAGAAGTACTAGGTCCCTTCTTACGAGGCGTCGTAACTTAGTTAAGTAGACTCGCTATTATAAAAGTCGTCGAATTAAGGAAAAAAGTGCGTTGCGAAGGTATACGAAGGCGCGCGCGGAGCGAGGGTATTACGGAGGTAGTAGATATAGAGCGTAGAGGTATAGGTATCGATGCGAAGGTTGAATATAGCGGTAATGTCGCGGTATCGCTAGGTAATAGAGTAAGCTTCGCGCAAGCCTATATTATAGTAACGTTAGAGCAAGGAAAGAAGGCAGGTACGGCTAAAAAAGGCAGGTACGGCTAAAAAAGGCAGGTACGGGAGACTTTGAAATATAGCCGGCATATATAGCCGGTATAGTAATAGGCGAAAGCCTCCTTTTAATAAATAGCCGGCGTAATAATAGTATCTTACTATAGTATAGATATTCTTTAGTAATGCCTTTACTAGCTATAGTAATCTTATAAGTAACCTAGGCCTATTACTAGTAAATATAAGAAATATTAGGTAGGCTATACTAAACAAGCTAGTTATTTAGTAGGAAAAGGCCTACTACCGTCTCTATATACTGGCTATAAGTGCCGGCTATCGCTCTAAATTCAACTCCGCCCTATCTCGGAGGCTAAGGTACCGAGCGGAAACCCTATAGCTTATATTTACTCGGTTGTCGCGGAGCGCTTATAGGTGAGGTATTAGAAAAGAGTATAAAAAGTACGAGAAGAGTATCCTAGGATATAGGTCGTAAGTGAATAAGAGTAGTACGCCTAGTTATTTATATAGTACGTTACTCTATACGACTAAGAGCCTATATTATCTTATGCTTCGCTTATAAGACCTCGACTCTACTAGTATACTATCGATCTCTTTCTCGGTCGCTAATACGCTGTCTTAATTCTTCTTCGAGTTACCGGACTTAGTACGTATCTGTAGCTATGCAATAGCGCTACGTATTATAGAGAATTTCTCGTTAAAGTTTCTCTCTCGTAGGCTTGCTATCTACCTCGTAGTATAGAGGATCAAAGTGCTAATACTAAAGAATCTCCTTATAGTTAGGATGCTAGGGCTCCTTAGGACCTTTGTGTTTTAGGTCTAAATAGAGACGTATTATAAACGTTCTATCGCCCTTTCGCTTACTACCCGCTAGGTCGCGATATACGAAGAAACTAATCTAAATGTAGCTCGTCTCTGTAATAGCCGGGTGAATATAGAGCGCTAGGTTTCTACTTCGTACCTTAGATTTAGGGACGGCGCGGAGATAAAATCAGAAATATAGCCGGTACCTGTAGCCGGCAAAAGGATACGAAAATGGGCCTCCTCCTAGGTTAATCTAACAACTAAATACAATTTCTAACTAATCCGCTATAAACCGACGCCGAATTTTAGCTAGAAGCTATATATCTTTATTTTGAAGAGTAACCCGCTTCGTATAGATAGCAAGGAGGTTTAAAAGCTTAAGCTCGGTTACGAGAAATGCCTCCGTAGCTTCCTAAAGAGCACTAATCGCCTTAGCCGTAAATCGTATATTAGACCGAAAATCTAATGTAATTTCTCGGACGAGTCGCTAGAAGGGAGTCTTAGGGATTAAAAGCTCGGTCCCTCTTTTGTTTTAGAAAAGCCGGATCTAGCGAAGGGCAATAGTATCTAGTTTAAAGCGCCGCTTCTTTATCGTCGAGTCCTGCCTTGTTCCCTTTCTTTTAATAGAAAGATAACTTTTCTTCGCGATAGTCTTCGTCCGCCTACTCTTTTTAGCCTTCTCCTATCTACCTATAGCCTTCTTATTTTTCGGTACTGTTTTCCGAGGAACCCCCTTCCTTCGTATATACTACGGAGAGCCTTGCTCTTCCGATATCTCGTTCTCGCTATAGTCTCCCTATACTTAGCTTACTTTACCCTTACCCTTTAGCCTCTAAAGATATTTATCTGCGCGTTTAGGCGACGAGGGTATATCGGTAGGACCTAGAAAATTAATAAGCATATAATCGTAAGGAGATATTAATGCTTCTTACCTTCTAGAACAAATAGTCTTCTATTAAACCGCCTTATTAGGTTATCGTTAGATTCGAATAAAGGATAGTAGCTTAAGGAAGGGGAGGTAGCCGGCTTAGGAAGGCCCGAAGAGCCGAATCCTTAAGGCATATTTGTCTTTAAGAATATAGGGAAAGGGAAGAAGGAGAGGAAGAGCGAATAGAGAATTAGAAATAGTCCGTAGGTAAGCGGGGTCGGTTGCTATAGCAACTAGTCTGTTTAAGTCCTAGGAATTCGAAACACATTTCGGATATATACCGGCTATATACGCCGGCTATATTACCTTATACGTAAACGCTTCGTCTCCTTAAAGCTGCTCTAAGCCTATATACGTTTCCGCTTCTCGACCCGGTATCGCCTTCTACCTCCGCCCTCCTCCTCTTCGTTATCGCTAATTAGGGTTTCGCTTAGACTAAATTTCGTATTCTCTTCGCGCTCCTAGGTTTCTTCGATCTTAAGGTTTTCTAATTCCTCGATTAACTCCTTTAGTATAATCTTTAGTAACCTGCCTTAGCGATTCTAGTAGAGGAGATAGTATCGGAATACTATAATAGATTCGAAGGTAGTAGGCGAGTATATTCGATTAAAGCGGCCCTAGTAACGAGCGATACTAAAAGACCTCTTATAGCCTATACCTACGCTTAGGATAGCGAGGACGTCCCGAGCGACCGACGCTATCGTTAGAAACTTAGGCTCTAACCGCTGCTATATAGCGAGAATATCGTCTCTAAATTCGTCTAGAAGACCGGTAAGATCTAGAGATTATTAGCCCTCTTTCCGAGCCTACGGGTTTATACTTACTCGCGCGCCGATAGAGATCGAACTCTTCTTTATTTACTTTAGTAGTTGCTTCCTCTTCTGCCTCTACTTCCTACCTACGAAACAGGTATAATATCGGAGCCTTCTAAACCTTCTTTTTCTTTATAGGAGCTATATTTAGACTAGTTTCTTTCCGACGCTCGTAGAATATCTTTTCTAGAATAGTCTAGTAATGCTTCGGCTATACCTCGTCCGCCTTCTATTCCGGCCTCTGCTAGTATATATCCTTTTCTACCGGATTAAGCAAGTACGTAACGCTATAGATATCCCCGAACGAGTTAAAGGTAGCACTATAATATTTATACAACTTAGTATAGGAGGTGTCTATAGCTTTCGTTATAGCTACTTTCTAGGGAACGCTCTTCTTAGCTAGCTTAGCTACGGTTTCCTCGAGCTCGTTAAAGAGCTAGTTGTAGTACGTAAAGACAAGGTAGATCGTCGGTCCTCGGGTTCTTTTAATCGTAGTAGTAACCTTCGCGTAATACTTACTAATATCGACGAGATACTCTGCTTAGCGCTATTCGGCGGCGGTAAGGCCGAGCTACTTAATACCCTCGGAACTCTAATAGATCTCGAGAGCAGTACGTAAAGTATATCCCCTCGTAACTATATAGAAAGTCGAATCGAACCGGGTCTTAACGTCTTAGGTAAAACGGAGTAAGCGCTAAGGAGGCCGCTTTTGCTATCGCTTATTCTATACGATATTCTAGGCATCGGTTTTAGGGCGCTCGATTAGGTTCTTTTAAATAGCCTCGAATCGGTTATATCTCTATAAGCTCGAGTTCGTATATATTGCTAGACGACGAAGCTAGAGAAAAAGAGTTAGAACTATACTAGGTTGCCGGCTATAGGTGCCGGCTACGGACAAAAGTTATACCTTATATAAAACGAGAGCGAGGCTCTCTACCTTATCCCGTCTTATTGCTATAATAAGTTTCTCGACTTTCGACTTTGCTTTATCCTTATCTAGGATCTTCTATTAGTCGTCGTTTAATAGTGCAATTTTAAGCGTCTTAAAGAGGGCTCGGATCGCGATTTGAACTATATAAGCGAGGTAGGGAAACTTCTATAGGGATATAACTAGTAACGACGTCGGCTCCGATTTAATAGGGCTAGGGCTATTAATAGGCTCCTCTTTATTATTATTATCGTGCGTATTGTCGTACGTATCCGGAATCGTAGCGAGCTTAATATTCGGAAGATTAAGCTAGATTATAGACCTTATAATCTCCTCTACGCACTCGACCCTATCGATACAATTAGTAATTTTAAAGACATATACGAGTGAATTGTATATATAACGCCTTATACAATGTTCGATTATTACTAGCGTTGTCTATAGTAATCGAGATCAGTTTCGTTGTTACGCTAACCCTATCTATTACCGTATAGACAAGCTTCGCTATGTCTTTACTAGTATAGGAACCTAGAATTTTAGGGAATCCGATTATAAGTTCCTAGAGTTTCTAATCCGAATTAATAAAGTATAGTATAATCGAGAGGAAGGAGGCTCTTATAGTCCGGCTTAACTAGCTATTAATAGTAATAGCTACTCGGCGAGTATTACGGAGGATCTCCCGAATGTCGTCTAACGTAGCCTCTTTGTTCTTTTCGAATATAATACGCTAGGTTGTCGCGCCGAGAAATAGGGGAGGGTAGTTTGTAAGATATAGGTATATCTTCTATATAGACTCCCTTTCGTAGAAGTCTTCCGGAAGACCGTTTATAGCTAGCATTTCGTTTGCTAGTTACTTGAAGTCTTCGGGGGAGAAATCGGTAGCCTTTAATCCTAGAGCTTCCTTAAGCGTAGCCTATAATAATTAGCTAGATCTCTACGGTTAATTTAGGTAGCCGGAATCTATAGCCGGTAGCTATAGCCGGTAGCTGTAGCCGGCATTTTAGAAGATATACCTCTTTCTAGAACGCTATATCTATATTAACTCTCCTCTCTCCTTAAGATTCCCGATACTGTTTAGAATAGAGATAGTTCGTAGGCGATAAGTTCCTATCCCCTAGTTTCGGGTGTTTTAAGATTAAACCGTAGAAGTTGTAGACAATTACTAGTTAACCTTTAAGTCGAGAAGTCGTATAACGGTGTAATACCCCCTCTATAAAGAACTTCTAGAATATGTCCGTTCGCTCCTTACTCCCCTATCGTATCGAGTACTTCCGGAGTTTATACTCCTTCGAACGTAAGTATAAAGGGAACTATATCTTATAGACCTATTAATTGAACTGCTCTATATACTCGGGTTTCTAAAGATACGCCTAGCTAGCCTTTTCGAAGATTTCCGGGTTAATACTCGATATTCTTATATCTCCGAATAACCTTCTACTTAGACTCCGTAAAGGTAAGGACTAGGTAGTAGTACCTTATAATGAATTCCTACTACTAGGATTCGGAGAGGATAAATCTAGCCCTAATCGTAGTCTAGGACTCGATAGGCTCGAAGGTAAGTATACGACCTCCTCTCGACGTTGTCGCAATCTCGCTCGTATACTAGACTGTTTCGACTATCGTCTCGTTATTACCCTTCCTAGTATAGCGCCTAGTGTATATACAATGTCGGTCGGCATGTTTTAAGGTTTCGTACGGTAAGGTAAGGACTTAGGAGTAGTAGATATATACTAGTAGCTATAGAGAAACACCCTTTCTTTTATAGCATCGTATCGTTAGGAATAGCTAGGTAGTAAATAGCTAGCTACCTTTTTTTTTGTTTCCTAGCTACCTAACTACTAGATTTTTTTTCCTAGCTACCCTAGCTAGCCTAACTACTAGAATTTCTTTCCTAGCTACCCTAACTACCTGAATTTTGCCTTCTATACGGCGGCTCTCTCTTACTAACGGAACCGAGCTACTATATCTAACGAATCTAAGCTCGTTTTTAGTCTTAATCTATCCTCTTTCGGTATAAGACACTCGATAAGCAAATGCTTAGGCCGAGTCTAACTACGAAACCTAAGACTAACTAATAGCTCTATTAACTAATCCTAATCCTCGAACTCCTTCCGCTTCTTAGTAAAGACCTTAAAGAGCGCTCGAGCTTCTTCGGGTACCTACGGAGTAGTCGAGATAAAGCCGTATCGCTGAAATAGGTAATCCTTCGGAGGCTTATATAGAGATTTAGAGAATTCTAACGCTAACCTATCCTACTAGTAGCTTAGATTCCGGATACAAGCCCTCTCTGCTTTAGTAAAGATTTTATATAGCAGTAGCACTCTGCCTTCGAGAAACGCTTTCTATTTAACTGTTAGTATCTGCCGGCTACGAACGCCGGCTATATATGCCGAGTATAGAATAATTACCTGTACCCCTTCCTCCTATAGTAATACTTCTACCGTCCCTAGATACCTAGCCCCGATCGCATTAATCGCAAGCTACTTTGCCTTTATAGATACAAAGGCTTCGCTCTAATACTAATAAAGAAACTTCTACTCTATATCGAGGATATAAAGACGACTAGTCTCGATTCTAATCCTTGCTAGCTTTTCGTAGTAGCTTTAACTATGATTTTCTAGATTGATAGGACTTATACCTTAGCCCTTTACTAGTATCTCGTCTCTTTGACTATGCTCGATCTACTCCTAGCGCTTATCGTCTATAGCGTTAGGCCCTAAGACTATACTTATTACTAGATCGACGTATAGTATCTCCTCGCTTTTTTTAGTTCCTTTATTCGTAGTATTAAGCTCTATCGCGGTATCTTGAACTCTAGTATTGTTGTTCTCGGCTATCTAAACATCTCCGTTATTATCGGTCGTATCGATAGAGGTAGCGGCT